CCGAGTCCACTATATCAAGAAAGACGAAGCATGGAAGAAACAGCAAGAAAACGACGAACAAGGAACGGACGAGCAGTTAAAAAACTAGACTTGCCTACCGAAGACAAGGGATAACGACAGGCAGTCTAGACAAGGTCCCTATATAGCGCAACGACGCCTACGACATAACGATACGAGCATGTACAAGTCTAAATACAGCTCAACGGAAGAACAGCTACCGCCATGATCGACAGCGGAGCCTAAGGAAACTTCATATTACTAAGAACGGTGAATGAAAGAAAGATAACCTGGAAAAGAAAAGCAGCCGAAGACTGCTACGAACTCAGCACCGTTAAAGGAGAACAAGTCTAGTACGGCGGAGGACGCATTGCTATAGAGACAGCGCAACTCCCTTTGCAGATCCATAGCCGGAATAAGCGACTGAACTTCGATATTACGGAGATAGGAGACAAGTACGATGTCATCCTTGGAAGACCATGGTTATACGACAGTAACCCACGGATAGATTAGAGAACAGGCCAACTCCATTAGGACTAGGATTTAGTCACTAAGAAGCAACCACGGAACGGTGCCTTAAACGAACCTCTCAAGACTCCTAAAGCGAAGAGATTTCTAGCATACCTACGGATAAAGGATGCAAACGCTAGGACGTTATCAGCAATAGACATCGGCAAGGAAGACCGACTTCTGTCTATCCTAGAAGAATACCGGCAATACCAGAAGCTATTCGCCGAAGAACTCGAGACCGGACTCCCGGAACATAGCAACTACGACCACGAGATACCCCTTAAGGAAGGGAAGGAGCCAAAGCTAGAAGCAATCTACGGACTTAACCAGAAAGAAATGGAAGCACTCGACGCTTACCTCAAAGAAAATCTACAGAAGGGATACATCAGACCCTCTACATCACCAGCGGGATACCCAATCCTATTCGTACTAAAAAAGAACGGCAAACTACGACTCTGCGTCGACTACCGGAAACTTAACGACATTACGATTAAGAACTGCTACCTACTACCGCTTATCTCCGAACTACGAGACCTGTTGCACGGAGCACAGTAGTTTACAGCACTCGACCTAAAAGGAGCCTATAACCTGATCCGGATGAAATCAGGTAAAGAATGGAAGACAGCGTTTCGAACACGCCAAGGACATTACGAGTACCTTGTAATGCCCTTCGGACTCACCAACGCACCCGCGACATTCCAGACGATGATCAACCACGTCTTACGAGAATTTCTAGATGTGTTCGTCGTAGTTTACCTCGACGACATCCTAATCTTCTCCAAGACTCTGGAAGACTACAAAAAACACGTACACCAAGTACTGCGGAAACTGCAAGACGCCAAACTCCTAGTGGAACCCGAGAAGAGCAAGTTTCACGCCAAAGAAGTCGAATTCCTAGGTTTTACGATAGCCCTAGGAATCCTCAAAATGTCTAAAGACAAAATCGCAGCAGTACGAGACTAGCCTACACCACAGAACGTTAAGGACGTACAATCCTTTATTAGATATGTAAACTACTACCGACGGTTCCTAGAAGGGTACTCAGACAAAAACGACCCTCTCACGAGACTCTCGAAGAAAGATGTTCCCTAGCAATAGGAAGAAGAACAAGAACAAGCCTTCAACGAGATCAAAACAACAAGTTATATCGGAACCAATACTTGTTATACCAAACCCCGAGAAACCATTCGAAGTCGAGACCGACTCCTCAGACTACGCTATAGGAGGACAACTAGGCTAACGAGACGACGAAGGACGACTACACCCTTGCGCCTTCTTCTCACGCAAGTTACACGGCCCAGAACTTAACTACCAGATACACGACAAGGAACTTATGGCAATTATCGAGGCATTCAAAGAATGGAGACCGCAACTCTTAGGAACCAAGTACGAGGTCAAAGTATATACCGACCACAAGAACCTCGCACACTTCACCACATCGAAAGATCTTAACAAACGACAAATTCGATGGTCCGAATTCTTGTCAGAATTTAATTTCAGAATCATCTACCGGAAGGGCAAGGAGAACGGCAGGGCCGACGCCTTCAGCCGACGACCGGACCACGAGGTCTAGGTACCTGAGGAAACCCGAGTTATCCTCAAAACAGACAAAAACGGAGACCTTATGCCAGCAGCCAGACTCTTAATGATGGCTAGAAGAGACAGTACCAGCACGCCTGGAAGGATGTCTCCTGAAGCCATTAGGGAGATACACTCCGCACCCGCACATAGTCACCAAGGCGTAACCAAAACGTGGAAACGCATCCGTCAACACTACGACAAAACGGCTACACGACAAGAAGTATCTTTAGCGATTAAGGACTGTGAGGTTTGCGCAAAAAGCAAACCCAGCCGACATCAGCCTTATGGAAAGATACAGCCGCTCCCAGTGCCGCAAACCGCATAGGAATCCATCTCGCTGGACTTTGTCACTAAGTTACCTAAGTCCCGAGAACCGATGACCAACGTCCACTACGACAGTGTCCTCGTCATCGTCGACAGACTCACAAAGTACTCATACTTCATTCCGTACATGGAGTCAAGCACTGCAGAAGACCTCGCCTACAAGTTTCTGCAGGTGATCGTAAGCCAACACGGAATGCCGAAGGAAATCGTATCCGACAGAGACAAGCTGTTCACTTCCAAGTTTTGGAGATCCCTAATCTCGCAGCTAGGATCTAACCACAAGATATCCACCGCTTTCCATCCGCAAACCGATAGCCAGACAGAACGAATCAATCAGATCATAGAAACCTACCTACGCTGCTACGTCAACTATCAGCAAAACAACTGGGTCCAACTGCTACCTATAGCCCAGTTCGCCTACAACAGCGCAGTAGGAGAAAGTATAAAAGAATCACCATTCTACTTGAACTACGGATTCAACCCGACAGCCTATAGACAACCCCGACAAGGCCCAACAGCTCTGAAAGCTGTGGCAGATATCAACAAACTCAAGGAAATCCAACGAGATCTTCCCAGAGACCTTGAATTTGTGCGCGAACGCATGCGCAAATACGCTGACAAGACAAGAGTTGAGGGACCAACTCTAAAGGAGGGGGATAGCGCATACCTTCTCCGCCGGAATATCAAAACAAAACGACCAAGCGATAAGTTAGACTTCAAGAAACTTGGACCCTTCGAAATCACGAAGAAGGTATCTAACGTCAACTTCAAACTCGCACTACCAGACACTATGAAGTATCATCTAGTTTTTCATATTTCACTTCTCAAGCTAGCACCAAAAGGATCACGAACTATAGACCACATCGAAGTCGACCCGGAACAGGACTACGAGGTCGAAAGGATCCTCGATCACATCGATCAGCACGATGACACAGAAATACAATACCTAATCAAGTAGAAAAACTACGGACACGAAGAAAACACATAGGAACCCGCATCAAACTTGGAGCACGCACAAGAGGAACTTCAAGAATACTAGACGCAATGGGAAACACGACAGCACGCCAAAGTCATGCAAAGACTAACACACAACCCTCGCGTCAGAAACCCTCAACCCAAGTTTCGACTAACCAAGAAACCCCAGGGCAACAAAACGTTTCTTCGCCTAGGAACACCTAGCCCTGAGTAGCCGAGGAACCTCCAACACTCCCCGCACCCGCGCCATCTACTAGAGGACCCAAACCCACAAACTCGTCACCAAAACCAAAAAGGGACCAAGGAGGATCATTCCCGAGACCTACTGCCTAGAGGTCACTAACGACGAACCTCTCGTAAGCATCCAAGGCAGGTAGGACTTCGTCGTCCGCCAGGACGCCATCCTCCCTGTCAACCTCCTGCATACCACGCTCAAAAACTTCGGTCTGCCGCTCCCGAACCATCTTACAGACCGTCCGAATCCGTTTCAGACAACCCGCAGCATCCGCTATTTAAACTTGCAAACGAGCAAACTCTTGATGAAGCGCGAATAGCTCCTCACCCGCTTTCTCTTCTTTCTCATCCCACTCCTTTTACTAAGAGTTCAACTTCTAAACTAGAAGCAAACATTAGCAACCCCCAGAACAGCGAAAACACAAAAACACGACTTACAAGTAGACGCCACAAGGACGCCGTCACAAGGTTTCTTCGCCTCGATGCAAGTCCTACAGCGTGTAGACTTCTCGCCAAAACGACACGGGACCTTTGCACGGAAACAACGAGTGCAAGGCATGTCGCTAGCAATCGATCGGGACTCTACGTATTCAATAAGCGCAGCTCTCTCACGATCTTTTATCACAGTCAAGTGCGACTTTGTCTTTCGAACGCGACCTGACATGGTGTCGGCATCATGAAAAACAAAGGAAGCAAATTTGTGGATCCCCAACCTGGGACCAACGACCTACTTATACTCAGGTCTCGAGGACAAGACCTTTAAGAGGGGAGCTGATGTTACGACCCGACAGTTAACAGACCACTGACGACGACCCCGCAGGGGCTCAGATTGATTGATTGATTGATTGATTCCTACACGGTTATGAAGCCGCTCTTATGCTAGCAGCTATGCCCGGAAAGCAGGGTTTGGCAGACAGCCGAAGCATCGACGATAAACCGCGACGCCCCACTTCGCCCTGTTGTTAGATCAGGACCAGCTATCCCCAAGCTCCCACTATGCTATCTATTCTTGTGTGTTTATGCCCTCTGTTAAAGATTATTGTCCTCCTGCCTGCTCTCTCGCTTGGTGTTGCCTTCTAGAATCCTTCTTTCGCGTCCTCCTACTTCGGTTCTGTTAGTGCTAGGCACTATGTCTGGTTCTGTATACCTATAGTCTCCCCCCAGCCCTCAGCTTCGTCTCTTTATCTTGTCCGCATCCTCTCAGACTCGCATGTGCTATATCTCAGTTGAATCTGTAAATCTTTTTATTACCTCATACTAGGTTCCTATGTAGCTCTATATTTCCATCTTTCGACCACCACCTCCATCCACCGCCTGGAGTCGGACTCAATCCGCAAAACACAATACTCCAACCGCTTCGATTCGTCCGATTACTAAGTATGAGAGCTCGTACACAGATTCCGCAGACATTATCATACGTTGAAGGGGCGACAATCCTTCTTCGCGGAGGGGGCGACAGGGGACCAATCTGTCTGCAAACTATAGTATTTTGTGGCATCGATCGTAGCATGCCTGGTGTCTGGTGCTTTCTCTATGCAGGAGGTGATACCGTTCTGTCGGGCTTGTCGTCGTTGTTGTCGCGGGACGTTGCAAACTTTGTCGGGGGTGATAGGCGACCCATAACCTATCGGTGGCTGTGGTGTTGATGTTTGTTTGGGCTTGGTCGTTGTGCTCACGTGATAGCCCGTGACTCAACCGCGGTGGTGTCGATGGTGTTGTCTATTGACGTGTCATACTTTGTGGCTTGCTCTCGAATTTTTCGTGGTCAGAGCCCGCCCGCGGCCACGAGCAGGCTCTTTGGGAGCAGAATCAATGCCGAGGATGACATTATGCCCAAAGTGACCTCTGAGAGCGCGAGCGGGCGTGGTTTGATCAATTTGATGCTGTTTTCAAAAATTTCGTTCTCGCTGTTGTTGATGTTTTTCTAACGCAGGGCATATGTAACCCAGCCGGACAGGTGTAACCAGGGATCCTCGGAACGGAAGAACTATGGACAAGTCACGTGGCCTCGGGGATAACGCGGGGTAAGGACAACCCGGGCTGGATATGTTGGATATGTCAGATATCCAACCGATCCCCGGATATGTTGGATATGTCAAATATCCAACATAGCCAAGATAAGGAGGACCGTTCAGGACTTGTATATAGGATGGACTCGAGCCGGGCTCGAGGACAGACTTCCATAGCTCTTCAGCAATCAACTTTGTGATTACCCTAACCGGTACTTTCAGCTATACCTAAGTGACGACTACTCTACGACTCTTGTTGAGGCCTTGACTGATCACCAAGACCTTTGAAGATCTACGATTCAATCGACCAGACCCCAGAACGACTGTTACTGTTGTCAATCCCTGGCTTACTGTTAACACAAACCCACTGTCAGTTAGCTGGCCGTAACAACGAGGCGAGATCCGATGGCATGTCATCTAAACTCCCGGCGTTGCAAGATGCCTGTTGGTTATGTCTTGTGTCTTCACTTTCGGATGCCGAACCCCTTGACATGTTTTCACTTCGGCAAAACTGGCCGCGAAACCTCAGTCGTGTACCGAGCTCTACGACCTGAAGCCGCCAATTGTTCGTTTAGCTGGTAGCAACAGACATGAAAGTCAAGTATAAATACCCAACTCGATCCAGGTGAAGTTCTTTTTCTCCCCGTCCTCATCTTCATTAGCATCTTACAGCTCAAAACACTTGTCTCTTCTAAATATCCTTCTAGTGCTGTGCGCTTTAAAATTTAGTCTTATTTTCGACCTTTGTCCTTCGACAGTCCTGCTTCCCCAAATATTCCTATATTTATCACCTTTGTAACCAGCAAAACTTTATCCTTCAGGAAAATGCGTTACACCATCTTGACCACCTTTGCTCTCGCTCTCCTTACTGGAAATGCTTTGACAGGTGTGTAGCCTTACAATGCTCGGTTTCGGAGAATACGACTTTCAAATGGATTGAGAGCTGACATCGTTGACTTAGCTCCCACTCCCCAGGGTGGTAATGGCGCTATCGGGGGCGGAAATGGCAGAGGTGCCGGCACTGGTGCTGGCAATAATAACCAGCAACCTCCTCCCCCTCCCCAGAACAACAACAACAACCAGCAGCAACCTCCTCCCATCAACAATAACAACAATGACAATAATGCAAATGCCAATGTGGGAGCCGGTGGCGTTGGGCGCAACACAGACGGAGCCAACGGCAACAATAATGCAAATGCCAACAACCAGAACAACATTAATAACGACAACAATGGGAATAATGGTAACTTTGCCCGGGCTATTATTCCCAACCAGCAACCGCCTCCCCCACCCAACGGCAACAACCCTCCTCCTCCCAGACCTAACAATGCTCGGGCTATCAGTCCTAACCAGCAGCCGCCTCCTCCGCCTAATAACAACAACCCTCCTCCTCCTAGGCCTAACAATGCTAGGGCTATCAGTCCTAACCAGCAATCGCCTCCCCCACCCAACGGCAACAACCGCCCCCCTCCTCCTCCCGCCAATTAGAGCAGAAGTCTAGGGGGAAGAAGGCACCTGATGCTATGGATACTATGGTGTTAGTGATGCTGATCTGGCGGTAGCTGCTTTTGGCTATAGAAAAGAAAGCAGTTATCGTCTCTCGGTAGTCCCCGAAAACGTTGGTTTATTGTCATCTTCTTAAGCGAGACACGAGGTTCATAAGTAGCACCATTTGTTGTCTAAAACTTCATCTTAGCAACCATAGCCGTTAGTTACTTAACGGGCCCAGCCATCGTGTTAAGAATTGAGGACATTGTCACATGCAAAAAAAACTTTCTCCAATTTCGTGGCTCATGTCGTGGCAGTTTGATGCGTTGACAAGACCATAATAATTAGAACTCCGTATCTAGCTCGCTGGGCCCTGTGGGTTGCCGTTATCGTGTGCTTCGCCCGCAGAGCGTGTTTTCCCTTTTCGGCTCCGAATGGTTCCTACGGTCGGTTTTGATGGGACAGCTATGCCAGGTGGTTACAGGGCAATCCCTGCTATTTGGGGACTCTGACATCCCTATTCGACTACAAAGCAATACAGTACCAAGATCAAATATGCCTTGTTTTCCAAAGCATAGACTGGCGGAAAACGAAAGCGCCCTAGATCGCAGCATAACTCTGCAGACGCTGCCTGATGACCTCGTGGCATTACCCAACGCGTCAGCTGCCAAGATGATGTACACCTACTAGGCTGATTCTGCCTCAGCCGCACCTTGACACGCCTATTGATGTAGGTCTCGGGGGAATTCCTCTGCCATCGACTCATTAATCCTTCTGACCGCCTCTGCCACTTTCATGCCCCGCAGTCCCTTTGCAACCTGTGTTCTGACCACATCGTTGCCATTCCGCTACCCGTGCATTTAAAGAAATACGCTTTGAGCAATTCCTACCAGATAATGGCTTCTTTGTCGACACTTGCCGAGGACATTATTCACAGCATTTGCGAGTATTTGAGCCGCCATGACATCTTTCAGCTTACCCTGGTTGCGAAACGATTCGCATTCTCATTTGAGAGGAGCCCGCTGCTGCACTATGACCTTGCCTCCAAAGAATATCAGGCCATGATTTGGTTTTTGCTGCAGAAGGACTTTGCTCGCGTCGAATCCCTTCTCAAGTTTGGTTACGATCCCAATCATGCTGTGAAGACCGATATAAACCTGATGGATAAAACCATTGACCACATTTCCCTGCTGGCTCCATCAAACGTTGCCGTGCGAGGTAACAGTGTAGTTTCGCTAGTTCTCACACGCCTCTACTGCCCCGCATGCGACACGCATAATGTTTACATCAACTACTCCGTTCTAGCGCACGCAATCATGAGCAACCAGGTAGATATGGTCAAACTGTTGAGCAAGTATGGCGCGGACATTGGGAGCTTCTCTGTGCGAGCTTTTGATCACACCGGTACACTCCTGAGCGTGGACCATTCCCTCAGCGCCTTGCATTTGGCAACCAGTGGGCAAATGATTGAGACAGTGTTGCAACTGTCGCCCGATATTTTTATCGACAAGAAGAAGCTTACAGACACGGAGCCACTACTTCTCTGGCATGTTGAGAGAGGTACAGACGTTCACGCACTTCGTCTGTTGTTAGAAGCAGGTGCCCATGTGGATGGGGCGCGTCCAGCAAGGCATCGAATTCCTTTTTGCCAGTGTGACAATGTGTTGGATCATATCTTTATAGACCACCAAACGCCGCTCGAGGCCGCCATTTGGAATCTGGACAGGGACGCAGTCCGGCTTCTACTGGATTCGGGAGCTTCGTTTGAATATCAATTCGACGGTGGCGTCGAAACAACGTGTTTAAACGAAGTTATAAAACTCTTCCTCTTTGAAAATCACCAAAATGATTTCGAAGTCAGTAACGACATCTTCCGCATGTGCGCCGCCAAGGGGTTGGACGTCAATCGGCAGCACATCGAATGGTGCGGCTATAACCCGCATGGCACTCGACATAACCCGCTGATTCGGAACGAAGTCAACCTTGTTTTCGAAGCGTTGGTATATAACGTGTCCGCCAAGATGTTTGAGGCTGTCCTTGAGGTTGGCGGGGACCCAAGCTTGCCGTTTCCGTGCGCGCCACCTGAACTAAACGACCCGGTGCTCTTTGCTTTGGCAACGTCATTGAAGCAAATGTACCCTACAGAAAACTCCCCGGAGGAACAATGCGAAATCCAGATAGCAAAGATGAAAGCAATGCTCCGCAAGAGATCCCGGCCCGATGGCGCCGAAAGGGAAGCAATGATCAAATTCGCCGTGTGTGCCCCTTCCCCCGATACACTACACAGGATGCTTCGCATGATCCATGAGGTCTACGGCCCTTTCAATGAAGATACAACAATATTAGGTGATGTTTTACATCACGCAAAACGCATCCCTGGGATCTTTTATGAACTGAGACAGACAGTGGAATTTCTCGTCAGCAACGGAGCACCTGTTAACGGCGTCAACGCTGAAGGGAAAACAGCCTTGCATATTGCCTATTCTCTCCCAGTCGAAAGCCCAGCCATCCAAGCCGAAGGTTTTGCGATATCTTTGTATGACATTGATGCAAAGCAAGGATTCTCTGTTGGCTTCGCCTTGGGTACCGGCATTTGCAGTATCGATTCTGCGAATGAGTACCTCTCCGAACTCCTCAGGCAGCCCGAAGAGGTAGCAAAACGGCAAAAGAACGCTTTGGAGATATTTGACACGCTTTTACAACATGGCAAAGAGTCACTGGATACAATGGACAACGAACAACAAACGCCGCTTATGATCATGGCTCAGAATGGTTGGCTACCGGCGCCCCGTTCTCCCAGTCCAGATATCCAGGCAGATGTGCAAAAAGAGGCTAGAGTAGACAATCATGAACCGATAAACGTTGTGCAGCAAATTTTGGATTCCCTTCTTGGTTCCGCGACTTATAATCCAGGAGAGCAGTTCTAGCGGCTTTTGTGTCAGTTGTGCAACGGAAGAATCACCAGATACTTTAATTATGCTGTCTTACGGTAGTTTTGGCCAATGAATCTTGAGTTTTAATGTCCCTGACGGGAGAGTTGAAATCCTTGTTAACAGTCCCCCGTCATGAGCTTCCAAACTAGCCTCTGTACTATTTTAACGCGCCTGTGACTCCTCAAGTCCATCACCCCAGTCGAACCTCGTCTTCGGTCTCAATAATGTCCGGTTGGGTAGCGCTGATAAACCCTGTCGATCCTTTCTCAGCAATAACGTCTTTGATATGCTTAAAGAGCAATGGTGAGATCTGCCTCGCGATGAGTTGGTCGCCCTGCGCGTTGGGGTGTACACCGTCACGGTTCATTGAGCTTGTGTACCCGGCGTTTGTGGAGCAGTCGGCAATCGTGATAGGAGAAGCGGTCGAGTTTTGTTGGTTGGCCCAGCCAGGAATCTGCTGGTTAAGCGTGGTGATGCCGCCACCGTTGAAAGAGAGCGGGATCAGGAGGTCAACCTGTGTTAAATCTGTTAGTTCAGAATTTGGTAGGTGAGAATGCTCGTCTGACCAGAATCTTCATTCGGGGGTTGGATGCTCTCATAAAGCCCACCATCTTAGTATAAGAGGCGATGATATCGGCGGTAGTCCGACCCTGCGCAACGTCGTTTGTGCCAAGCATATATTGCACAATGTCAGGTTTCGTGCTTGCCAGCCAACCTTGCAGATACTGGTTGGCAATGTTAATTGAGAGCCACCCTGAGTGGCCCTCGTGGTGAAGATCAAAGGCGCCAGACTGTGCTCGGCAGTTCTGGGGGTTGTTCGTCATGGAGCCCACGAATTGGACTTTGTCGGCAAGGTTTTCCTTGACAAGAGAGTCCCAGACCAGTGCTCTCCAACAAGTGATTTCAGTGATGGAGTCACCCAGTAACACTGTTCCAATATTAGACAAAGCACTGTCGTGGCCCTGTAAAGCCAGCTATCACTCACTGATCTTGACCTTCCCCTGCGCAGCGACGGTAACCGCCAGGCTGACCACACCAACCACTTTGGACAGCTTCATTTCTATGGTTTGGGGGAATGACTTGACGCTTTACTAAGAGTGTTATGGGTTTCTTTGCTTGAATTGCTCCACGATCAATTTAGCTAGCAAGGAGGATTTATATCAAAATCGAAGAGTAAAGATCTCACATCCGTTCACCCCGCTCAAGTAAATATTGTCTAGCCTTTTCAAGAAAGGAGGTTTGCTTACAGCGACTTCCGTAAAAAATGCCCCCTCCCCGTTATTAGTCCCTTGGTTACCGGGTAAATGGTGCATAGTGTAGCATTTCGGCACGGTGCCGTGAAAGAACGAGAATCCGTGGCGTTGAGCGCTAGTAAAACACTTGGCCTGCTTCATTCGGTATCTTCTCACTAGGGGGACTCGAACGGCCCCGGTGTTACACCAACCAAGTTTAGGGACTACTCTTGTGGAGGCTTACTGACGGACTACGGTAGGTCATTTCAGCCACTCAGACCCCAGCATACATCAACAACAGTTGCGATTGAGGAGGCGACGAGCGTTGGTATGTCTGACACATTATCGAGTCACCCTGCGATTGAAGGATGCAGCTCAAGGAATCAATACAGCCGGTAGATTGAGATCAAGTTGCCTAAATACCGGCTTTGATGGCAAATGTGATCAAGTCTGAGTGTGTACGGCTTCTTTGAGTGAAGGCCGAGATCATCTTTGGTTTTGGAACAGGAACGCATACATCTTCCATATTGACATCCGTAGCTCACTCAACCATGCAAAAGCCATGGTCAGGACTACAGGCAATGTGCTGCAACTTTGAAAATGGGCGCTTCATTTGAATTAATATCTACTAGGTATTCTGGGTATCAATCCAAACCTCATCCACTGGTCCAATTCTATCGACTCATTCAAGTAGTTAACCTGCCCTGTTTTTAACTCGCAAAGAACGCCCCGCAATTGACGCCACTTCGCCGCGTGCCTATGAATTTCCTTAATCCTATGTGATGTGTTGAATATTTATGATTCGGTAGCATGGGCATTAGCGACCCAAAAAGCGCTTTTCGGCGTATCGCAGGGGTATATATAGAACCGCGCTCAAACAAAACGCAATCTCGAAGCCGATATCACCTGTGGTTTTCGCAATGGGACCAGTGAACCAGACCTGGGAAATGCAAGGAACGACCAGCCCGAAGCTCAAGGCGGCAGCACTGATAGCTGCAATACCCCAGGGCAGCTTCGAGGGCACGTTCCAGATCTCCACATCGTAAGACTTGGAATTTGCCCGACGGAACACAAAGTGCTCCGTAACGACGATGCCGACGAATGAAGCTGACCAGTAACCGATGAGTGCGATGAAGTTCTCGAGGCTGAGGAAAAAGTCGTGGGCTGCTGCGATGGCGATAGGGATGATGATTGCAGTGACCACGATGGAGAAGATGTACCGCGGGATTCTGAAGGCGGGAATCAGAGTCTGGAAGTTCAGGGTGATGGCGTACATCGTTCCCGATATGTTCGCCAGGAGAGTGAAGGCGAGCACCACCAAGATAAACTTTCCGAAGCCACCAGCCGGACCAAGCATCGCTCCCAGGACACCGCCGACAAGGGTGGTATCGAAACCTTCCTGCCATTCCGGAATGTTGCTCATGGCGCCGCCAATAGCGGAACCCAGAGTCATGAGCAAGATCGTAGGCACAACCAAGCCAAGGTAGCTGTAGGCGAAGATGCGGTATCTTGTAACAAGTCAGAAGGTGTTCTTGCATGGATCAGTGAGAGTGGAGTAGACTTACGATGCCAGACGCGGGGTTGGGTCGAAATAGGTGGTCAAATCAGATGCAATACAAGCCCACGGAATCATGTACGAGGCGATAACACCACCAAAGCTGAGAACCTGAGCTGCGGTAGCAGGCTCCGGCGTGGCCTGGTTTTTGAGCTGATTTCCACCGCAGCCCACCGCAATGATAATTGCAACAAGGGCTGGCATCCAAGCATAACCTTCATAGAAATGAAGCACATTGAATCCGCAGAAGGAAATCAGCAGAGCCGCTACGCCAATCAGCACAATACCGATTGCGGTCGACAAGTTGCCCTCTGAGACGGCAGAAATACATTGGCCGCCGATGACGCAGATGATGACGCAGAATCCAGTGAGAGTTGCCAGGTTGAGAAGGACAGGAATTGACACAATGTAATAACTATCGTCGATTGGTCAGTTTCAAACTCAATGTACTGGCGCATAAGACGAAAACTGGTGTCGTTTTCCACTCACCCAAAACTGAATCTAGCCTGGATCATTTGGCGCATGCCCGTCTTAGGTCCAAGCGTTGACAGGAAAGCCGGAGCAAGAGTTGAGAGCAGATTGAAAAAGATGATGACCAGCGCCGAATCTCGGAGGCTGAGCCCGAAGGAAACCGGGCCAAGCATGCCGAAGGTGATTCTGTCAACCCTGGTAAGTAAACGCGCGCGCACTTAAACTACAGACAAGACATACCCTAGAATATTCGTGTTGATGGAACACCATATGGTAAAGGCGTTGAGGTACTTTTTCGTCGTTCGGGCCTCGATGGGGATCGGCTGGATTCCGCCCTCCTCGACCCGCCCGGCAGTCAAGACCGTGCGGAGAATGCTCTTCACATTTCGGCCGGTTGCCGGGGTGTGCTGAACACCCGAGATCTCTGTAGTCTGTTTGTCGTGTGCCGGTTGACCGCGCTGCGTCTCCAAGTCGTCAGCCATCTTGATTGAGAGTGTGGCTTCGTCGGACGTTGCAAGCAATTTTGGGTTATTTTTGCTTAAAGACTTGGGATGCGAGATCAGGGAAGAGGCGATAAGTGACTCAAAAGTAACGCTTTTGAGATGAAAATTTGTTCCACCGGCTGTACCCGATGTTACATAATTATCATATCAAGCCAAAAAGCGATTTAGGTTAGTCGCTAATTGGCAAATGGGGTTATTTGTGAACCCATCTTTTTGCGGGATGGGGAATCTGATTGGGTGGCTTCGGTGGCGTACCGGGTCGCCTCCCGGTTCCGGCGATAAGCTGGCGACCTGTGTGGAATGAAGAAGGTTGACTTCATTCTAGAACGTGGGATGGACGATCGAATGATGTGCGATTAGTAATTTTCTCATTGCATTGAGATTGTTTCCCACTTTACTCTCATCAGTGATGTACTACATCAAAGAGTTAAGCTCCAGTAAAAGTTTGTTACAAGGATCGCCACAGCAAAGGACTGTGGCGACTGGGATCAGCAGCCAGATAGCTTCATGTTCCTAGCATCACCGCCAGCTTTAATATGGACATGCGTGAAATCCTAGAGATCCTAACTTTTTATCTGTCCCCATTGAGATATTATTATAAGCAAAAGCGGACCTTTTTTTCTGCTGCTTTCCAAGTAAAGTGTTATTTAATGCCTGTCCTAGTGAGGGGTCTGCATTCAAGTAAAGCCTCGATGTTGATGTGATAACTTGCGCGCTGATGCCATAAACCAAAAATCTGAACCAATCCTGTACGATGTTTCTTAAAACAAAAGAATTGACGTTAATTGCTTGTTTAAATTTAGAAGTGATATTCGGTAGATAACGGCTTAGATAGCCGTTCATCTTCTTCGTATGATTTTTCTATCTCTGCCCTGTTCATCAAGCCATCGGACCATCCGAATCATAACTGATATGAACCACCTTTCTCTTACTACTTCAATAACAGCACTTCCTTAAGTAAAGATTCTCATTCTAGACTCATTTCGTATAATACCTAAACCAGGAATGGAAAATTCCCAAAAACAAGTCTTCCGTGTTAGATAACAGATGCCAGAAACTAAGGTGAATACTTGACTAAGACGCTTTGCTTTGGGAGACTAATTTGTATTTGCCTACTGTTCTGGCCATGTTGTCACATGAGTAGGTATTCATACATCAGAGTTGAAACGGCAACTAGAACCTCCTCTTATGATCGCGGCCTTAGGCAGATGGCATTGCTGCTTTGTCTATATCACGGGATACGATAGATGCCGTTGCCTGTCTTATCCGTCGTAACTGGGTAGGCTCACAAGCACATCCCCGCCTAACTAGCTTGTGTATAATTCGCACTCCCCCATTTGGTAAGAGGCTCATGCGGTGCAGTATTCGTTCCTGCCAAGTCTGTCCCATTTACTTATATATAATCGTGTTAAGCTACTTAGATGGCTACTTTATCAGTCTGGGTTGTTGTGTTACATGTTCGTGATGCAACAAACTCGCTGAAAAAGATAATGCTTCGAAACTGACACTCAAAAGCCAAGCAATCCGCTGCGTAAAGACCTAAGGATTTGCTTCTAGTCAGGGCCGATTACACTGATTGTTGTCTTTTCACGGCATCCCTAACTTTTCTCGGTCGGTTCAGTGTTAAATTCAAATCAGGCATTGTTACTGGGCCATTGCTTGGCTAGCGGTCTGGTGAGCTTGCAATTGCACTGGATGCGACGAAACCCAAACTCCCCATAATGTTTTCTTTGTCGTCGCAACATGTAAAACTCGTGGCGATACTCACAAGAAGTTCTATTTTGGTAATCTCAGAGCTCCTTCAAGTCTGTTCAAGCTCTAGAGCACCCGCCAAGTCAAGAAAATGACCATCTTTAACGGAAATCACACTGGAATGTCCTCAATCGTAGCATGGGTGTTCAAACCAATAATAAATGTCGGGAAATCAGTCGCCCGATATGCAACCTTTCTATTCGCCCAAGTTCTAGTCTATATCATATGCTAAAAATCGTAAAGAAATCTACCAAGAGGATAACCCTCTCTTTTCGTTCATTCATCCAAAATCTTGTTCTATGGGTATATCTATGAGCTCTCAAACTTGTTCAAGATGCTCTCAAAGTCCTTCCAGTCGTGCATAACGTCAAAGGCGCCAAGCTCCTCGGAGAACAGCTTCTCGTGGGCCTTGACCTTCTCCTCGGGGTTCTCCTCATCGTAGTAAGGGCCGACGTAGCCCAACAAGGGGATACCGGCGTTCTTGGCTGCGGTGGCACCGCTCCTGCTGTCCTCGATAGCGATGCACTCGCTGGGCTGGAAGCCCAACTTCTTGCAGGCGTGGAGGTAGATGGCAGGGTTGGGCTTGGAGGTGGGGGGATCGATGCTGCTGGCGGCGGAGAAGATGCCCTCGTTGGGCTCGCCGAAGAACTGGTCCATCTTTGTGGTCTGGATGGAGGCGACGACACGGGGCATGGCAGAGGAGGAGACGATGGCCTTGGCGTACTTGTTCTCCTTGTGGATCTTCTCGAGAACGGGGATGACGTTCTTGCAAGGCTCGGCCTGCTTGCGCAGGTTAGAGATGGTAAGCTCGAGCTCACGGTCGACGTAGGAGTCAAGCTCCTCGGCGGGCATGGTGAAGTTGTGGATCTCGAAGAGACCGGCCATCATGCTGCGGAAATTCCGGCCGACGAACTGGTGCATGAGCTCGATGCCGCCGTAGCGCTTCTCAATGCCATACTTCTCGAGAATCTCGTTGGCGAGCTGAGCGCAGGCAGTGAAGGCGGCGATCTCGGACAGCACGAGCGTGTTGTCGCAGTCGAAAAGGATACACTTGACCTGTGGTGGACGTGGTCAGCGGGACTCAATTGGCTTCGAAACAAGCTCCAAGGGCACTTACAGGAGGCATCTTGGGCGAATATGATTGATTGTGATTATGAGATCTAGGGAAAAGTTTGGTTGAGGAGAGAAAAGAAAAAGGGAAAAAATGTTGCAGCTTGTTGATTGTCAATGACAGATTTGTAGTGATCGGCGGCCTGTGACAAGGTGGAGTGGGAGACAACAGGGACCATGCGGATGGAGGGGCAATGGAGGGGCAAGTGGGTACCAGAAAAAGAGCGCAGACAGGTTTCAAGAAGGCTGCATATTCACTAATTTCCTTTGAAAGCGAGTCAATGGCCTCCAAGAAGGGGTAATGATGAGCCAAATGAGCATCTCCAACATCAGTTGCTTCCACAGCAGCGGTAAGCTTTCACTTCGATAATCCCACTGTAAAGATCGACCTCTGGAGATCTATGAAGACTTCCCCCCTCTGATGATTCTGCACCCTTCAGGAACCACGTTCAGGGACGAGACAACAAACATACACTGCTTTTAGTCCCGCTTCCTTCAGTCGGACTACCAACGAAAAAACTCGTATCACAGCAGACTGAAACCTTTGGTCAGCACGTTCCACAGCGGAATGATGTCATTAGTTCCCCTCGCTTTAGGCGGCTGGGTTCCCTACATGTGGGCATTCTAAGAAAAACCCGGCGTCCTCAATCCGCCGCCAAGGTCCACTGTCCGCCAGGAGCCGAGTTCTTACGCTGGGTTCAACGCAGTAGAAAGGCCCTCTGATGACGTAGTGCGCAGACAGACCTGTTCCAAGTGGATATAAAGCGGGTGCTCGTTTGACTCGCGCCCTCATTCTTACTCTGCAACTCGGTGGTTGGCCCGAGTGCGGTCCGATTGTGGGTCGCCACTGACGGCTTTCGCGGTTGGGAAAATTCGGCACGGCAGATGGGAACGCCGGTTGAGGAAACCCTTGAACTCGAACCGTTACAAAATCCGAAAATGCTACCGTGATTCAGCCATTGAATTCGGCAGCGCCCATACTACTCCAGACATCGGTCGGCTCCTCCTGTAGGAAAGCGTCTAAGCTGCCAGTGCCGCCTGCTACCTTTATCAAAAACGTTGGGTCAGTTGTGTTGATAGTTGAAGACGGACAACCAAGTGACTTACCAATGAGTCAAACTGGCCCCAGCTGGTGATATGGAAAAAGCTGCTGTCAATCGCATTCACAGAGTTCTCGAGGTCTTCGGCAATGTTCGCAGTCCTGTCTTCACCAACGTCCCGACTATTCGATGCTCTCAGTCCGCTCCCGTTGACACCGGAATGGTTTCCACCAAATCGATGGTCCATACCCGAATCTTGCGGTTGGCCAGCTGGTAGGATTCTCGTCTGCGTTAATATGGTGGTATTGTCTCCACCGGATACCCCTCCGGCGTCGACTGTGGACACCGAGGCGAGGTAATTATTGTTTCGAAGCACTTCAAGGCGTAGCTCCTGCAAAACGACGCCGTATCTTTGCATCAACGATCCTTTGACTGCGATGCTCTCGATTTGCGCGTGGCACTTTGAAGCTAAGCGGAAGCACTCGACATACGATTCTGGAGCTTCCGACCGTTGCTGAATCGCGTAAACGTAGAGTATCACCACAGCACTGAAGCCATAGTAGGGAATAAACTTTTCACAGAAGTTTGTTAGCATGGGTGACAGAACCTTGCAATTTAGCCTCTTGCGACCTACGAATAATGTGCTGTAAAACTCTCCAGCAGCATCAATTTGGTCGATGTGCTGTGCAATATTCGTTGCAGCATTTATACATGTCTCAATATTCTTCTGCATCTCCTGTTGTCTGGCCAGCAGGGGTGAGCTGCCAAATGTATCGTTTGCCAATGCTGTAAAAGACTTAAGCAACAAGGGGCGGTGGACCAAAATCTGAGCATGCCAGAAGGCGAGCTTCAGGACGTCGCGTTGCCGCAATACCAACTTGACGAAAATAGCAGAGCTGCCCCCTGCATCAAGAAGATACGAAATGTGGTCTCTCCATTCCGATAAGTCTCGATTGAACTTTGCAGCGAGATCAAAATGCTCATCAGTTGATGGCGGATGAATACCGTAAAGGGCTCTAAGAATGCGAGCCAATATTCGAGACAACCTAAGGCTATGGGTTAACTTTACTAACTAGAATTGCACGGCGAAGACAAAATGTGTATGAACAAATAACGAGACAAAGTCATACCTCATTTGAGCCACTGTAGCTGAAGTTATTGATGGTCCACAGGCAAGTGGCCTTGGAGACGAGCCGATACCAAGCTGTTCATCATCCACGCAAAGAGGTAACTCTTGATCAATATCCTCATCATGAAACGTCATGGGTCGCCCCAAAGCGGCACTGAGATAAGTATTAAGATTATAAGCACACCAAAAGGTGCGTTTTCTGCACTCCAATTCGGCATAATTGACACGACCTGCAATTTTCGGGTCGACACGCGACTTGCGGTGTATCCCAAGCGCCATTGCCAGATGCGCAGTGACGCCGAAAAGGGTCCAGCAGTGGTTCAGCCGAGATTGCGCCAAAAGGTAAAAGCACTGCGCTAGGCGTGCTTGTACATGAGGCAGCCTAATCTCGCCCTTCTCCATCGACAGTTGATGCTCTGCAACTGCAAAAAACCGGGCGCTGGTTTCAGCTGACTCTATGATCGAGTTGCTGTTGTCAGTAGACTGCCGACTACGGTAGTTGTTTGAGTGCGCAAACACCATGAACAACAACGCGGTCCTGCTCCGAGCAGATTCTTTGTATAGCATAGCCCCATTTGTTTCGTACAACTCCTCGAGCCATGCCTCGATGGATGGACGATGTAGAAAACGATGAGTCGTTGCTGCAAAGTCAAAGTATCTCTTCACCATGGACTCTGCCTGAGACTTGGGCGGCAAGATTGCGAAAGAGGAGTCATGCCCTGGCAGTGGCCTGTCGCCGAAATTGAAAACTGACGAGTTGAAATACCCCGGCGATTGAACCTGTAGCTTCCTCTGTATCCTCAACAGAAATGAGACACCAGATGCAGGACCAACATAATGGCCTTGCTCATCGGTTTGCGATGGTTCGGGAGTGTTACCCATTGAGTCTGGAAGACGGGATGTAGTTTGACCCCCGCCGTCAGACTGGGACTGGCCCACACGCCGACTTCTACTACCATCGCCTGACGAGGGTAGATTTACCGGGACCTCTAACCCTGGCGATGCAAGCATCGACTCTGTATCATCGGCAATGGCGGTTGATGTTCGTCGTGAAGCAAGCATAGGAGCATTTGAACCCCTCTCATCCACGCCATTTGTGCTGTTGCCTGGTTCCAAGACACGGGATTGTGGACCGACTTGCCTTGCCAACCCTGCTTGTTCGGAACCTACGTGAAGAACATCAACTGCCGGTAGAAGCTGACCTCTTCGATATGCTGCAGTAAATTGACACTCAAGTTGGAGGTGTGCGCAAAATATGCACGGCCAGGTCCCAGAACACCTAGTTTTACGACTTGAACCAGTAACATTAGCAAGATAACGCCACGATCAACCAGCCCGAGGGACCCACGATTTACAACGATCGCAGGCTCTGCTCACCCGCGGCCGTATGGGATCGTCCCTCGGCCTCTTTGCCGGCCGGCTATCCTGCGGCCCCTCGGGTGCTTCTCGAGTTCGGGAGATTGAAGTTGTTGAATGTTTGTCCATCACTTCCTCGGATACAGATCGGAAACAAAAATGTCATACATTAAACTAAAACAAAGAAACGACATGATCGAAATCATGAATTTGCTAAGCCATCCTCTCCTACGCGGGGTGAATCCGGGGTTGGGGTTGCATGGGGAAGCGAGTTCCGCGGAAGCGCTTTTCCGTTTCTGTCCTCAAAGTTCCTCGGAGTCGGAGGGTTACCGATCCTTGTCAACCGCCGCTTTATCCGCCTACCCGCGGATATTCGGTGCCCCGCTTCAACGCCCCCGCCGTCACATCGAAGGCATGTCATGTGTAAGTGTTTGAAGCATATACTGCGAGAACGGTGCTGGCCCTGGATGACTTGTACATTCTGGTGTTAAAAGAATGGGAAAATTCCCTCCGTTGGTGTTCTCCAATTTTGATGACATCTAACCCCATCGTGGTCCACGGAAGGAAGAGCCACAACCCAAACACCCTTGAATCAACAATCATGTCTCGAAAGGGTCTTATCCGAGATGTCATCATCACACCTGTGGCATTCCATGATATGCCCCTGTTGAATAGTGTTGGTGTACACGAACCGTTTGCGCTACGCAGCATCATCGAAATTGTCTCAGATGATGTCTATGGGCTGGGTGAATCTTACGGCGATTCAACCCACCTTGGCCGCCTGCAACTGGCAGCCGATCAAATCAAGTCCAAGAACCTCTCAGTTTACGACACAAATACAATTTACCAAATATGCACCGACTGTCTCAAAGGTGACACCACCACTGGGGGCGACGGAATGGCTGGCATGGTGACCACAGCTTCCGTTGCCGATAAGGTCTTCTCTCCTTTCGAGGTTGCATGTCTGGACATCCAGGGCAAGCTGGCGGGCGTCCCCGTAAGCGAACTGCTTGGTGGCCGCGTTAGAGATAACGTTCAGTACTCGGCATACTTGTTCTACAAGTGGGCCGGGCACCCTGGAGATGCAGATGACGAGTACGGCGCTGCATTGGACCCTGAGGGTCTAGTGAAGCAGGCTCAAAAGATCATCGATGAGTTCGGGTTCAAAGCTATCAAACTAAAGGGCGGTGTGTTTCCTCCAGCTCAAGAGGTCGAGGCAATCAAGGCCCTACATGCAGCCTTCCCCGGCGTGCCCCTGCGGCTAGATCCAAATGCCGCTTGGACAGTCGAGACGTCCAAATGGGTTGCTAAGGAGCTTGATGGTATCGTGGAGTATTTGGAGGATCCAGCCCCAGAAATTGAAGGTATGGCCGCCGTGGCCAAAGAAGCTTCGATGCCCCTGGCTACGAATATGGCGGTAGTCGCCTTCGCTCACCTCCCTCCCTCCATCCTGCAGAATGCCGTCCAGGTGATTCTTTCCGACCATCATTTCTGGGGCGGCTTGCGCAGGTCCCAAACCCTGGCTGCTATTTGCGCGACCTGGGGCATGCGCCTGTCCATGCACTCCAACAGCCATCTTGGTATTTCGCTGGCCGCCATGACTCATCTGGCTTCGGCAACGCCTAATCTCGACTATGCTTGCGATACTCACTGGCCGTGGAAGCCCCGCGACGAAGATGTTGTGGTAGACGGTGCGCTGAAGTGGAGGGATGGTGGACTGGACGTTCCCACCGCCCCCGGCTTAGGAATTGAGCTTGACAGAGAGAAGCTGCAACGTCTTCATCAACAGTATCTCGACTGTGGGTTGCGCAAGCGAGATGATACTACTTATATGAGAAAATTTCAACCGGACTTCTCCCCGGAGATACCCAAGTGGTAACAGTTAGTTACCACAATAAAGTTGCTTGCCTCATCCCTACATCATCAATCATTTGCGAATCGCATATGTAGAATAGTGATTTTGCCACATAAACTTACCGAGATGTGATATTAGAGAGTATCGTTTCAACATATAGCTACAGTTAAAGGTAGGTAAATGGAAGACTATTCCTTGTCAAGGAAAGTGGCTGCTTTATAAGTTCACTAAATCTTTTGCGTGATCAAGTGCCTTTTCAACAATATGGCTAGGAGACATACAGTTGAGAACTACAATTCCATTGCAAGAAACATAACTTATTCTTCCGTGCTAGCACCGTCGTCGATGTATTAATTCGTATATATACTTCAAGAACTCAAGGACAGTGGCGATGAGGTGCCCGCTCACTAATGCACACCAATGCAGACGAACAATGCCGGAGAAGCTGATGGTTTGAACGGGCTCATTTACAGGTTGAATAGATGATAGAAGCTCCGTGTCAGAGCTATGGCACCGTAAAGGATGCGTGCCATTGATAAATACAATATGACCATCTTCAACTACTGGGGCTCCTAGGTTATTGACTAAACCCCAGTGACCAAGCCATAGCAACTTTTCTCTTCGACAGTCCTGCTGACCTAGCCAAGTATACTGAGTAGTTCAAACGAACCCTGCCTCTCGGCCAAAAAGGGTGTTTGAGTGCCTAGGTAAGATAGGTTACAAACAGAGTGGGGTTTTCTCCCGACCCAACCTCGTCGGCAACAAGTTTCAGAGGCTTCAGTACAAACATTCCGCGGATGAACTAAACCTGAATTGAGATGCCGCAGACCCTGGTCCCAGCCGTGAGCCGATTTCTCTCACACGGAATTGTGTCTTTTCACTATCCATCCCATCCCCACAGTATTGCGCCGGAACATGGTACGAGCCCACGGGATTTAGGGAGTTTTCCTTACTTGCGAGAACATGAGAATGCGGGGGTGGAGCAGATCATCCTTCCCCAGTGCGGGGGAAGTGGACATCGGAGTGGTTTATTCCCTTCCCCGAGTTGCATGTATACCTGCTTTTGTAACCAAAGACTCGTTGGATATCCGAACCCTTGCCAGAAAGATGGTCTTATAAATGCCACATCTCTAACATTGGCTCAGGACTGCTTTAACTGCTTATATCCCACTCTGAGTAAACGGGATCAGTAGCTCCTCTGTCAGACTTTGTCAGACGACAGCAGAACACCTTGAACGCCGTTGAGTTTACAACGCACTTTTATTGTCTCACGTCGAGTCCCGAACCTAAGCAATAAGCAAGATGACGAAGCGGACGGCAGGACACCGCGGAAACTCGGTTAGGTCGGTCATGATTGGCCTAGCCATCAGTCTTGCAGGGTATGTAAACTACTCGATGTCCAAGTTGCATGTTGCCTCTGAACCATTGGACTGATGGTTACGTTTTGTCTAGCTTCGTGTACGGTATCGACACTGGGATTATAGCCTCCACAATCGCTCAAAAGACTTTTAAAATTTACATGTATGGGTCTACACTGGACAACGCCTCCATTAGAGCCGGCATTGTCTCTGGGTACTATGCGGGATACGCTGTTGGAAGTGGCGGCTCTGCCTATGCCATGGACAAGATCTCTAGGCGTTGGACGCTGCTTCTAGGTGCATGCGCTAGCGTCTTGGGAGCTGTTCTGCAGACTGCTGCTATGAACCCCGCCATGATGATTGTTGGTCGCGCCTTTTCGGGCTTTTCAACTGGCATGGTGTATCCGACTGCGCCCGTATATCTAGCAGAGCTCAGTCTTCCAGAGAATCGAGGGTTTCTGGTAGGCCTGAAAGGACTGATGAACACATTGGGGTTCTTTGCTGCGGGTTGGGTTGGATACGCCGGCTCGTTTGCCGTTGGTGACTACCAATGGCGAGTGCCACTGGCTACCCAAATCCCACCAGCGCTGTCCCTGGCCATCATGACGGCTTTCCTCCCATACTCTCCTCGTTGGTGTAAGTACATTCCCTCTTAATCAATACTTTTTTTTTTTTTAGCTATTTTTCGTATATTAACACATCTGCTAGTGGCTATGAAAGAGCGATACGATGAAGCCAAGAAGGTCATGTACACACTGCATCATCACCGTGGCGATGATGTCGTCGAAAAGGAGTTTGCCGAAATGTGCAGTCAAATTCAGCACGACACCACGAAGAAGAAGTCTTCCAACTTCATGAATCTTTTTACACGCCAGTACATCCGTCGTACTCTACTTGCATGCCTCACTGTCAACATGATGAAGCTCTCAGGATCCAACATCATCCAAAACTATCAGTCCATCATGTACAACTCGCTTGGCTACAAAGGCCAAACGGTTCTTCTAATCGGCGCATTGTACGGATTTATGGCTGTAGTTGGACAGATTATTAACGTATTCTTCGTTGCTGACCACTGGACTCGCCGCATTACAGTTATTTCTGGTAGCTTCTGCCTTGCTGTCCTCCTCTCAGTTCTCACGGCGCTGTCAGAGCGGTTCCCAGAAGGATCTGATGCCAACGGATCTCGTGCAGGAGTTGCATTTATCTTTCTGTTTTCTTTCTCGTACTCATTCTTCTTCAACAGTGTCAACTGGGTCTTGGTCGCTGAGATCTTCCCACTTGATCTTCGTGGCGTTGGTGTCGGATTTTCCGTATTCACGCAGTCCGTCACGGCGATTTGGCTTTCGTACGCGGCATCTATAGCATTTGGTGCAATTTCGTGGAAGTTTTACTTCGTCTTCATCGCCTGCAACGTCTTTGCCGGAACCATCTACTACTTTTTCCTCCCCGAGACTCGCTTCCTTTCGTTAGAGGAGGTTGCAGCCAAGTTTGGAGATGACGTTGTCGCCATCTCACCGAAACAAACGGAAATAGAGGCTTCGGAGAAAATTGAGCCTGATGTGACGAAGGCAGAAGTTTCATCAGACCATCTTGAGGATGTGAGAAAATGAGAATGGCCACAAAGGATTAGCAAACATGAACTTTTTCACGCAAAAAAAACCCAGGTGTACATGGACGATGTGTATTGTTAGCTTTTCTCTTTTTTTTTCCTCATACATTTTGAGGATTTACCAATAGCAGTCCGCGGACAATATCCAACTCTGGCAAACAGCTATGATCTTAAATCAACAGCTTGCAGATCACAAAACAAGCGTCTGATTACCAATTTCTTTTCCACAATCACCAAAAGCAACCCAAGTCCGTCCACGAGGGTAGTTACATATCTTCCTATGCTTGAGTCCAAAGAAGCCGAGATCACGACACATACTGACTGTAACTCGTCGATATCATAAGTGCACCTTTTGGTTTCTGATGTTGGCGCGACCAAGATGCAACCAATCGAAACTACCAAAGAGCTGTGTCTTTTCTTCAGCACCGCAACCTACCAAGACTTTTTATGGAGGCTTCCATAACTCGAAAAATCCCTTGAAAGAAGTTTAAGAGATAATCGCTAAAGCATTTTCCCGTTGTTGGGCCTCTTGTTAGAGCCATAAGCAATCGGCGAATGGAACAAGCGGGGTCGTCCATGGGGTATACAAAACGAACAAACTTTCAAGAAGGGGACAGAAAGGGGGGGGGAGAAGACACCGATCAATCCGTACAGGAACCGCAATAAAATCAGATGGACCATTAATAACCGAAGTTTCATTTGGCATGCAGCGCACTAAACGGACCAGCAACGAATATCCACTTAATCAACTTTATTTGGTGCGCTATGTGAATGACTCCTACTTCTGAAGAGTCTATGGGTATCTATACTCCGCCATTGAACCCCATTCAACCTCTACCTAGGACAACGTTAGTATGCTCCCCTTTTTTGCCGTTTAAAATGTTTTTTCCTCCTTGTACGTACATTGAAGAGGATTACTGGCAAATCATGCCAACACCGCCAACGGGGGCGCGAGTATTCTGGCACGTCGTACCGGCGCAGCATCCGCGATCGCCAGGACCACCACAGTTCGCTGGTATTATAGTTAGCTAGAGTCGCAAACAATAGCCATAGAGTTCAAGATCGGATGGTGACTCACCGCCCTTCGTAGCGCAGTCGCCCTGTCTCTTGACCAGGCCTACATCAACAGATGCGGCAGAGGCAGCGGTAACAACAGTAAGAATAGTGGCAATAGTAATAAGCTTCATCTTGTCGAATATTAGATTTGGGACGAAGAATTAAGACGAAAGCTAATCTGAGTCCAAGCGGGCCGACGGGAGCATATTTATATTTTGCACTCTAATATAGTGCTGTTGTCCAAGCTCCTTGGCTTTTTATATGAACTCGCCGTCAACTCCACTAGGTACCCCTTGTGAACTTCTTGGCCGTTGCAGTTAAGCATCATAACATTACTCGAGGGCGGAATTCTGACATATCAAGGCTGGCTCTCAAATTACTCACAACAAACTCTAATATGTGGAGTACAACCTGATTCAATTGCGTTGAAACCACATTAGTTTCGTGAAGCTGCTTTACACTGTCTCAGGTAAGTTGCTGAAATCTTGGCTAGCCTTGTTTAATGCTTTGCGACTCTCCGGTACCGTTGCAATCGTTCTCTTGGATATATCAATACGAAGAACCGGAGGGATTTCGACAACTCCACTGTGATCTGCACTGGTTTCAGAACAAAGCAATTGGCGTTTGGCAAGCCCTCACTGGGTGCAATGACAGAAGCCAAGGGAGTTACTTGCATATCAATCCGGCGTTACCCGATAATTTCTGCATTTGATACGTGAAAGTAACACTCAATTCTCATGAATTTCATCTGATTGAAAGCAAGTCGAGGCATACAAATGAGAATGACAAACGAACTTGTGGGCTTGCAACTGGCCAAATCAGAAGTCTCCCCTTTAGTCTCCAACGGTTGATCCGGCTTCTATATATCTATGTTACACTAATCAAGGTAGAAACAGTATCCCATAGTATCTTCATCGACATTTTGATAAGTAGAAATGTTAATCAAATAGTACAAAGTGAGACTAAGTAAGTAGTGTTGAACATGGCACTATTAAAGCTCACGAAGCATTCTAAGCTTAGTATACTTTTAAACGCGACTTCATGCATATTAATTGTATATATGTAAGATTCGGTATCGTGCTACTCTGATGCTTACTTGAATGTAAGAAATGTTAAACTCGTCATCTTCTCAAAGAAAAGACACACAACCTACAAGCCCCCATCATCTTTCGATCTCCAGTACAGTCATCAGAACAATGGTACAAGTGCTTCAAGTGAGTAATAGAAATGTCTTGCTTTATACGGGCAAGTCCGGAATGTGAATATCTAGTTAATGGGTTACAAATCCTTTGATTGGACTTTTCAAAACTCAAGGCTATGATGGTGATGAGTAAGTGGCAGAAATATTCGAGTGCCATTAGTTTTCCTCGTAGCGGTTCAGTTACCTAATGATATCCGTCAGTGTAAAAGTATTGTGTCCCGCTTATGCGTCTAGCACCAATCTTCGCACTGGTCAATCTTAGCTCCCAGCTTGGATGATGATACAAGAGAAAGAGAAGGAGACTAGGGTTGTTGCTGCTACCAGAATTTGCGAGTATCCCTGCATCAATCAGCATTGTCAACTGCCAGGAGTCTTTCGCTGCTGACGGTTCACCAGTTACTGACAAGACAACCCGCTTGTTCCTTATCAAAAAACCCGTTGCCTTGCAGGCTCTAACAAGGTGGACACCGACTATATCCTGGAACTCCAATAGCTATGTATCAGAAACGTGAGGTATTGCCGCTGAGTGAGTTTCCCATTCAAAGAGAAACATAACACGAGATATTACAGTTTCTTAAACATGTTGGATTCTGCATTCTACGACAAGGGCTCTCACACTTCCTATCTGTCCTTGCGCATTGAATGTGCAAGACCTCCTCAGCCATTCACCTGCACCATCTTGAAGAAGACCAGGACAAGAATAAGAGTTCAGAATGTGTAATGAAACCAGTCGCCACGTTTGAGCGAGCACTTTAAACCCAGTTAGACTTCCGACAAGTCAGAGAACTTATCGCACTGTTTGTTCAGCGAGTCATGTTTGAAGATCCAACCTGCGACCCTCTTCATTTCAAATATGTGGGACGTTTATTACCTGACTAGGCTGTGCAGTGCATCGCGAATTGTGTGTCTGCATTCATTTCTAGGGCTCAACTCACTAGGAACAAGCAAGTCTCTCGCGTTAAGGAGATAATATGCATATTTGCCTGCCCGCAGCAATAAATTTATCTCTTTAGTTGGGTTAACCAGCTGGAATAGAACTAACATATCTTAACAAAAGCAGCTCAAGGTCTGGTTTAAGTGATTTTCTATAACTACGGAAAGCGAAAAATGGAAGCCTGCCAGTTGACAGGAGACCAATCGTTACGAAAGCACTACCTTACTCTACCAAGGCCTTAAATGTTAGAGAAGCGTTTCGGCAACGGTTAAGTTTACCGAAAACGCGACTTTCTCTGATAAAGGGTCAGTGATGCGATTCATATGGAGGGTTGCGTTTATTTCATGAAGAATAACACCACAGCAACGAGTGTGGTGAGCATGGGCGTCCGGATGGGATGTATTCAATGGTTTGTTGTGTGTATAACAAACTGCAACGTGCAGAGTATGGGAAAGCTCATATCACAGTTTCCACGTACAATGCTTCTCCACAGACCCCGCATGATATCTCAATCACGCCTACAAGATACCACAGTTATACATGATATTCAATGCAACCCTCGAAAGGTAGATTGCGGGCTCAAGTTACCCTTATAAGCACCAGAATGAAAGATTGGGTCTGCATTCTTGATCCAGCGACGTAAAACGGAAATAAAAACGCTAGTAAACACGTATTTTGCTTCGATAGGCATTCTTGATAATTTCGCTACCGCCGCAAATGCTCATGCTTGGCTGTACATGCAAGTTAATGAACAGAACAAGAGCAGTGCCAAGAAGACATAACTTCTAGGAAGTGGCCTTTTTTTTTTGCATAAGTTTAGACACTGTCCGTGATTGAAATTTCAGCCTTAAATCTTCACTTCAAGTCAGTCAGCCAATCGAGATGCCGCCCTGATCTATTTAGCACCCGCTTACTTAGGTGGGCCCCGGAATACGAAAGCGCGAGGTTGCGTTTAACAGGGGTAAAAGCGAAGGATTAGTGAAGGAATAGAAGCCTAGTCCAAGTTTGCACTTTTTCAGGAGTCAAAAGAAATGCAAAGGCGACTTAGTCATCTTGCATGGCACCACGCGCAGCGTTTACGCCGCATTCCTGCGTGATTTAGGCAACTAACATGAGGTTTTCTTGCTCCAATAGGCTAGCAACTGTACGCCAAGTCAATACAAATCTTAAACCCCTTGCTAATAAGCTTAGGTGTGTTTTCAACGTTGCACTCAAGATGTAGAACAGTATACTTTGATATCCCTAATTCAGATAAATGGCTCATCACATTGCTCAATTGACTAGTAAGTTGGGCGGAACTAGGGTCGGCGGCTATTCCCTTGTAAATCTGGATGCTCACGTCAGCCTCAGCCGTGACGGGCCGAGCAAACCCTCAACCTCAACTTGGTTAGTTCTCAAGCCAACCTACCTTAATCTGATATCAATCATGTCGTATTGGCGAGAAATCGTAGCGATGCATCCGAAGAAGTCAAGCACCTTCCTGTATAAGCTAATGCCGGCACTAGGGAACACGATTGTAATCGCGAACATAGTCACGCATACAGTGCTAATGGAGACATTCAGAGCTCTTTCAGACTCTCGGGTTCGTAATGAGAACTCGCTCAGCCATCATGGCCACTGACTACCACACAGAAGTCACCAACATAAATAGTTGATGACTCCTCCTCATCATCTTTGAAACTTTCTACTTAGATATGCTCAACCAGCTCTTCTAGACTTGAAATTGTCTGAGTATTCGATTCTTGTTACACTTGAGCCGTGACTGTTGCCACAATGCTCTTTCCTGCCCGCCTCACTGCTGCGCTCCAGCTCACGCTGGCATCTGTCGCCGTCCTTGGACAGGAAATTTCTAAACCAGCAGCATGGCCTAACCTGGACCAATTTGCACCGACACTCGGCACACTGACTCGAACCTCCACCAGAATCTCGCCTTGGGTCAGCGGGAACATCTCTAGGGGCTGCAGAGACCGTGTTTTGTTAGACAAGAGAGACCCCACCAAGTTCAAGGCGTATACAATCTACATGGGTGATGTGAGTTTTCAAATGTTTCTTAACAAAGGTGTCTTACCTTACGAGAGAGAACTGCTGCTAATGTACCATGACGTTATCTTTCACAGTGCGATATCCCATGGGTCATCTGCCGTGAGGACGGTGCTGAGCCCTCAATTGATAAGCTGGTCGACACTCTTGCCCGAGTTCCCGTGGGCATGCGCCAGTTTGTTGGCGACGTTGTCCACTTTAAGGGTGGTAACGGAGCGTCGGCATGGCAGAGCAGCATTCTCCACGTCAATGGCGATTCTGCTGGTAGTGTTGCTGTGTTGATACACGAGGCTTCCCACTGCGTCGACGGTGCGGTACGTCTCACCTTCTATCCTTTGGTCTCCCCAAGTTACTGTATCCATGAGTTATGGCGTGGATTCCGAGCTAACGCCTTGAGTGAAGAACGGCATGGGCATGATGTCCGGGGACCAGACATGGCGCGATGCATTCAACAAAGACAGCCATGTTGCTGACAACTATGCAAGGACCAACCACGTCGAGGTATGTGTTATTATCCAAAAAACTCCATCGATTGAGTGGGTAAGAAATTGACACTGATTCCTTTTACCAAACTCCAGAACTTCGCTCAGTATGCCGGCCTGATCATTTATGATCGCGTTACCAATAAGAAGCTCCAGACATTTACGCAGTACAACCAGATTGTCCAACAGATCCGCCGCATGGCGACTGCGGCCGATAGTAAGCAGAATTGGGGTGACAAGATGTTCGACTACTCCGGCACGAAGAAGTGCGGCCGCCGCTGGTCTCATACACCTGCTGTCAACCCCAAGACAGGAGAAATCATTGCCAAGAGAGACTTTATTGCTCCACGTGACACAGGCATTCTTGTCGAGTCTCTACCAATAGAGCTTATTACTGCCCCCGTAACTAACTGTACTATCGATGCCAGTATTTGAGACAACTGGATTGGAGGAATTCGAACCTAAGGCAATTATTAATAGTCACTCTCAAAAGGGATAGCCATCTTAATACTCCGGTTTCTAATCCTGAGCTAAGGTTATGTTGGAATTCAGTGGACAAGAAAGCAGTAGGTTGAGGGCGACATTGAGGCCACTTGGGCTATTTTTCGGTGCTCATAAGTCAACGAATAGGCACGAATAAAGTCTAAATATCTTATAAGAATGTCTAATCGCAAGTTCTAATTTACTTCTTTCAAATCTTCTGATAGGGGTAGGCAGCAACGATGATATCGAACCTAGAATGAATTTTTGACTCGAGTTATGTGTGATCAGCTATGATGATGGCTCCAGACCCTCAAACCAGCTTTTTGGTGCCCCGGCTACGTGCTCACACGACAAGTTTCTGGTGACAGAGTTCTTAAGTGGCTCAAAGCAAGCCACTTTGGTACTAATTTATGCCGCCGTACTGTAGCCCAAAATAACACCAGTACCTTTGAGTTTCAATGGGCCAGTATTTCAGCAACGTTGTACTTGTTATACAAGGAAAAGTTCAACAGCCAATAAGGAACTTAGATGGTGAGATAGTATTCACTAGAGAGCATGTTCTTTGTCACAGACTTGTGTTCAATGATCACCTACGAGTACCTTCTTCAACAACGATTAAAGGGTAATTAAGTTGAATCATGTTTGAGATTTGTAAGTCTTTGCGTCTTTCTAATTTCCGCAGTTAGCGAATTCCAAATGATTTGGAAACTACCAAATGAACACTTAGCATCAGTAGATACTAAAGTCAGATATTACCTACTATTCAGATCAAGTCGAAAATTCCCCAGAGACCAAGAATCACAGTCTCACCTCTATAAGCAAAGGTGGTTTTCACAATACTCGGTTTGGCCTTGAAAGTTCACTTAGTATAGCAAAGGCCATTAAAGCCAGTTTTTAAGAAGTATAGGCGTCGCAAGTGATTCTAGTACTCAATGAACATCAAGCGCTGCTAGTAAATCAGCTTTGCCAAGTCCTCTTAGCAGTACAAGAAATCCACAGGAGGAGATAGATTATTTGCACTTGAGAATCCCTTGAACCGCATCCACAAGTTGCGCACAAAGAAGTTTGTATCAACGGTGTAAACAGGACCTATATTGAGAAACTGGCCTTAGCTGTAATCCTCGGTCGCGCTCACTTCGGTCGAAATTGCGCGCGTTTGAGACGACAGAGATTCTACCTCTGGCCACCCTGAGTTCATCAATCCTCGCTTCTAAAACGCACTCTCGGCAAGCTGGGCAGCAATTCTTCTGAGAGTGTGAAGAGACAGTTCTGCGTTGGAGTTGTACTGGAACCTAACAAACAGAGGGTTGTTGGACCATATAGGGAGAACTGACGTCAAAATAACATGGAGCTGAAGACAATGAGCCCAGCACTACCATGTAGAACCCCAATGGTTGTTCCGGGACCCGAGGCCAGCGGGCATGCTGGGTTGGACGCTCGGCCTTATCCTATCGAGTATGGTCTGATTACAGGACATTTGCATGAAGTGAAAGGGGAAAGAAAAAAAGAAAAAAGAAAGAAGACCAGGCTCGTTGGCAGCAATGTAGTCTGGTCAAGCGCGTTCTTTTTCGTCACTAATTATATCCGGCGGATCAACCTAGTGTATCATAATAGTGAATTCTACAACATATCCTACACCGAGCCGTAGGCAGACAAGTGCTCAACATTTCTATATGGTATGAGATCCTGTCTTGGCATTATATGATTGGTCTCGAACTCCAGCGCGCGCATATCACTACACCTTGGTTTCTACGCTATGAATTCGTTACTGCGCCGCAGGGCGTGTTATAATGCTCAGGGCTGATTCGCCATCATTAATTGCAATTTGACTGCCCAATTTCAGGTCGTGAACCATAATCACGAAACATTTGCTCCATTATAGCCCGACCCTCACAACTTCTTCTCTGTCCTCCAATTCACACATGTCTCTGATGATCTCATTCGTGAAGTGACTTTTACATATTGAAATGGCGTCATCTTTTGGGCAGCTGCGAGGCACTGAGATGGCATACCTCGATAACGGCCTTCATCCCGTACCTCACTCAGACGCAATCGTCAACGAGCCGGCGTCACTGGATTATATGGCGTATCATAGCGCGCAAAGTAGGGATTATACACAGCTCAAGAACGACACCCCAACAGCAGAGGCACCAGAAAGCAAGAAAAGAATCTGTGGTGTGAACAAACAGGTCTTTATTTTGTGGTGTGTGATTGGATTCATGGTCTCTCTTCTGGTTATTGTCGGCGGCGTGTTTGGAGCTATGCTGGCACGACAAGAGTCAAGGATACGAACGATGGAAAAATCGCGAGGGACGGGGTAAGAGATACCTTGTGCGATTTCTATTGCCATGTCACAATTAAATCGCCATTTTGATTAACATTCACCCCTCCAGGACCGAATCCGCTCCAGCGGCAGCGACTACATGGCAAGTTATCCCGGATTGGCAGTATATCGGATGCTACCGCGATAATTCTAAACGACTTTTTCGAGACAACACTACAGGCTTCACTGATACTCAGACGAATGAAGAGTGTAAGAACTTTTGCCAGAAAGATTTCAGATATTTTGGGACAGAGGCCGGCGGCGAATGCTATTGCTCTAGCACTTCTCCGGACAATGACTTTTTTTCGCCGCCATGGAACTGCAACGAGCAGTGCAAGGGTAGCAGGGTGGGCGAAAAATGCGGAGGGTCTTGGTACTTGAGCGTGTGGAAAAAAGTATAGTAATGAAGGATGTGGTGGTAACATGTGCCTAACCAATTGGGATGAACGCTAATTATTATGTAACGGTGTCGTGATTATCTTTGTCGCTTTATCGGACAAGCTGTCAGGAGTCTAATCTTAAGTCGCGTATCTAGGTATTACAACTTTTCAAATCTAGTACGGCCTGAAAAACAGGAGCAGGACTATTTCTATGTAAAAGACGCATGCGAATGGTCTCAAGAGACCGAAGTCTTTCCGAAATACCACCATAATAACAATTGACAGAAGGAAGAGCGAACGAAATGTTCATACTGCGGCCCGGTCTGAAATTCAGAGAACTTCAGAAAGATACTGGCGTGTCTTATGGACTGACCGTGACGTAGCCACTTTCTTTTGACTATCTTATATCGTCGACCTAGGAGACCGAGATCCGACCTGACGAGGAGACGCGGCTGGAGGTATTTGATAGTCTGCGCGCTTGCTCCCGTTTTTAGTAAAATAATACAACGATGCGGAAGCCTGATCAATCTTGGGGTTAGGCACGGCGATTGAGCAATCGACTATCTTAGCCAGTATGTTGTTGCCTTACGCTTGCCGAGGCACGTAGGTCGGCAATTGCGGCACATGTTGAGTTAAAGTCACTGGTATTGTACGTAATACATAGACCCTCTTTCTTTAGTAGAATTGCATAGTCTATAATAGTACAACTCCTTTTATGGAATAACCTTGTTCTAGAATCGCAAGGCCCTAATTACTCCTATTTTCATTAACAAACATGATTTAGTCAAGTTTGTAGTGTGATCGTCACACTATATGATTGTCTTATAGATCTAGGTTGTACTCTTCTGTTATAATCTATATGACCTTCTTCACCTAGCTAACAAGTTTCAGCACTCTGCTGATAGTGAACGGCGATACTTTAAACTGGTATTTGTTACGGTACTAGGCTAGTACATTTATAACTGACTATGGCGACAACTACGAGTATCCTTAGATAAAGGATCAAGAAGAGAATATCTATTAAGCTCTGCTTCGTTGATCATCTGATCAGGCTTAACCGACCCATCATCAATACGGAAAAGATGCCGTGCGAGGTAACAACAACAACCAACAGCCAAGGATAAGGCCCCGGCATCAATACCCCGGGCAAAAACAGTCTCAAGCCCACTTGTATTTCCTAGCAGCGAGGTTCAAATACAAGATCAAACGAACGAAATACATAATGAACCAGGACCCTTCTGTGTGTACACTCGCGCCAACCCCACCTATTTTGATGAAACTGTACCACTGCAGGCCCCACTGCCCTCGCAGCTCGAACTCCAACGTTGGCAAACATCTCGAAAGTAACAGCAGGGGTGATTTCTATCCACCAACTTCGCTAATAGTTGGTTATTGCAAATATAAAAGAATGAAATGTAATTCATCACACCGACTATCCTGCTTCTCGTCATCAGTTCTTCTGAAATACCTTATTGTATTCCTCTATTCTTATATTTGACATCAATATGGCCAGCATCGCACCTGGAAGAGTCTTTACTCCTGGTCTGGACTTCACTGCTCAGTCCTACAGCGACCTTGGCAAGAAGGCTGAAAAGGACGTCACTCGGGCGCACGAAATCATAAACGAGAAACTTCCAGTTCTATCACAGCTCAATGCCTTGATTTCCTTGAGTTTTGGGGACCGCCCTCCTGTTTTCCTTGATGCTCGTGGATCTGAAGCTAAGCTAGCCGACTCGTCAACTGATGAGCCTGACACTAAGCTTACCATCAAGCCTGAGTACATCTCACAATTCTATGAAGGCAAATTGGAACCGCGTTATGGCCTTTTCAAAGATGCCTTCTTCCACGAGGCCTCAATGCCCAAAGGCAACATTCCTATTGCAATCAAATTCGCCGACCTACTCACTCCCAACCCTCCGGTCCCGCCCAAGAAGGTCACGCCCGGCGCTTTTCCTCGTCTTCCTAGCCCCACAGAAGACATCGAGCAGGTTAAGCGTGACATAAAAGAGTTCGGCTATGGCCTAGTCAAGAATGCTCTCAATCCTGAGCAAGTTGCCATAATGAAGAAAGCCACGCAAGAGCAGGCGGCTGGTGAGCGTCAGGCCGGTGTCTCTGCTGCCGACGGTGGACCTAATGCTCCAAATCAACGCATTTGGACCTTGGTCAACAAAGGAGAGGAGTTCTTGGATCTCCTGAATCACCCTCTGATTGACGAAATCGTTCCCTGGTTCCTGGGATAGCACGCCCTCATTCACAGCTACACCGCAAACATCGCCCGCCCTGGCAACGTCCCCATGCAGCTGCATACCGACCAAGTTGCTATCCAGCCCCCAATTCGAGACATTGCTTTTGGTTTGAACATCATGTGGTTCCTGGAGGACATTACTGAGAAGAACGGAGGCACTCGTGTATTTCCCGCCTCTCATCTCGGACGGGTCGCCCCTGATGATCTTTTCACCATCGATGGCACTGTCGCTGCCGAAGGTCCAGCTGGAACAGCCCTCGTTTTCGACAGCCGTCTGTGGCATGCCACTGGCCCCAACCGTGAGGAGAGTGGCGAGCGTCCTGTTATCCTGATTTTCTTCATGCGATCTTTCATTCGCCAGCAGGAGAACAACTTTCTATCCTTGCGCAAGGATTTTGAGGGCAAGCTGTCTGACAGAGTCAAGAGACTTCTTGGCTTTTATACCACGGGAGCTCTTGGGGGCATTGAAGGTGAGGTCCGCGAAGGCATTTTTGTGACGAGGAAGGACGACTGTGTTGATACTCTCCGTGCCGCGCATGAGGGTTAGACTGATGTTAGCTTCAATTTATCTCAAAATTGCACATAAAATTATCGTACAAAGGCTATAAACTAGGGTCTATCATCTTGGTTGTTTTCTTAGAGTATAATTGGCGATGCATGTGCTCATGCCGATTCTAGAGACTAAGCGCCTTGTTCAAAGTTGAAGCATTGCACATTTAATTGATACCTCTATCATGTGCTCCAATATATTATCACTCAATTTCTAGGATGTTAGGTATTGCCACTCATCCAGCCAACTAACTTGATATTGTCCATGGTTGAGACCGGTGAACCTTCTAGACGGGCGATGGTAAATTTCAAGAGGAATATGGGACAAACTCTTCAAGATTGTGTCATTCTCTTAACAAAGTTCATCATCATTCATCCTCGTAGCCCCACCTCCAACAACAAACAAAATCTCACCAGATGGTAATCTCGCCTGTGGCGCTGTCGAATCCTTCAGTGAACGAGTTCCATTCCAAGGATCGGTTAAACAGAGCTGGCTCCTAAGCTGCAGAACAAACTCACCGCGTCACCTATTGCCAACCATTTTAGTGGATCTTTGTTGTCTTGTTGGTGCAGAATTGTTTGCTGACCCTTGCTGATTGTTGGTACAAAGTTACACTCTTCCTCCGAGGACCCAGTGCGTTATGGATCAGACGCAACCCTGGCAATCGGCCCAGAATTCGACTGCTTCCAACAGCGTGAGTGATTGTTGAGATTAAACGTGATTGGATATGGGAAGCTGATTCCGAAATGTTATGGCTTAGGTTCAGAGACTTCGGTCCAGCATCTAGCTATGGAGATGCTCCCCGTTCTAAGAGCGACAACATCATTTCATAAACCCAGGAACCTGGCCGCTGAGATCACCAAGCAAACAATTCTCTGACTCCACTGCAATGCCATTTTTTTCCTGTTTCGATACGTCAATATTCCCTTTATGGTGATACTGTCCTCGGCGTCCACAACAGCACGGCGACAGCAGTATAGACTGAGAAGGTTGGGGTTTTACCAATTGTTGAACCTATGAATGCTAAGAGCACTCCCATATAGCCGAACTAGCATCGAGCTGCGTCCGTGAATACGCTAGACGCCATGAAAGTTACGATGCCGAGCTCTATATCAAGGAAACAGCTTCCCAAGAAGAAGAAAATATCAATCTACGTAAAACATCATGAATTTGGGTCATCTCATCAGGGGATTATTGTGTAATTGCTTAGCACGGGGGATTGCAGGTACTAAGTCACCAAGTAGTATGGCACCCATGCGCATGTAGACACAGCTTTTCTTTGCCAAGGACCGCATCTGAGGATCCCATTTCCAGTTTGTGTACATATGTCAGAGCCCAAATATTTTCTCGCCCAGAAAGACTTCGAAGTGAATACGATGCCTCTTCTTCTTTGAAGGATTGCACCAGAATCCCACGTTTGACCATCAGCAGGTAACCTTGTAACCGCTGCATTTTTACCCCCAGTTCCATTCCAAGCAACTGCCATCGAGTCTGAAGAAATGGCTACAAAACCTTTCGATGAGATGAAGGTAAACTGGATCACCCAGCCAGATATGCTTGGGAAAGCTACAGTAGGTGTGACTCTCTGTCTTGGTGTGCTTTCTACACTCCTTGTCATTGTGCGTGTCTGGACACGCCAACACACACGTGCCATCGGTGTTGATGATTATTTAATGGTGGCCGGCTTAGTAAGTGCTACGTCTTCTCGGGCTTTCGCGATGCTTGAGTCTATGAGTTAACCTAACACGACATTTTAGGCCATCTTTATAGCATGCTGCATATCTACTTCATTTGCTGTCTACGCTGGGATGGGCACTATAGACTCCCGATTACAGGAGTGGAATAAAGTCGCAGGCACCAAGGTGAGCAACGCTTAAGCAATGAACCCCTATTCTGGCAGCGGGACTCACTCAAACGCCAGGGATTTGTGCTTTTCCAAGTAACTTACTCGTGGAGTTTGCCTTTCGTCAAATCTAGCATTTGTTTCACCGTTTTTCGAATAACGACCCACAAGATATACCGCTTCATCCTCTGGGGCGTTATGATTGCTTCCACTCTCAGCACCACGGTGGGTTTCATCGCGGTTGTTGCATCTTGTCGACCTATCAGTTACACATGGGACAAGTCTATCCGCGGAAAGTGCGCGCCTGCGGAGATAATTACTTGCATTAGCTACGTCGTATCTGTACTGGTAATCGTCACTGACTGGACATGCGCTATCGTGCCCACTGTTGTCATATGGAGGTTGCAAATGAAATCGCGCGTCAAGGCCTCTGCTTGTGCCATTCTTGCACTTGGCGCGATGTGAGTCCTGATAAGTGCTGACAGAATAAACTTTGACTTACAGTAACATAGTGCAAGCGCTGCAACCATAATCCGCCTTCCATACCTCCAATATTATTCCAAGCCAGAGGATTACCTTTGTAAGAAACCGAAATATCGATACGGCGTTCTGACGTGTGTGCGGCTAACAGTAGATGCGGTCGCAGATAACATGGCCAAGATTGTAATCTGGTCAATTTTCGAATGTGGGATTGGCATCATCGCAGGCTCACTGCCCTCACTCCGGCGACTCCTCAGGTCCTGGATCGACAAGTCCTCTTATGGCTCACATAGCAATGACATATCAAATTACCTAAACACTGGTTCTGCTTGTCCCGGTACCAACGACATGCAATTGGATAGTCTCGGCAGAAGGGGGAACACGTTTTCAAACTGTCAAACCGGTCACCGCGACACGTGGGACCAGCTTGACGACGACAACAGCCAAAGGAACATAATCATCAAAACTCAGGAGGTATCTGTTGAAATTAGCAAGTGCCCGGAACAGAACAGCAGTAGAAAGGGTCTTTCGTTTTCTTAAAGAGACTCAGCGTGCCGTGTCTTGTACAACATTTGAAGAGATAAATTGTAAATCAAACATAAGCTATTCAACAGTTAGCCGTGATGAGACAATAAGTGAGCCATAAATAGAGTTAAATACTTGAATTTTTATAAAATGAGACAATTTTTGGTCTTTCATAAGTTAGCATAACTCCTAGGAACTCGGTTCTGCGGATCTTATTTCTGGATAATAGGACGACGAGTGTTTGGATAAGCAGTTTACTTCTTACCTTTTACCTCTCTTGATTCTCACTGCATGTGGAGGAGATTCAAGAGCACTGGCAACAGTGCCCACATAAGGGGGTTGCACCTGTTATAAGGGATAAGATCATGTCGCTACTCATCAGAAAGCCAAAAAAAGTAAGTGATTGAAATGAAGTAGCATGGTCCGAAAGTCTTGTTGCCATAGTTTTGGGTATGCTTTTCGGAGTTATCTTTGTGAAAATGTTACACCATTCAATATTTGAGGTTTAAACTTGAGACCCGGTCATATTTTTTCGCTTCAGACCACAACCTTGCGCAAGTGAGCACTTTAAACCTGTCCTACATTCCTCTTGGTCGTGTTTGGCGATTTAGCAAACAACCGACTTTCATAGGGAATCAGTTACGAAAGTCTTGTGTATCGTGCTCAGTAATGCTTCATGAGCAGATTGGAAGATGCCATGAGAGTTCTTAGTCTCGTCATTGCTTTCAGCAGAGGTTCAAGTGGCAAGATGTACAACCGATCTTCTGCGACAATCCTATCGACAGCATCGTCGAAGATGACGGTCATCTACAGAGGGACACAAATCCACTGTTCGAGTGACAGGCAAAAACTCATCAACGCAAAGGTGGCAACAGGGCGCTGGAATGCGTCGTCTGTATTGCGCATGGTATTGCACAAAGATAAGAAATAAAAATATCATGTTGGTGTTCATGTATGGCCTTTCTCAGGTGGTGTCGACCAGTTTCCTTTCACGCCATCTGGGCAAAGGGTAGAATTTGTATTAGCGGGTGATTCTTCATAAATGTTTATCGAATATGTTTTGGTTAGCGATAAAGTTCAAAATGTTATAACGTTCTCCTACCTGGAGCACACTGAAGATTCAACGGAAGATTGAAAAGTTGAAACTGCCTCGAGGGCGCGAAAAGGATATGGGAGAGAACTTTTTTTATCCAGTATCCATGTCCAAGTATCCCAACCTAGGTGTGCACAATTATCAAAAGACTTCATTAAATACGACAAGATGAAGATATACAGATCGTGATGCCAATAATCAGAATCGGCGTTAAAAGTCTCATACTACAACTACTCGGCCATCGAGGCTCTCCATGCCAGGCTTTCAGTATACCTAGAGGCAGTTCTCATTCCCCACCACTCAGCTTAAAAAAAAGAATCACCACTCCCCCAATCCTTCCGCACCAATAATAAACAGGATGAAAAAAAGTAAAACAAAGTTTAAAAGTCATACATCTACATGTACCCAATAATACATTTCGCGAGCCATGCAGCAGTGCCATTACGCCGCTCTTTTCGTGGGGAACATTCGTCTTCTCCTCATCATCAATCCTCTGCGTCTTGGAAACAAGCAAATGTCGTCGCTCTTTTTAAAGACCAACACCCTTTGTCTTCCCACCGGCTGTTAAAAAGAAGTTTTTAAAAAAAGGGGTTTGCCGTTCCGAATTTGAGCGCTCGCGAACCATCATTATTAATTCTATTATACCTCTTCCTCAGCGGCAACGGCCTCGTAGCCACCCGCTCTTCTCCTTCCTCTGCTCATGTTCATCAAGCTTGGGCTTTCGTACATGGCGGTGTAGTTGATGGGCTCGCCGCCCAGCATGGCTGAGCCGTTCTCACGAGGGCCAAAAGTCGGTGCGGGGTCACACCAGAAGTCGCGGCAGTTCGCCATACAGCCGTTGGAGTAGGGGTTCTTCTTCCTGCGCTTGTTCTGGGTGGCGGCACCGCGGCCGCGGATAGTCTCGATGAAGGGGTCCACACCCAGAAGGCGTGCCATGTTTTGCAGCATGCCAGCCTTGTGCTTGTGACCGTGTCCGTGGCCGGGAGCATCCGGAGTAGCAAGAGAGGGATGGTTCGGGTCGAGGGGCGTGCCGGTGGAGGTAAACGCGGAGGTAACGGAACCATCCTGGACGCCAAACATGTTCTCGTAGGTGGTCATGGCGCGAGACACTTGGACGAACTGAACAAACAGGAGCATGCCAACCCAGGTAAGCTGCAGGGACGCCCAGATAGTAAGGATCGCGGTATAACCGTCGGCGTTGACCACCTTGCAAAGGGCGGGGCTAAGGAAGTTGCAGGACTCGGAGGCTTTAGCCGAGACATCGATCAAGTCTGTAGAAGGTTAGTTGCCGAAGGCATGTATGGGACTCGGGATACGTACAGTAGTAGGCCAGGAAGTCGAAAGAGATGATACCTAGCGTCAGGTTGATGAGATACAGGAAGAAGTGTCGGTGGTTGTTGACGCCAATGCAGTTGTAGACCCAAGGGCAGTGGCTATCAAAGTCAGTTGGTGTGTTTCGTCTGAAGACGCGAAGAATTAACTTACTGGTCGTGCTTCGCAACACACTTCTGGCATCGCTTGCAGTGCTTGCTACGGAGAGGAGTCCGGATCATGCAGGTAACACAAAAGTTGGTCTCATCAAACTTCCACAGCTTGAGAAGCTCATCAATGACGGCCTTTTGCTCAGCGATGCCGTTCAATTTGGGAACGTATCCAGGGTCGTAGCGCATGGAAGCGATGTAGAAGTAGGCAGTGAGTCCGAAGAAAACGCCGAAAATCAGGTTAAGCCACCAATGGGGCTCGGTAGCTGCAGAGCCAGTAGTACCGGGGAGGATGGTGGTCAACCAGCGAAGACCGACAAGGAAGACAGAGGCGGCAAAGATACCGGCCAACCAAGGCTAAAATTGTCAGCATGCGACTTTAACCAAAGTCCAGATAGATACTCACCGTCTTGTGGAAGTGCTTCATGTCGGGTGGCGCAAATTCAATCACCTGCTTAGCACACCACTGGATGCCATAGCCAACCACCAGCGCGAAGAAGAGTCCTGCAAAGATGGGCATGGTTCCCAGTATCGTAATCATGGACCAAACCAAGACAAACGGCCAGAGAAACAAGAACTTGGTAACGAACCCCCTCTTGTCCTGGCGCAGGAAGCGCGCACCAGGGAAATGCGGCTCAACCGGCTGGCCATCCTCATCGTATCCGCACTCCTTCAAAGCCCGATGCCAGGGACCCGTGGTGTTAAGTTCCTTCGCCGTGACAGCAGGGGTCTTGCCTGTCTCCGTCTTCGCGAACCTGTCGGCGCCGTACTCGATGAGCTTCATTATACACGCCGGAGAGCCCTTGACTAGCGCCCAGTGCAGAGCCGTAAATCCTTGCTCGTCGGTGGCGTGGACGCTGGCGCCCCAGCGGAGGAAGAGGTCGACGCATTGCGGGAAGCCCTTGTAGGCAGACCACATCAGGGCTGTGTGTCCGTAGCTGTCGAGCACATCGACTGGAATGCCTTGGTGGAGCAAGAGGACGAGCAGGAGGGTGTTTCCGTTGAAGGTCGAGATGTGGAGGGTGTTGTAGCCCTGAGCATCGGTGATGAGGGGATCGGCACCGTGTTGGAGGAGAAGGTTGACAGTGTAGTAATGGCATCTCTGGGCAGCCCATTGGAGAGGTGTCGCTACTGATTCACCACCCTTCCTGTTGATCTCGGCACCGTTGTCGATGAGGAACTTGCACATGGCGTACTGGTTGTTGATCGCTGCCCACTAAGAGCTGTTAGCGCCATGTGATCCGGTCAAAGGTAGTTTAAAGGTTAGAGGGGGACTGGAAGGCTGCATGACCACGTACATGCAGGGGCGTGATACCCTCGTCGTCAGAATATGTCGCATCGTATTCGCCTGCCTCGAAAAGCTTCTCCATGGCAGGCACGTCCCCGACTCTGGCAATCTGCATGATGTCGTTCTCGGCGGTTGGCGCATCACCACCAATGTTTCCCATCTCGACCTCATTATTGACGGTTGGCGCGACAGCGCTGGTCTTGTTGGCAGGCTGATTGGGGGCTACAGAGGCAGTGCCAGCAGCAGCAGCGCCGCCCTGTGCGGTTGACTTGTCCATCGAAGTCTGGTTTGGCGAGCCAAGCTTTGCGATGTCTCGGGGGTGGAAACCAGAATGGACGAGGGGGGCGAAGAGGTCAAAGGAGATATGCGACGACAGGTATTGTCGGAAACGGAGGGTTTTTCGGCTCGATCCTAGCGTCGCATGACTTTAAAGGGACGTACGAAGGAAAAATGATATAAGGAGGGCCAGGGGAGGGTCCGAAGGAGGAAAAAAAAAAGAAGCGAGTCGAGGACGGAAAAAGGCACCAAGCCAAGTGGACAAAATTGCGTGTCGTCAGCTCCAGCGCTCGGCAGCGTTGAAGACCGGGGAATTGGAGGTGAGAAAGGGATCGCCGGGGACCCTCCCCCTAAACTGGACTAGCGAGGCTGAGCTGACAAAGGAGGGCCTATCGCTATCTGCCGCTGTAGCCGTGATTGGCCACTAAGCTCTCAACGCCCCAAAGCTTGGCATCGAGACCCTGGTTGGCCGGGACCCTCGGCCCCCCTCAGCCTCGTCACCAAAAACGTTCTGAAATGTGGCTGAAGACAGTTTGGGTCTAGCTATAAAAGGAATTTGGGCCCACTTTGGTCTAGGAGGGCGAGTCCATCTCCACTGACGGCATGGCAGCTGATTTCTTTCTGGAAATCTGTCAACGACAACGATCAGACATCGCCAAACCCACCTCTCGTTCGGCCGTTCGCGCAGGGTATCCCAAATTCGGGACGCAAACCCTTTTTTAACTTTACCCTTCGGACTCGATACACAAGAATCAAAATCGCCCAAGCGATTGCCGTCACGATGTCCGCCAACACGGGGTCCTTCGCCGAGTTCTTCGAGCACATCATGACGCCGTCTACCCCCGTCATTCTCATCGGTGCTGCCATCGTTCTCCTGTTCCCCATTCTCCTGCACTTCATCCTCGTCAAGTCGACCCCGTATACGACTCTCCCATCGGTTCTTCTCCTCGGCCCTTCGGGCGCCGGCAAGACTGCTCTGCTCACCCTCTTTGAGCGCGGCGACAGCCCCGCGATGACGCACACGAGCCAGCGTCCCCAAACCGTGGAGCTCACGGCCTCGCGTGACAGCAAGACCAAACACAGCTTCCGCAACCAGGAGGACACGAGCGGCACCCATACCAAGTTCCTCCTGGTTGACACTCCGGGCCACGGCAAGCTGCGCAATTACGCCATGGCCAAGCTCGCCGGCGGCTCCTCGGACAAGTCGAAGCTCAAGGCCATCGTTTTCATGGTCGACGCCGCCGCCATTAGTGAGAACGAAGTCCTTGCCCCGACCGCCAGCTACCTCTACGAAGTCCTCCTCGGCCTGCAAAAGCGCGCTGCGTCCAGCAAGTCGTCCAAGCCCCCCGCGCCCGTCCCCGTCCTCGTCGCCGCCAACAAGGTTGACCTCTTCACTGCGCTCCCCGGCGCACTCGTCAAGTCAAGTCTCGAGGCGGAGATCACCCGGATACGGTCGTCGCGCAGCAAGGGCCTGTTGGATTCTGGCGTTGGCATCGACGATGTTGGCTCCGAGGAGAACGACGATTGGTTGGGCGCATACGGCACCGAGAAGTTCACCTTTGACCAGCTGCGCGAGTTTGACGTCGAGGTCGACGTCGCCGCTGGGAACGTCTCTGGAAGCGGTCCTGGTGCGGATAAGTGGTGGGCATGGATTGCCGAGCGGATATAAATCAGCATTGGTCACAATTGAGCATGTTAATAATTAAAAAGCACATGATTCCATACGAAACAACCAAAAAACGAGATCCCCCTTTCTTGACGCTCAAAGTTTTTTGGTCATTTTTGTGAAGTTTCTTCTATCCATGTCGAGACAGGCTTGCCCTGTTCCGCTATGTAGATGTTGAGTCTACCCCATCCCAGACTTTCCAAGTAAAAAATAATGCTGCCTGCCAACCGGGGGTCGAGTTGATGGGACCCAAGATGTTTTGCCCCCCACACACACACTATCACCCTGCGATGCTCGCTTCCAAACGCCAAACCCAACCAACCAACCAACCAATCCTCCTCGTATATTTTATATTTCCTCGTTTTGTATCAAACCGCATTCATCAACACGAAAAGAAAAAGAGAGAAGAAGGAGAAGAAGAAGAAGAAAAAAGTTGAATGTTTACGCCTTCTTGTTCACAACCCAGGTGAGCAGGTCGACCTTGGTCACGACGGCAACGGGCTTGGAAAGACCCTTGCCGCCCTCGGTCTTCTCCGTGACGACGGCAGCGCTGTTCCACTCGAGGAACTTGCTGAGCGTGGACAGGGGCGTGTCGAGGGTGATCTCGACAAACTTCCTCTTCTTGCCCTTCTCCTGGGACTCGCCGTTGGCGATCTGTCTGGGGTCCGTGACGACCTCGTCCAGGCGGCCAAAGTCGAACATGACGTCGCTGACGGGGCAGCTGGCGGTGGCGCGGCCGGAAGAGATGTAGCTGAGCAGGTTACCGAGGGTGACCAGGCCGACGAGCTTGTTGCCGCTGGAGGAGAGGACGGGGAGCTGGTCGAAGCCCTTGTCGCGCATGATCTCGGAGGCCTCGGAGCAGGGGCTCGAGGCGGAGACGGACATGACGGGCTTGAGGCGCAGAGCGCGGATGGTGGAGCCCTCGTACGGGTCGCTGGTCTGGGGCTTGTCCTCGGCGGTGCGGGTGTCGATCCCGTTGACCTCGGGGAGGAGGTCGTTGGCAGCCAGCCAGTCGTCGTCGGCAAACTTGGAGAGGTAGCTGCGGATGCTGTCGGGAAGGACGACGACAACGGTGTCGCCCTTGCCGAGGTTGAGGTCCTTGACGGCGCGAACCATGGCGGCCATGGCGGAACCGGAGCTACCTCCGACCAACAGGCCCTCCTCGGCAATCAGCCTCCTCGCGAGCTGGAAGGACTCGCGGTCCTCGGTCTTGTACCACTTGTCGACGATCTGGCGGTCCAACACGTCGGGGATGAAGTCATAGCCGATACCCTCGACCTTGTAAGACTCGTTCTCGTGCTCCTTGTTCAGAGCCTCGGGGAGAGCGAGGATGCTGCCGTGGGGGTCGGCGGCGATGACCTTGATGTCCTTGTTGTGCTTCCTCAGGCCGCGGGCGATACCGGTGATGGTACCTCCAGTGCCGGCGCCGGCGACGACGGCGGTGATCTTGCCGTTGGTCTGGGTCCAGATCTCCTCGGCGGTGCCGAGCTCGTGGGCGAGCGGGTTGTCGACGTTGCCGTACTGGTCGAGGATGTGGGCGTTGGGGATCTCCTTCTCGAGGCGGCGGGCGACACCAATGTGCGACTCGGGGCTGTCCCAAGCGGCCTGGGTAGGGGTACGGATGATGGTGGCTCCGAGGGCCTTGAGAACGGAGACCTTCTCGGCGGACATCTTCTCGGGGAGGGTGATGATGGTCTTGTAGCCCTTGATGGCGCCGACAAGGGCCAGGCCGATACCACTGAGCAAGTACGTTAGTAAGGATCGCGGGGAAGGGAAGAAGAGTAGGAAGAGACGTACGTGTTTCCACTGGTGGGCTCGATGAGGGTGTCGCCAGGCTTGATGCGACCGCTCCTCTCGGCCTCCTCAATCATGCGGAGGGCGATTCTGTCCTTGACACTGCCGCCAGCGTTGAAGAGCTCAACCTTGGCGTAGACCTCGGCCTCGATACCCAAGCTCTGGGGGATTTTGTTCAGACGAACGAGGGGCGTGTTGCCAATCAGCTCGGTGGCCGACTGGGCGGTGACAGCCACCCTGGTGGCGTTGATGGACTTGACGTCGCCCATGATTGCGGATGACTCGGTGTCGTAGATCTGTAGGGAGAGGAAGAGGGGGTGTTGGAAGGAGAGAAAGAGAGAATGGGATAAAGAGAGAGAGAGGTAGAGAAGTAAGGGAAGACTAAGGTCCTGATTTTTTTTTTTTTTTCTCAGCCCACGGGAAACACAAGAGGTGACGAAGGAAAAGAGAAACGCAATCCACTTGGTGGGATGGTGCGAGAATTGGAAAAATGACCCCGCCAACGCCGAAGATATCCGCCCACCGCGCCCGTGGCCCGACCGTGCCACCTGCCGTTACCAGCTTTTCAGTGCGCCGCCAGCCGCTGCAGCAGAAGCGAGACAGGGTCCGGGTCAGGCCTGTAGTGCTGCATGGCAGGTAAGGTAACAGCTTGACAGGCGGTAAAACCGCCCCCACACCGCCGCCACCCGCTGGCAAAACTGGCGAAGCTGGTGTGCAATTTTTTTTTTTGCCCTTTCGTTGCCCCTCCAAAAGGGAGCATAGGGCGCTACGTCAGGTTCTCATTACCTCATCCCGAGCTACCTTGACGGTTTAACCCTCGGCGTTCCCCGAGTCGACTCGAGCATTTTAGACACGTGGGCTTGACTCTGTTTTTTATTATTGATTTTTGTGCAGTAGCAGTTGGCGACTGTACCTGTAACGTAACTCAATTGTCAATTCAGCTTACTTATGTCGATTGTTAACCATAATGAAAACTCAACCCCCATTTCCTACCAAATACTTTTGATGTCACATCAACACCTCCAGTTACCGATGAGTTAACATAAATATAATAAAGCACAAGATCCCCAAGTACCCGAATGGCATTCTCATGGCTCAACTTTAAATGGGTTGCCGCAAGACTTGGCTCCCCACCCTGAAATCTGCACCAGCTCTCCACTCAGCCAAGCTCAAGCAGGGTAAAGGCTCATGTGGATCTAAGCACTATTCATCAGTAAACTTCAAAAAAAACCACATCGCAGTTTCTATTTCCTATTTTCAACGTCGATAACATCGTCGTTATGATGCATATAAACTCACGCAAGATGTTGAAACGTTCATCCGTCACTCGGCCGAACGGTCAGCGTGGCGCAGGACACTAATCCCAAATCTCACCATCATGATGCCTCGTCCGTCCGATTTGAGCCGTGACGACCCTTCAAATAATATACAAATAGACTGTAGTTCGCGATTTTTGAAATTATGAAGTCAAAGCTCTGATCATATCAGACTCTCCTGTTTTCTTTCTATACTGCACCATAACAAGTGCTCAAAATAACGTCCAAAAACATAACGGTGAAATGGCTCAAAATGCCCATTCAATCACCAAGAAGAACATCGTCATCCTTGGCGGTTCATATGGCGGTGTTTCGACAGCTCACTATCTTTTGAAACATGCTATCCCGCAGTTACCCGTTGAAGCTGGTTATAAGATCGTCCTGGTCAGCGCTTCATCTCAAGTCATGTGTCGGCCGGCATGTCCCCGGGCTCTGATATCAGATGACATGTTCCCCCAGGAGAAGTTATTTGTCGACATTGCAACAGCATTCGAGAAATACCCCAGCAGCAGTTTTCACTTCATTTGCGGAACGGCAACCGCACTCGATCACGTCCGCAGAAATGTCACGATTACCCTCGCCCAAGACAAAGGCAACGAAACCCTAGACTTTGATGCCTTGGTCATAGCTACAGGAGCATCGACAGCGTCTCCCCTTCTTGGATTGAACCACGATTTCGATAGTTTAAGACAGAGCTGGCACGAGTTTCGACAAGCTCTTTCGCAAGCCAAGAGCATCGTTATTGCGGGTGGCGGTCCAGCCGCAGTTGAAACAGCTGGGGAACTAGGTGAATACCTCAACGGTCGAAAGGGCCTAGAGAAGCCGAAAGTGGCCATTACCCTAGTCGCAGGTGGTTCCAAGATTCTCCCCGCGCTTCGCCCGGCAATTGCTCAGACCGCAGAGGCTTACCTCGGGCAAGTCGGCGTCACCATCATCAAAAACACCCGCGTGCAAGATACGAACCCTCCTGGAGCTGGTGTTGTCAATGTCGCTCTGAATGCGACATTGACGCTCTCTGATGGACGGACACTCACCACAGACCTTTACATACCGGCAACTGGTACACGTCCCAATACAAGCTTCGTTGATGACTCCCTTTTAACGCCCGATGGCCGCGTCGAGACGAATACATCAACCTTGCGCGTTGACAAGGCTGGACCGCGAATCTACGCCATCGGCGACGCTTCGTCATATGCTCGACCAGCTGTCCACAACATTCTGGCCGCAGTTCCCATCTTATGTGCCAACATCAAACGCGACTTGCTATTAACTTTAGATAACCAGAAATCATCAGCAAGCAATGACCGGCTGTTCAAAGAAGACACACGCGAAACGCAAATGGTGCCAATTGGAAAGAGTAAAGGTGTCGGAGCAGCAATGGGATATCGGCTGCCCAGCTTCTTGGTATGGTTAATCAAGGGCCGGGATTATTGGTTGTGGACCACCGGGAAGCTGTGGAGTGGAGATCAGTGGGCTAAGGAGTCGTAACTCTTTTTTGCTGCCCTTTACTTTTCTTCTTTTTTTTCTTTTTTTACCCCAGGCCAGGCTGGTCATCCTTGGTGTATTCGTCTCCTATGTGGTTTCTTCTACTAGCTTCTTTATACCTGTAATTTCCCCACATGGCCTAGACTGTCTTCTTTTCTAGACGTCATGCACCTATTCCTCCCGTAGTATGCGCAAACACTGAAGAAGTGCGTCGGTCCCCTTAAAAAGGTGTTGAAGGATGACTCGAGTAGCGTACCCCCAGACTCAGCCATCCTTGCAGCCCTCTTCATTTACAGTGTCGGTACCTGGCTCTCAAGAATTTACTCCTTTTTTTTCTCCCTGATTATTGGACGCAATGGGGATTGACCCTTTGTAAAAAAAATTAAACGTTTAGAAGAAGCGGCAGAGGCGTCTGGGGGCATGTTATACGCTTCACTACCAATAAGTCCCCCTGAATACGATTGGCCGTCGGGTTCGTTCTCCCGCGTAAAGGTTGTCCGCGTATTGTTGGCTTGAATTGCGCAGCAGGGATCGCCGAGCCACTAACTCCCTAACTCCAAGCCTCAACAAGCCTCGTAGCCAATTTCTGCTTTCGTCAGCGACCCGAGACACACCTCTTTTACGTAGTAAAGTTTTCCATATCAACATCACGCGGCCCCGGCCTCTCGCATCCAAACACAAACCCGCTCCCGCTCCCGCCGACTTCGACTTCACACTCTTAAAAAAAAAAAACTGCACCACCCCCCGTCGTCATTTAAACCAGGGCCACGACGATTGAAGAAAAAACCCGACGACAATACTCAACAAACACCATGGCTGATCCCCCAGCCAACGGAACCCCCGGAAGCGACGGCATCGTCGGCCGAGTCCGCGGGGCATCAATCTCGCTGCTCAATGCGAATCCCCAGCTTGGTATGTGGCAGGCCGCCGGTACCGCCATCGCACAGGCCCCTAATCTCACCGAGCTTCGCGATCCCGCCTCGGGCGGCGACAACATCTCATTCAATGCCCAGGGCCACTCAGCGCGTTTCGCCGTGCAGGAGCGCGATGGCGAACTGGCGCTGGCGAAGACTTCGACTAGGACCGGAGATGCCGCTTCGTCGCCGCGTGATCAACCTGCATTTCGCAGCGTCTTCAACGACAAACAGGAGGAAGGCCAAGATACGCATGCTGAGGCCGATGAGTCCCGCGTGTTGATGGGAGATGTGCACGCTGCCAACGGCGACAGCGCACCGAATCCCCGACAACAGTTCCAGAGACGACAAAGTTTGCATGAGAAGCACATGGGCAAGGAAAAGGCGCCTTGGAAGACGACCGTCGCTCACGGCCTCAAGGCGTTCTGGAAATTCTTCCTCACGCCCTCGGGATTCGTCATTACCATTTACTGCTTAAACATTGTCGTAAGTCTGTTTTCAGTCTCATTCTCGGTGCAATTTTGCTAACTCACCTCACAGGCATGGGGCGTAAGTCTTGCTCATCTCATTTCACCTTCTCATCTCACTCCCCATCTCACTTCACCTCCCCCACAAATCTCACCACTGACCACCCTCTCAGGCGATGCTTTTCTTTCTGCTCATCAATGCCGCCCCGGCGATGAACTACCCCTCCGCCGACGACGTCAACTCACCGCGCAAGAAATGGCTCGAAATCTGCAGTCAGATCCTCAACGCCCTCTTCTGCGTCACCGGCTTCGGTCTCGCCCCCTGGCGCTTCCGCGACTTGTACCTGTACATCCGCGCCGTCAACTTCAAGGACCGCGAAGCGATGCGCAAGCTCGCAGCCCAGAACAAGGGCTGGTTCCGCCCGCCCGCCTGGACTTTCGAGGGCGACGCCAAGGGCCGCACGCCCACTTTTACCGACCAGACGGCCCCGCCCACGGCGCTGTGGAAGCTGGGATTTACCATCTGGATGATGGTGCTCAACACGCTGTTGCAGGCTGTTCTGTGTTACTTCATGTGGGGATATAACCGAATTGACCGTCCTGTGAGTACAGCCTCGTATTTTCCTCAAAAGTGTGTGAACTGACTTCTGGCCTTAGTCCTGGGCTACCGGTACTTTCATCGGCTTGGGATGTGGTGTCGCTATGCTCGCGGGTCTCATGTCGTGGTGGGAAGGCCGCAAGGTGAAGAAGATTGAGGGCCCTGAAGTTAAGATTGTTCAAGAGGTTTGATTCAATCCGTGTCAGAGAACTAAAATTCGGCTCACTCGGGCGATGTAAGTGTCGAGACTTGGGCTTGGGAGGGAATTCGGGTAAATTAGGAGTATGGCGTTGGGGGTACTGCAAGGACTTGACGTCCTCTTCCTAGACTACTGGCCTCCAGAGCCTACCATCAAACAGCGTTAACATCAGTTTCAGCATAGAACATAATAATGACGGAAAGCAGTTCGCTGCCGTGTTGTATGATTGGTTTTTGGTAAAGAAGAAGCGCGTTCTTCAAGCCGCAAGTTATGACAGAAGTCTCTCAAGTGTGGGTAACGTCACAGTGACGGACTTTTTCAAAACGCCGATACCACCACAGTATTGCTCAACACAGTCTACAAAAAGCCACTTCAAGTATTCAACCTGAAGTGCCATCAATAAAAAGTGAGACTCTTTATCATCTATCATTTAATTGCAATGAAATACTTAAGTCGGCATGAGGCATCAGGGACACTAGGACCCTGAAAACCCTGAAAACCCTGAAAACCAATCCGGAGGATCGCCAACCTTACCGTCACTAGCGCAAAAGTGGACCGTGCCGCCGTTGCCACCAAACGTCACAGCTTTACTCCCATTACGAGGTACCTACTTTACCAAACTCAATTTCTTAAACTCTCACGTCCCAAACTCCAGCAACTCCAATTCACCTCACACTACTATCCCACGGAATAACTCCACAATGTCTCTCTCTCAAATATCGCTGGCAGCAGCCTATCTAGCCTCAACAGTCGGGACCTACAAGGCCCTGACGCCCCCTAATCCCATACCCCAAGACAAAGCCGGCAGCGCCTCAAAGGACCCTCAAATCCGAGACTCAATCCACCTGCTAAACTTCACCAACAACCACATAAACAAGGTCGTCATCTTGCCCCTGGCCTTGCTCTCCCTGCACGCCGCAGCCCTCGCGTACACATACCCCAGCATCCCTCCCTCCATAGCCGGTTACAGCCCCGAGAACGGCCTAAACGTGTCCCTCATCACCTGGTCCGCGTCGACTGCCGTCCCGCTGGCGCTGCTCTTCTTCGTCGGCGTCCCCCTCCGTCTGGTCCCCTACCGGTCCCTCGGCAAGAACTTCACCTTCGCCCTGACGAAGCCCGACGGGTTGAAGACGACGGGGATATACAGCTACGTGCAGCATCCGAGTTACACCGGCGTCATGGTCCTCGTGTTTTGCAACCTGGCGTTGTATGCGAGGATGGACGGCGTGCTCAGCTGCTGGGCGCCGCCCGCACTGTACCAGACTTTGGAGAGCGTCGAGTGGGCTTCGCTTGCGCTTGGCGGCTGCATGTTTTTTGCCGGCGTCTGGACGAGGGTTACTGAGGAGGAGAAGATGTTGAGGGGTGAGTTTGGGCAGAAGTGGGAACGGTGGCATGCTGAAACGGCGAGGTTTGTTCCGGGTATTTTTTGAGTGGTTTGAGATTTCTGAAGATTGTATTGCGAGAGATATGATCATGGTTTGCTGTTTTGTCTAGTTTTATTAAATCTGCACGCATTTCCCAGAGTCTTGGCTCTATGGTTTGTTTTAGCAATACACTTAAAAGACGTACTTTGTTGAACGTCAAAAGTTCTCTTGCTTGTGATTACAATTTACGTGCCCTGAATGTTATTCTGAAATCCCAGGCTCACTCAGCTTGAGATATGTCTGGGCTCTCATGAGAATCAAATGTCAACGTCGCGAATCAAAGGTAGTAAGAAAAAGTCCCAATTCGTTATATTTAATGTTGTCGTTAAAATCGTGTACGTCTCGACTAGAGGTGAAGTAGACAAATGAGCGACATGCGCTTTACCTATCCGGTTCGTCCCATATCAGCAGTCATAATCATGAATCTTAAAATATCACCCCCTGTGATCCCCATCTTATACTCTCACGCGATCAAATGATCTCCTCCTATTCCTTACAAGCCCAAAAAAAAACACTATCCTCAAGCACACCCACAGGGTTAGGGTCAACCATAACGCAAGTGTGCACCCGCATTGCATCGGACTTCACATGCCTGTAAGTTCCGTATCACAAAATACTGCATCTGCACCGCCGCTCAGCTGCCTGTTGACATTTTTGGAGCCTTATGGAACGCTCCAAGCACCCAAGCCGTGATATCAAAAGCTGTCGCTTGCCGTCAAAGCAATTACAACATCTTTTTACTCGGAAACCTGAACAAGCCCCTAGTCTTGAGCGAGCTTCTTGCCTGAGTCCAGTGTTAGCAGTCATTCGGTGTCACGGCAGAATACTAACCAGAATCTGTCCCGAATATCTTATCCATGAATCCGTAGGTTCCGTAGTTGACCGTCATGTCCAGATGGTGCTCTTCGTGCGCCTCATCGCCCCAAGCGAGCTTGATCTGCTCTCCCACGGCAGAGGTAAACGAAAACGCCAGCGTGGTGAGAATGTTCATCTCCAAGATTTTGGCCACTCCGACCACCGGAAAGCCGTACAGGAAAACAAAGTCTGTGACTGACATGTAGCTGATGGTCAACACATGGTGATTTTCCGGGTGCTTAATCTCGTGGTGCTTCGCGTGGATTATTTCGTACAGTCCGGGAATATGCCAAAGACGGTGAATGACATAGAATATCGCATCACGGAGCAGGAGACCAATCAACAGGTGACTCAGGAACTCCGTCCACGACGGCAGGCTATATGGCGAGACAAAAGTCCGGGACAGCACTGACTCGCCTCCCCTGTACATCACGAAGGCGACGTGGATCAAGGTCGCCACGACATGGTTCCTGAAGCTTTGGGTGATCAACTTCCGGGATGTCGCGCTGATGTACGGGGCTCGCACGCGCTCCACAATCAGCCCGAAAACAATGTAAACCAGCTGCACTGAGACGCTCCCCAGAATCTCAATGTAGCCGGCGGGATACTTTGCTATCAAGCTGTCCATTGTAGGCTGTTTGTGATTCGATCGCGAGGGCAGTTGAACGGGGCGAGAGGGATGGGAACTGGCGGTGAGTATCAAGACATTATTTTCACAGGGAACAACCTTGAAATTTTGTTGGGTCTCTTCCCCTGGTTCCTTTTTATATATTCCGGTTGAGGTGGGTTGGGTGGTTGGCTACTTCATATCATGAATTTGGCATGCGAGCTGCTAACCCTAATCTCTTCGGGCTCCCTGTCCACGACACTGCAGGAACTGGGGTTGTGAGGGGCAGTTGGAGGGGTATCAAGCAAGGATTCCGCTTAGCTTTACCCTAATGTGACTAAAACCGGAGGTACGAAGCAAGTAGCTAGATCCTTCTTGGACCGTACAATCGGACCACGCACTCATTGAAGAATGGTGAATGCTGTTGGCTTGAAATGAGGTGCGCAAGCCGGCGTCGGCTATCAGACCAAAGCCATTGAGAGGAGACACGTGTTAAAGGGGGCACGCAGGGGGTAATTAAAATGGCGTTTTAATATCAAGCACATGAACCAACAGAGCGTAGCATGCATGCATGGCTGTTAATTCGGCTGCCGCGGGATAGATCAATTCGGGCAAACACGCCACGAACAAGGCCTGTGAAGGCCGACGTGATATCATAGATGAGAAAAACAATTGAAAACAATGTGTGAATAGACCTGGTCAGCCAATTAGGCTATTGAAAATAGCAGCAGGTATGCTTACCTTGACGGACGCCACGGATGTCACACCACCCCATTCTCACAGACTGTGAATAGAGAAGCGGCGACTTCGGCCATTGTCTCAACTAGAAACGTACTCACCATTCTAAGATACGATGATAGTCTCTACTTGTACATATGAAATCCTTGTTCGTCCAGTTGGCGTTCTCCATCGCCTTCATCGACGTCGTTGACTACTTGGCACCGGAGTTATCCCCGGCAGCTGAATAAGCAGCACAGCCACAGTCAGCATGTGGAGAATCAGTGAGGCAATTCCAAGATTTCGTACAAGACACAATGATCAAATCCATTAATTTTTCGTCCGTACGCAGTCCTTCTAAACTAGAGATAGAGGTTGCATGTAGACATGAAGTTATCTTAAGGTCTCAGAAAAGTGGATTGATTGGACTAGCAGATGAGGCTCTTGTAGTTACGGAGACAAAAGTTCTTTCTGGGCCAGTCCTTTTGGATGTAAGTAGCCTAGTGTAGGAGAACCTCTGATCCATATTAGTGAGTGAGTGTATGATTGGTGGCTGAAATAGACTTAGCTCACCGGATGTGACGTTCAACCTGGCGCGTGAATCGCCACGCATGCAGGAGGGTCAATCATGATATTTCCGAGGCCGTACACCATACGGACGAGATCCACTACATCAGCCGAAAACTTAGAACCTTAATACTTGGTAGGTGGCCTTCCAGAATCCTACTCAAATGGTCCTGTAATCATTTTGGTCTTATTGAGTCGCTGGAAAGTATGCTTTTACCTCCGTGCCAAGCCCTCTCAGCAGTCACAAGGGACTCCACTTCTTTTTCTTCTCCAGAAAAGGATTTACGCAGCTTTTCAAGGGGTCAAAAAGTGAGTGGTATCGCTTAAAGTCTGCATAGAATGTTTATACTGCTAAGTGGTGAGGTATTGTCCGGATATGGTTAGTTTACTAGGGCATGGTAGGGAGGATTCCACATCGGCAGGTTTCCTTCTTATATATTACCTTGTGACTAAAAAGGAATAGAATCTGCATCAAGGCTGACCATGATTTTGTGCAGTGCTAGAGACCGAACGCACAAGTTTCGAGCGGAGTTCTAGATGCATTCAACCTTATCCCGCATTTAGATATCTAAGTCTACGCAATTCGCTCAATGATGCAAATAGTCCAATATCCCTAGTTTCGTGGCAGTGATTGGTTGCTACATGAGAAGAACTTGAAAATGGCGCTCGTTTACCACCCAAAAGATCGCGGCTGGTTGAATATTGTGCAAATGTGGAATCGACTGAATTTGGACAAGTGCGTGCTGGACTGGCAGATTCCCTATTTTCATCATATTGCCCTGTCCAATAATTGGGGCTAGTCCGAGGCCTTCATCTCCAATCAACTCATACAGTGCCATTGTTACGAATGGGAAATAGCTCTCGTTGACGGAAAATTCTCCTCATTTTCAACAATGTTTGCTTCCTTTACGGCTTGTCTAACCTCTTATTAAAAGAAGTTACCTCATCGATGCTTCAACTCAAGAGTATTAGCTTGATGGCTCTTCCGGGGTAGTCAAGCTCCGAGTAAATTTAAGAAAAATGGTTAACCAGTTGATAAAGAGACGTTTAGCTGAAGTAAACAGAACATTTCCATCGTCAATTGCAGTCTTTTGTACCCCCCTTGGTTCATTATCCCGAAAAGCTCAATGATTGACGCCAAAACTGACTCCTTTACTTTCGAAAAGTTCCTTGGCCTCTGCACCATCAGGCCCATCCATACAAGGGAATCTGACAACCTTCAACTGGGGCAAGTCTTGATCGCAGAACTCTCCCAGTTTCAGAACTGCAGGCAAAAGTGACCTAGCAACAATAGCACCGGGCTCGCATGACACAATTTCGGTCCTTTGAATAGAAGTCGGTAACAAGCTCACCAACGCTGTGGGCTCAAACCCATCTTCGGGCCCTTCTTGTTCCATTGAAAAACCGTCATGTCGAGTGATCCACTGTGTCTGCCCGTCATTAAACCGGGGTATAAGAAACCCTACATCAAGTAGTAACTCCTCAAGTTGTGCCAAACCTTGCAGCGAGCTCATCATATCACTCTGTGTAAGTCTTCCCCAACATACATGGTCCCTCATGGTTAACCGCAAAACCTTTAGTTGCGGGGATTTGCGCAAAAGCGCATCCTGCATCTGTCGCCCCGTAGCCGGTTCTTCGTCAGAAACGCACCCGTCTCCGATGTTGTAGCTGAGTCTCTCTAGCTGTGGACATCTATCCAGTAGCAAACTGAATGAGTACACTTCCAAGACACTGTCGATCAGGTCGATTTCTCTGATGTTTGTCATATGGAAGCCCTGGCCAACTCCATTCACTGACCATGCGGCAAGCGACATCAAATTTGGTGCCACAACCAAGATATCATTCATCTCTGCAAGCTCGAAGCCGTTTTCGGTATCACAGTGCGAGACACGAAGTGCTTTCAACCTTGGGAGTGAAGAGGGAGATGAGAATGGTAAGGGGCATTTGCCATCCCAATCGACTGGTATGCATAGTTCCTCGATATCTTTGCATGTACTGGCCAGCAAACCCAGCATTGGAGGCGTTGGCTCGTGATCAACGGTGTAGAATCTAGTATGCTCTGAATTTTGATCGTTTTTAGATCGTCCTGTGACTTTGGCAATTAATTCAAAGTCCTCGTCGGAGAGATATTTCCAGTCGCAGTAATCGAAATCTGTGGCAGTGACATGTATAGATTTGACATGTTTTGCAAGATCGGATCTCGACCCCAAAAGTGTCCTCGCGAAAAGAAATGGTCTGCTGAAATTGAAAAACAGGTGATATAATATTGGCGTGGCGATGTAGTTAAGTTGTTTGCTGGTTCTACAAAGACTTGCCAATGCATGATGTCTTTCGGGTTCCCGGGACCTGATGGAACAAGCATCATTGCAGCCCGTGAGCCAGTCCTGTGACTTTGCTGGATGACAGTGCGGGCAAAGATATCTGACAATGTCTTCGATGATTATAACTGGAAGTTCAAGGAGAGGAAACATTTTCAGCATGGCTAACAAAGCCAGAACTGTGATGGCGATATTAGGTGGGCGGCGCAAATAAGATGGAATAGGGTGATTGCAAACTGCTAGGTGTTATTATAGCCATACACTTGCTTCAGGCAGCAGCTGAGGGGTCAGACTCATCAGGAAAATCACTAGAACCAAACAGGCCAGTTGTTAAATTACTTCCGTTTTGTGGGGCAATGTGGCCATTGATCAATCCAAGGAGCTCTAAGCTTGCCAGGGGTAGTTGATAAGGTTGCCTTAAAATCGATGTGATAGACCACCACCGATGGCATCCTCGCCTGATTGCTACCAAGTTCCTACTGACGATCTACCTGTAAACAAAGGCTACAGCGGAAATGATATTCTCCAGTAGTCTTGCGTTAAGGGTTGTGGTGTACTTGACTGTGTAATGAGCTTCGATTCCCTGTCCGCAAAAGTAGCGGTTATTTACCGTGCGCTGAGTGATGCAACTGTCTGAAGAGATATTTCAAGGGCACCTGAGGGTTTTATTCCTTGTTTGTGAGTTTCAGAATGAGGTTGTCGGTGGCAAATATCTTGACACATCTCAGCCAGCCGCGGCATCTTTACATGTGTCCCCGCCTACAGGAAATGGAACTGGTGATGTAAATTTTGAATGATCTAGATACGAGACAGTTTATTTCTGCAAATCGTTGTATTCTCAAGAGGCATCACAACGCGGAGCTGCGGAAATAACTTGGCTTAATCTACTGCCCGTTTGTCGAGGCAATGGGTTGCGACTTGTGAACACAGGCGATGTCGAAGTGGGTTGCGCGGCACTGGTGAAAGTGTTCAAAGTTGGTTCAAGAAATGTCGGTATATGACCAGTGGTCCAAGACTGTACGTTCATGCAGTTATACTTTTTTAGATTCAATCTTGCGGCAACATGTCGATCCTCGTCTCATCCAAACAAGCGGTGTGCATGAAACGACTCTAATACTCGAATAGAAGCACCTATCAAAACATTCATCACTGATAACAAAATATCTACTCAAAGTATCGCCATGGCCAACTAGAGGAGGACTGCTCAGACTGATTGTTGCATATCATTTTCAATAGTTCATTCTTCTCTTCAGCTGTTAGGCTTTCCAGTTGTGGTGTATTAAAGTCTTCTCCCCATATTTCATCAGAAAGTCCCGTACTGGCACCGAGATGTGCAAATTCCGAGTCATCCGGTGGCCGACTACTGGAGGACGATGTTTCATTTGTTGAAATAATCTCTGTTGACGCCGGACGTTGTTGACCATTTACTGGTGGCAACCCGAAAGATTGGTTGTCAGCTGGACTAGTAACTTGTTCCACGCGGCTGCTGCTCTCTTCTGTCGGCTGAGTCGTCTCCTGGGCCAAGGAAATTCCATTCTGGCTCGCCCAGCGTTGAAATATCTCTCTAAGGCCCTCCTCAAATATTGACCGCTGAAAAGCCGCTAAGTCCTGTTCCTCGTTGGGCAGATTCCATGTAACTGCACCCCTAGAAGTCAATATCTCCGAAAGGATTGTCGGTCCATTGGTTGACAAGTAATCTTGGTACAGCGTTATGTCCTGAAGTAGGTCATTATCAATGTACGGCGACGCAGGGCGTGGTTGGCCAAGGAAGAGAATGTCGTAAACACCAAACCACTGATCTTCTTTGGACTGGTTCGAAGGTGCCTTCTTTGCTAACTGGCTTCTTTGAGAGTCGGTAACGCCGTCTAACTTGACAAATGTCCGTTTCGGGCAGTCTTCATCTCGTATGTGGCCGTCTCGTGCATCCTCGTCCGAGAATGTAGCCATACACCGCGGGCAGTACGGTGGCACTCGGTGACAACGGGCCAAGTGTTGCTTAACGTCACGGATTCGATTCAACATGTACTTGTAACAATCCCTGTGTTTCATAGGGTCCTTCTTTGAGAATGGGCAGGCAAAGGTCAGCTTTTTCTCTGTAGTGCGGCGCCGCTTGGTTGTCGTCTTTTGGTTTGAATCCTGGTCTGCATCACCATTATCCGGCGTTTCATTCGAATCAGGATTCCTATGTCGTTTCCTTGACACCTTATCGCTCTTTTTATCTTGTGAAGTCGTTGATTCACCAGTTGTAGGAGTATCCGATTCAGCGGTACACTCTCTCCATATGCGGAAACTTTCTAGTGTAACTCGCAAGGCAACATCCTTCAGCTTGAGAAAGGGATGCCCATAGTTAAGTGCAGGAGGCTCTTCCGAGCACTCTGAGAGTAGCCATAATGATTCGGCCTCAGATGCACTTGAACTGTCAAAAGTTGCTGATGATACACTGCTGGTTTCCATGCTGCTGCAATTTTGGGTCTGCTGGATCTGCTGCGTCTGTGATGGGCCGGGTTGTAGCTCTCCAGGTATGCCACTCTTCGTTATCAAGAGCTCGTTAGCGTCTGCGACATCGATGGCAGTCCGCTTGCTTGCAGAAGTAGATTGAAAGTTGACTTGAGACATGGAGCTGCTGCTATTTCCCCCATGCCCACAAGCTTTTCCTTCGCACTTGGTTGCCCACTCCGGCCGCTCAGTTTCATCACCCGCTTTACACTTCTCTTCCCAAAGAGCTTCCTTGACCTTTATATCCTGTTTGGGCCAGAAGAAGCCCTCATTTCCTGACGTTGGAACACCTGGCGTCTCTGGAAACGTGGAGTTTTTCTCATCATCATTTGGCAGGTGACGAACAGACTCTGCAGGTTTATCCTCCAACATCATGCCAGGCACATGCCTTCTGATCCCCTGGTTCGGCATATGTCGGATGATTTGGCCACTATGATGAGTAGAGTATTCTGGAGGATGTGACTGAAAACCTTCGTCCCCTGTGATCGGATACCCATGCTCCGTACTATAGGAAGTATCATTGGCAATTGGCTGAGAGAGCAGCGTGTCTTTGTTCTTCGAGATAAACAGCGATGGGGTTCTTGTTGTTTCCACCAAGTTGCGTCGCGGTGTACTAACGATATGTATGCCAGCATCTCCCGCTTGACCCCTACTTTGGCTGTTGTTTGACCGCTTATCAGTTCCTGGCGTCTTGGCTGTCAGTTTGCCACTGGTCGGGCTAACATAAACATCGGAGTCTTTTTCTGGCCATTCCTTATCCTGTTTGTCCCTGAAAACGCTATCACCAAGTAGCTTGTGACCCATCCAGGTTGCAACCTGATGATGCTGAGAGCTTTTGGACGATTTGGCCTCATTGTTTGATTCCCCGGGCAGATTAAAAGGCATTACCTTATCATCAGCATACTCTGAAGCCTCAAAGCCGTGGTATTTGTTTACCCCCGCACTATTCGTGCTTTTCATGTTCATATTCAGTACATCTTGTTCGACAGAAGGTTTGTAGATTTTGGAGGCTTCATCGCTATTGCTGTCGTAATCCATTATCTCAACAGACCAGTACGGCAACTCACGGGCGAGCTTTTCTCGGTTCTTGAAGGGCAAGGTGTCCTCAGTCTCGCTTTCTGGTTCTTCGAGCTCGTTGATACGCGGCGGGGGCGGGTCCTGGAACGACATAGAGAGAAAGCTCCGACGATCGCCTACTCTCCGCCTAAGCCTCCTCGCAGTTGAGCCGACCGACTCCGGGTTAAACAGGGCCAAATCTTCGTTGTCTGAGTCGCTGCGCTCCGATACCGTCCGCTTCCCGAAGCTCGAGCCATTTGAAATGCTAATGCCACTGTCGTGACTCCTCTGCGCCTTGCGTTGCTTACGTCGCTCGCGCTGCACACGTGCGAACTCGGTAAATGTTGCGCTACTATCAGACTCATCAGAATCAGAACTAGACTCGCTGAAGTTGAAACTGCGCATGTCCTGAAGAAAGGCGTTGGGTAACTCGTTAGACATGGTGGTAGTCGGAGGAGGAGATTGAGGGCAGGCAGGCGAGGAAAAGCCAGAAGGGCCAATAAAGCCAGTACGATCTTGGTCCATAGGATCGAAATCCGATAGTTCTTCAATTGTGAAGTTTTCTTTCGTGGCGACTGTGAGCATAATCGGTCCGGGCTCCTGAAGGGCTTCAGAGCCTGAATCAGATCCGAGATGGCAATCACCCTCACTATCGGGATCATCTTCGCTGAATTCCGGGCTCTCGCACTGTAATATTTCTTGAGGACATGATATTCTATGTTGGGTATCAATGTTATTCAATGGAAGATCCGAGATGGTAAAAGTGTTGGAAGTGAGCTGGTGAATAGCGGCGTCCGATAGAGGCTGTCACTCTGGTTAGTATCAAACAGCAGGTTCGCCTGCATAGTGTCTTACTGTATTCTCCGAAGGATTGTGGACGGGAAAAGCGTGAGTAGGGATGATGCCGTCGGCATCTCTGAGGTTTTCTACATCTTGTATCTTTCTGCAGTCCATTTTCCTCCGTCGCTGATTTCGTCTCACAGCCTTGCCAAATTTTGTCAGCCAGTTTGACCGGCGATGGAATTGTCCACTATTGGAAGGGTTGGTTGCAGTTTTCGTTACCTTCGCATATATCTATCTATAAGTTGAGGTGTTCGAAGCCTGTGTTGGTCATCCACGTTGGTGGTATGCTGAAGTTGACAATGAATCTTTTGGCTCAGACGAAGATTCAGCGGCCACAATGCGTTGAAAAGGTCAGATTATTTAATGTCGCAGTTATGTTCTCGAAGCGACCCCCGTGATTTGACCAAGCTACCCAATTGCATACGCTCAATAATCGTTGTCGTGCTCAACCAATGAAACTGCCGGTTTCCTATGTCAGCTGTAAGCAGCGCAGAGCACAATTGTGGTGACCCAGTCTAGACTAGGTTAGCATTCTGCATGTATGGGCAACCATACAATACTGGTGCTTCGAATACAACAAGGGATCGGCACCTTCGGGCTTCGAGAATCAGGTACATGGCAAATTCAAAGTTAATTGAGTAAAATTCCATGTAACAGTAGTTTCAGGAAACAGTCTTGAAGTCTTTCAAGGATTTTCTCGAGCTGTGTACTCGGGGCAGCACGACTTGTATACAATTGGAACAACTTTCAATTGGAACATCTGAGTGTACCTCGCCCTCTTAGGAAGACCCTACTTGTCAGCCCTAGGTACATGCTGACATATATGCAGATAAACCATTGTTCCTCCAAAGTGAGATAGCAAAGTTGAAGTGGTCTAGAAAAGAATGGGTTATCGAAGCATTTGGAGCATAGCTCACGAAATGAGTAAATTTTGACAATCAAGCGAAAAAGCCTCTTCTTGATAACTCAGATTGTATTGTTATACCAAGGAGCAGAGTATCTGTCAGAGTATCTCAGATGGCATTGACGGGTGAACTAGCCACTAGGACTGGACAGCTACTTGATCTTGAATGAGGAAGGAAAAGCCCCATGACGAGCTAAAAACCTCCCTTGACCACCTCGACCCATAGTTCTACGAGCCTGAAATGCTCTGCATTGCCCTTAGCTGCCCGCCTTGGACTGAAGGCGGCCCGGAGCCTGGAGAGCCTCGTGCAGCATTATGGATTTCTGGCAGCAATGGCGGTCGTCCAGCCCACAACCTTTTGTGAGCTTCCTTTGCCTTCTTCCATCTTTTTCTCTTGTTTCGTTCCAGAGTAAATGCAGCTTCTTGCTCTCCCTCAGGTAGTTTGAGGATTCTGTCGCGAGCCATGTCGCCCCTGATACGCTCCTTTCGAATATTCTCTTGGCTGAAGGCGTCATAAGACGTGACTGCGACTAGTGTTAGCACCGCAATAATGAGAGGCCATTCGTTACCACAAGTCTTACCGTCTTGTAAGAACTCCGCCTCCAAGGAAGTCCAGTCAAATGTGTGGTCCTCGACAAGACGGATGCCGCAGAGTAGAGACATGCCTGCAACTGAGTCAATGTCGAAGAAGGAACCAGCGCACGTGGAGAACACGTCAAGGTCAAAGAGGTAGTCTTTGCCCAAAATTACATCTACAGCCAAGCCATCCAAAACATGAAAGTCGCAGTAGACTTCCCTCCCCTCCACCGTCCACAGGACGTCTCGAACAATTCCACTTGTCCAAGTTCTCGTCTTGTCTGCGAATTCAACCTCGACCAAATCACCTGGCCCCGACTCAACGTGCAAACCCATCCTTCGCGCGTAGTCTGCCGAGACTACCATGATGTCAGAGCCTGTATCCGCAAGCGCAGTTGCTATACGGCCGTTGAAGAAGCCCAAGATGCGTTCCTTCTCACCGCCGATGAGCCTGACACGGAGCCTTCCTGGGGAAATGAGCTTCTTGATCCGCGAGAAGAAATGTGTCGTGAGCGTTTTGGTTGCTTTCAGAAACCGATTACCCAAAACAAAGTCGTTGGAGCATTTGGGAAGAATCCAACACTTCAGAGAGTGTGGAGTGTGGTCGTTTGCAAAATTCCATAGCACTTCTACCATTCCCGGTGAGAGAACAGGCTTTTTGTTTGCCAAAGTGATTGTTTTTGTTGTTCCAGGTACTGGTTTTAGATTCAATCTGGCTGCGAGATTTGATGAGATGATGCAGTCGTCCGATCCGGTGTCCGGGGAGGCTGCAACAGAAACCCCATTGATACTTCCATCGACGATATAATCCGTCCCTGACGAGTAGTTTGTATGTCTGCGTGCCGCCATGTTCTGGAGGAGCGCTGAATTGTGTTGATTAAATGGCTGTATTAGCGTCGATTTACCTTTTCCGGGTATTCCGCGCAACCAAAAGGAGTCTGGGTCTTGGTTTAACCACAGATTCCACTCATTATGCCGTTTCAGGTGAGTCTCAGGCTGCTGGGCGAGACTTTCTACAGAACGGTCAAGTTGCTTTTGGTCTCTGCCGGAAGATGAGACTTCATGAGCATATTTCAAGCCGTCTTTCTCCATGGCCATCCTAGAGGTCTGTCAGAAGGGAACAAAGAGGCAGAAAGTCATGTTAACATACTGATAACGCCCCAGGTCGCCCAGGCCCTTAATCCACGTGTCATTGAACGTGGGGACCGTTTCATACAACAATGCCATCATTGAATAGGCAAGGTAAATAAATGTCAACATGTGTTCAAGAGATGCCGGGAGACGATCCCTAAGAAGCTCAAGGAAGTTGTGGATCCCATGGCGCCACATGCGTGCCGGCATAGCATATTTGTTTGCCAACCTGCGCAGTGCAGGGTTCGCAGAGGGATGCTGAGAAGCTAGGAAGAAGTCGTGATGCTCGTGAAGTAATGTTCGATGAAGCGCTATCAGGGCTTGCCACTGCTCGTTGTTGAGCTTCGTAGCTGATTCGGATTTTGAGTCCTGGGCATTGTCGACCTCTATACATTTACTTTCGACCATGACGAGCCCAGCATATATGCCTTTGACCTCAGCAACCAGTTGCTCTTGTGATATAGGTCGAGTTTCTGGTTGTTTTATAAGGACCTCAGTGTCGTCCAGCGTGTGTGGTTCGCAGGGTTCAAATGACCTGGGTGCTGGAGTTCGAGGGGGTTCCGTTGTGCCCCTGTTTCTAGAAAGCCCTTCGTCAGGAGTCCACAAATTCCCATTCTTCTGTATTGTTTCCCGTTGAAACTCATTATCTGATGTGACAGTGGCAGAACTGGCTTGTATCGGTGCACGAGCTCGACTTCTTTTTGGTGGCAAGGAAGATTCGTTGTCTCTTTTGCTTTTGAATTCCCAGGCGGAGGCTGGGCTTCTTAACCTCCGACTCTGATTCTCGTCTAGACTGGATGTCTGGGTAGTAGGGTCAAAATTGCTAGCAGCGCGTGTCTGTAGTGTCGGTTTAGGCTTCGTTGATGGAATGTCTGACCGCAAGGGATTTTGTACATCTCGAGGTCTGTAGACAGAGATTAGTATGAGCATACAAAGCCCTGTTAGAGGAAACAAACTTGAAAGGTATGTCTCCTTTTGTATTTCTTTGTTGGGCGTTCCTCATTGCCTGGAGGTGGTTCGGGTGGTCTGGGTGATTCTCTTCAATGTGGCTTTGGAGGTCCGAGTTCAAAAGGAACTGCATCCTGCAAACCTCACATCTTGGACGGTGCACATCTGCTTGCCTTCGGCGGGACTCGATGAACAGCCTTTCGATATCAATGGCTTGACCTGGTATAGCGTTGCTAGACATTGGAAACTGAGGCATTATCAAAGATATGTATTAAGAACATAGGATCTCTCTGAGGGTGCTTGAAAAGATGTGGATTGTGTCTGGTGAAGGAATGGCTGAGCAATTCAAGGGTAGTGGCAAAGCTGGCATTTAGGTGGAAGTAAGAGATGCTGGGTAGGGAATATAACTATCATTTAGAAGGGAAGCAATACCCGTCAACCAATGGTTGGCAGGTAGCTATTACACCGCATTTTTTTGTCTTTCGGATGAGCCGCATGGTTCGCCCGATGTTTGAGAAGCCTGCCAGGATTTTAGTTCCTCTTCCCTGCCCAGCCATGAAAAGTGCACTTCTGGCATCAATCGCTACGACACGTCACCAGCAGGCTATGCCGATAAGGCGGCCAGTCTTATGCATAGGGGAGATTGTGCGACGGCAGCTTAGGCGATGTTATTGGATGCTTGGGCCCTGTATAAGCCGTGGCAAACAATGGCGCATGTATACTTGCCGAATTCCCTTCCCACTGTAAGCGCCTAAGGACATCCATGCATTCCAACTAGATCGTTTGTCCCCAACGAACGGGGTTCTCCGAGCCATACCCTTCAACATCCCATACAACACCTTTGGTTTCGAAAGGAACACCGATTGACAGCAGCTTATTCTTTCATATGATTTTGTACGTTCAAGCATTATTCGGCTACAATAAAACTGTCGCATGAGTGACAAGAGGATGGGAACACGGAAGGTGGGATACGCCGAAGTTGCGAGTTGGATGGCTCGTGATGTCGACAACGAGACTCTCATTTACCGACGATTTGATGAGCTATCTATCCGGAACCTCCTATATATGCAGTCCGAGCTTGCCAGTCTTGAGTTTCAACTCAACAAATTAGATGAAGAGGACGCGGACCCCGACGAGGACATAGATTGGATTGATGTCGCGTGCGATTGGGAGGAAATGGAGAAACTCACAAATCGGGCAGAAACCCAAGACTCTGATGACGAAGATTTTGTCACGAAAGCCCAAGTTCGCATAAAACTCATTAAAGAAATACGCGAAAAGTTAAAAGAATATCGTATGCCAATCAATTTGAACATCCTTTACTGCTAGTCCCAAGATACTGACATACCTACGCAGACGAAACCTTGCTCCTCCAAAGCGAGATAGCAAAGTTGAAGAGGCCTAAAAAACGGGTGTTTGAAGCATTTGAGGCGTGGTTTACGAAACCGCCAAAACTAGGCGGAAAAGCGAAGAAGATTCTCGACAACCCTAATGATCTTGTCGCACTGAATCCGGCACAAGAAGCAGATTATCTATCAGAGTATCTGAGGCGGCACTGGCGAGTAAAAGTAGGTGCGCCTCTGTGCAGCTACTGATGTTGACCTTACTGATTAATGCCAGAAAGAGGGTGACCCCCAGGGTGTTTGCGTTGGGAGATATGAAGAAAAATCCATTACGATCACAGTTGCCAGCATAAGTATCTTGACAGCTGCCACTCTTCTAGTCGGCTCAATCGTGGGGCTTTACTTTGTCCAAAATGACGCCGCCAAACTTGGGTTAATAGCTCTCTTCACTGCGTTGTTTGCTTTGACTGTTGGTTTCACCACTACTGCCCGTCGGGCAGAGATATTTGCTGGCACTGCAGCGTAAGTCAACCCCTTTTTGATGCAAAATCAAACAACTCACTGTGAAGCAGTTATGCGGCTGTTCTTGTGGTTTTTGTAAGTGGAGATCTCTCCAGTTCACAAAAGCCATAAAGCTCCCAGTACTGGTGTCTGGAGTCGGTGGTGTTGGAAACCCAGGGTGGAAAGCCAACAACACTTTTGGCAGACAGGTTGGCAGAAGTGCATTGCCCATGATATTGACTGGGTAAAAGAATTTTGCTCTACATAAAATGCTTTTGATACGGGTACTCGCTCGAAAAGCTCAAGTGAAGCTCATAATCTACCATGACATAAATACAGACACACCAACAATGAATATACAAATTATACAGCCAAAGCAGGTCCTGGTTCTGTTTGGAGCCCATATTCGCACCGCTACTATCCCCCAAAAAGACTTAGATATTCTGGTCACCATTTGACCTAACAGGATCGGGTCCAACAGGTGCTGATATCCACTCTTTCGGTATTTGTGTGATGAAGTCGTACCAGTAATCTGCCATGCGATGATACCCTTTGGTCGACGGGTGGATGCAATCACGATATAAGATGCTGTCGCCCAGAGTCGCAAAGTTGACAGCCAGAACACGGCGGCCGGCTTTCCTTCTCTTTTCAACTACACCGGGGATGAGCTTCTGAAATTGCATCGTTTGTGGCCGCTGATCAGGATCGCAAGTATTAACAATTTGTGCCACAAGGACAGTGGCATCTGGGCAGATGGCAACTATCTTGTCGATGAGATTGCCGAGTCTTATCGCCGCACCAGCAGGTTCATGGCCTTCTTGAGAAATTCCTGGCCTAGGGTTCATGTCGTTGGTTCCGGCGTGGATAAGGATGATATTTGGGCGCTGTTTTAGCGCGGGATAAATGTTGTCGGTCATGTATTTGATCGTCATTCCAACCCAACCCGACTTGACGATGTTAACACGGCACATTGAGAAGTAGGCAAACACTTGGTACTTACATAATAAGGGTCACTCATATTACCAGATGACGTTGTGCCGGCAAAAACAACCTTATTAGCTGTTACAAAGTTAGGCATACTTTCAGATAATACAAGCTGAGAGCTTTGAACAGAAAATAGAAACAAGAAAAAGGAAAAGAAGACTAACCAGATAGAAGCTCTTTCAGCCTCAGTCTGTATCCATTCCTGTCAAGGCTGGGCCAGCCCACAGTGATGGAGTCGCCAATGGGGAGAATGCGAAGCTCGACACCCTCCTTGATGACCTGGCCAAGGACTGCACCCTTGTAATCGAGGTAGTTGGCCGCACCAAGGGTCAGCGACGCGAAGAGAGCGGCAGCACTAGCAATAGAGAGCTTCATGATAAAGACAGCCAGCAGTGCGTAATACTAATGAACAACATCCCGAAAAGCTTCACTACATGGAATTCTCAGCGGGGTGGAGGCGGCTTCAAATACCAGCTTTCACAGCACGAGTCTGAAGGTTACGACAGCCCGAAAGTTAGGACAGCCTAGTCCGGCCTTTCACCTGGAGTCGAATCCAGCTGGCCGGTCCGCAGTCCAGACCAACGGAAGAATTCAAGAACACATTTCCACGCAGACGTTTTTCTTTCTTTGAGGGTACCAGATACGGATCCGGTTGGGTCGTGGTCCTCGAAATGGATTCTGCGTCTGAGGCGGAAGAGCATGACCCAATCTTTCGGTTCTTAGACCTCGCTAATTCTCAAGGGAAAAAGGCTAAAATGCCATGGGTGGGCATGCATTTCTTCGTTTCCACGCCACTGTAACAAACAAGCTGAGCTGGCCAAGCTGATCGGCATCGGAATAAGCTGTTTGCGGGCATACATCGCGTTCTGTAAGTGTTCCCTTGCCACGCTTTGTTCCGGTAGTTGACCACGCCTCCAGTCGGTATTCACCGACCTGCTGTTGCCAACGGGCGCAACAGGTCATCCAGCGGGGTGTCAGCAGTCAGCTAAGGCGGTCTGGGCGGGGGCGGATAGGGGTAACAGCCCCTGTAAATAATGTCACCGCGCTGCATCCGGCTTGGCTACCACCATCACAAACCTTGCAATACCTTACGATGTGATATCGATGCAAACATTGCGATGTCCAAACCGACGCAGTGTTGTTCGATATAGCCCGATGGGGTTTTCGGGATTCTGGAGAAGCAGTGATTTTACCATGAAATTACTATCTCGTGGCTGTTGAGATGATGCATCTTAGACGCTTAACATCATTAGAATACACGAAGGACAGACGTGACAATGTATGCCGACCAAAACTTGCCAGTAGATGCAGGTCATCTGACGTCAACAGACTAACAGGAAGATCGGTTGGGCTCTAGTTGGTTGAACGGCTTGGAAAGCTTCCGGCACTCTCAATTATTGAAAGTCCCATGGTTCGATGACGGCACACATCGACCACGCCTGTGACAGCATAACAATACCAAATTTCTCGGCCGTCTTCTCCAAGCCCGGCTGCATGCTCTTGCGAACTCGTAGCTTCTGATCTCCTACTGCTGTTAAAATGGCTGGGGTCGCGCGCGTAACATTCCAGAACACGATGAAGAGTGCGAGACTCTAGTTAGGGCGAACAGGAATGTGTGAGAAGTCTCATCACCTGCGCGTGAAAACAGAGCGTTGAACGTTGTTAGACCAGTGCAATCCCCTCCGTAACCTTCTCGTATCGAAAACATCTGCAATTTGCCTACAGCTGAAGCAACTGAAGTTATTTTTGGTATTTTGGAACAGCCTCATAAGCGAAGCAACTCTCTAATCCATTTTCAGTGACTTTGTGATTGATGGCTGGAATGCGAAAACCTCTTTGTTGAAGACTGCTGATCGCAGCCCATTTAAGAGAGAGCAATGTCTCACAGCATCATCTAGCCCAATTCCCTTGCGCTTTTCTTGAACCTGAACGCCTGAACCTGTGCTCATCGAAAATATGCACTGAAAAAGCCAACCAAAAAGCGTGCCAGCATGCTGAAAGAAGAGAATAGAAGCCAGCCCAAGTTCGCATCACTTGGGGATTCTAAAAGGGTGTGCCTCAGTGTTGAAGACGAACTCGTCCAAGCTTATCAGGTCAGTGGGCGAGAAGATCAGGTAGAAATACTTCAGTGTCTCGGACAGCCAGAAACTCTGAGACAAAAGTTCGTTAGCCATTATACTAAAATGAAAGAGCTAAAAGAAAAAACAATCAGGGTAAATGGCGGAACCCACCTCCATGGAATCAATCTTCTGGGTCTGGTCAGGAGCAACAGTCACGTCAGCAATTGCCGAGTTGGCGATCTTGGTCTCCGTTGCTTTGATGATGGACTGGAACATTCTCCAAGCCACATCTTGCAAGTCTTGACTCCCAGTCATTCTGTAGAGGAGAAACACGCTCTCAATGGCCTCGGGGCGGAGGATGTATCTGGGGTCCCGGGCATTTCTGAACCCTTTCTTCAGCCTCTTGTCGCCATCTTGTTCCCACCTCTTCTCGTCCCAAGGACACTCGTCTTTCGTCGAAAAGCATGCAATGAGATTGAAGATTTCCGGCATTATGCCCGTTGGCATCGCCTCATAGGCCCAAGCACAGCCACGTGCGAGGCGATCACCAAGATCAACATGCTCGTCATTAGAGAAAAGCTTTCCGCCAAGGCCGAACATCCCACCCGCAAAACACGACAAATGCTGGCCTTCAGCGACGTGATCTATCCTATCGGGATGGACATACGCATCACCCGCAAAGAGGATGTTAGCATTGTCCGGCGTCATCGGCCGGAACAGAATATGCTGTTCTATAACCGCCGCGGCGCCGAGGTACATCTTCTTGTACGACTCGTCTACGCCGCCTAGTAGAGCATACATCTTTGGTAAATACTCATACAGAGAGTCCGCAAGGGCTCCCAATGTAAAGCCGTTGTCAGCGCCGACTTGTTCATTACGAAAGTCAATCATCTTCGGCCACATCCCTGGAAGCTTAGACTGGGACTGGGTGCGTTCAAGAAAGCGACTTATACGGTTGACAGCGTCAAAATACTTCATGTCTCCGGTATGCTGGGAAAGGCGTGTGAACTCGAGCGAGAGTGAACAAGGGGAGGCCGACGGATCGTGCGTCCCCGCCAACTGAGCACCGTTCTTGGCATCCTCGAAGTTTATCCAGAAGCCTGGGATGCGATTGGGAGTGTCAAACCCCATGTACAGCATATCTCCAAGCTCCCTTGCCTTCTCCAGGAGAGCGGCCTCGCCACTCAGATCGTAGGCGCTGAGAAGGCCGCCCAAATGCCGGATTGTAGTCTCGAACATGTTCGCACTCTTCTCGACCGTATTCATCCAATCCATCCGGGCCGCAACCTCAGCCGCAGCGTAGAACTCATCCTTGAAGCCCATGATCCAAAGGGTGTCCAACGAGTCCACAAGCGTTGCAGCCCATCCTCCAAAAGTATCCTTCCCATCCGCGCTCACAGGGGTGAGCTCGTCACGCATCCACGCATAACGTTTGTAGCTGTCATAGCTCTTCTTGAAGACATCTCGAACGACCTTCTGGCGTTTGGACGCGTCGGGGTGTGGGTTCGCGGTCGTGCCGAATTCGTGTTGGATTCGGGGCAGCTTGAGGGTTTTGCGTGTTGGGAGAGGTGTGAGAGGGCTCGACACAGGATAGAATTGGTGGGCGGTCGTCCATTTAAATGAGCTCGGCTTGAACTGGATTTTGTGTCGTGCTACTCTTGGACTGCTTGTCGATGGAGACAGCCAGGACGGGTTGTGGATGAGGAGTATTAGGATGAATACAATTACAACGGCGAAGATGAACCGCGGCGGCCGGCGAGGGAGAATCATGATGCTGTTAACCGGCACCTTGGAGCAGGCGAACAGCTTTGGAAATGGATGTCCATCTTGGGACAGCGACCGAATGGGAGCAGAAGTAGAAATGTAGTCGGCCAAAGTTGGCGAACAGGGGTTTGCGAAATCATGACTGTGTGATGCAAGGAGCTTCCACTATATAATTGGCTCGTTGGCGAGTGCGGAACAGCGGAATCCGGTCGCCACGGGCGCTTATGGAGCCCGGTGACAAACTGAACAGGCTATTCAGCGCTTGAGAGACAGCGTACACTAACTTAATATCAACGCCGCCCCCTTGCTGCCCTCCCACCCACCACCACGTTCGGGATGGTTAGTTCCAACACACAGTTATTTCACAGTGCGGTTGACTTTCCACGATAATAACCAACACAAGTTGGTATTTGTATTACCTGGCAACATATGATTGCTTGTTTTTGTCCCAAATGGTCGGGTCATAGGCGCCCGCTTTGTTACGGCGGTTTCATTCCAACATGGTCTAAATACTTTAGTAGCAAACAATGATTAAGGATGCAATGTTAGCAGTTTCCCGAGGCTCTGTCCTCTTTTCTCCCTTCGCGTCGCTCGCTGTTTCTGCTTAACATAGCACCAGTTTCCTATCTGTTTTCTCGTACTGTTTGAGAATCATCAACATCTTAATATGCTTGGTTGACATGTACTGGCTTCTCATAGGCATCGGGGCAACTTTGGTAGTCGCCTCGTGCGATGTTGAGCCAGTGGCTCTACCAATACAAGACGTCCAAGTCGACCCAAAGACGCCAAACTCGTTTATGAGGGGAATTCCTGCCAAAGTTGGAACACCTCCTCAAGACATTGTCATGTTGCCATGGGCGTAAGTATTCCTCGCTTGTGTGCGCTAACTTGCCCTCCGTATACGCTAACAGGTCCAACTTCAGTGAACTGAACAACACTTGGATCTACGACACGAACCCTAACTGTGACTCTTCCATCATTTGGAATGAAAAGATTTGCGAAGTTAGAAGGGGGAACCTATTCCTAGAAGACGCGTCGACGACTTTTACCAAGGCCTCTGACATCGTATCTGCCGGTGGCGCACCAGAAGAAATCACCACAGCTGGTACTGAGATCGGAGTCAAGAAGCTCATCTCAACTGCTGTAGGTGGTAAAGACCGTCTCGCTGTCGGATTTACGAGCCTCAACAATACACCGATTGGAATTCCCACGTTGAGATGGGACAACGGTTACACCATGCTCCATGCTCTAGGGCTAGGAGCCAACTCAACCTACCTCACGTCCCTGGCACAGGCTGGTCAGCTCGGATCCCGTGTGTGGTCCATATTCTGGGGCCGCATGTGGACCACCAGCAACAATATTGACGGTTCTTTGGTATTGGGAGGCTACGACTCCGCGAAAGTGACCGGAAAGAATGCCACTCAACGCCTCGACTACAGCGAGTCGACAGGATGCTGGACAGGAATGAAGGTCACCGTCACTGATGTTCAAGTTAATTTCCGGGACGGAAGAGACAAGAGCATCATGCCTTTGAACACGGCGCTTCAATGCTGCCTCGTCCCCCATAGACACTTACTATGGGAAGCGCCCGTTACATTTGTAGATGCTTTTGAAAATGTTACCAATTCCAAGGATACTGGGGTCTCCTTCGGTCTGCACTGGTCGGCCCGAATTCTCGCTACAGATACGATGTAAGTAATTCTTGTTCTCCTCTCCTTCCCATGCTTTTGTGTAAACGTAAGTGAGAATATTCAATAACGCTATTACCTAGATTTGATGGAGATGTGACTTTCTTCCTCAGCTCCGGACTACAGATTAGAGTGCCCAACAACCAGTACATCGTCCCATATGTCGACATTGAACGAAATGGGTCTCGGACCATCAATAACGCCAGGAAAGAGTTGCTCTTTAGCGGCCTTTCAGATCAGCCCGCAACACTGGGGCGTTATTTCCTCACTGCCGCCTACCTGATGGTAGACCACGACGCCGAAACATTCACTCTATGGCAAGCCAACCCCACGACCAGGAGTTCTCTTGTCAAAATCACAGGTGACAAGTCGAACTGTGGAAAGCCCCAGACGTCACGGATTGCCATATACCCGACCAGTACCGCCACAGCTGGGCCCAACAACGACAACCAACCGGTGTCAGCCGGAGCACAGACTGGCCTTAGCACGGGGGTCATTGCCGGCATAGCCATTGGCGGGGCCGCGGCTCTCGCTGCGGTGGGATTGGGCATATTTTTCTACCTTCGGGCGAGGGAGCGGAAGGCCATACAGCCCTCGCCGCCCCCATACGAACCAGATCCTCCTGCTCCCATGACCCAGGAGACCTGGCCCAAGTACAACTATACACAGGGCACGCATGAGGTGCAGGGGTCGCATGGGTATTATGTTAATGAGCTAAGGGGACAAGATCATTTTGTTTACGAGATGGATGGAGGTAACGGTCAGCGGAGATAAAGCCATACCCACGCGCAGGAATAACTTAAGATATCTTGAGGCGTTATTGAAGTAGTTTCGGGAGTTTTGTACACAGTCAATATGTCATTTTTCAATTGCATTTGGTGTCTGCTTGTCAAATATGCATCATGTCGGGTCTGTTTCAAACAAAAGATGTTGGTCCAAATCTAGATGTAAAGCTCAATAAGTAGTCTTTCTAGATTGGATACGGCGAGCAAACAACACCTGATGCCGGCGGAGCTTTGAATCACGAACGGACAAGAGCCATCGGTGCGAAGTAAGGTTATCTGCTTCATCTAGAGGATATATACTCTTCAACAATGCCCACAAACGCTATGCCATCGCATCCAATGCCCCATGAATAAAAAACACGCTTTTTCGCTTTGCCCTAAAAGATAAAATCGAGAAACCGGTTCTAAACCATGCACTTTTCTTCACCACATCATACCAAAACCATGCGCCATACAAACTTCTCTTACAGATTCTTCGGCACCGTAGCGCCATCGGGAAGAGCACCTCCTTCTGCGTCTTGTCCAGGGTTCGCCTCCTCGTAGTGAATCAACTTGACGATGCGGTAGTACATGGCCCCCAACAGGCCGCCCAAACCAGGGCCGATCCAGTAAATCCAGTGATAGCCGGGGAAGCTCGATCCAGCAACGGCACATCCGAGACTGCGGGCGGGGTTGAGTCCAGCTCCCGTGTAAATGCCACCTATCGGACAACAAGTTAGCTATCTGTTTTCATGACTGTAGAACATGAGTTTACGTACCTCCCATCATGAGACCAAACACGGCCAGGCCGATAGCCATTGGGGCCAGATATGTCGCCTTCTGCTTCTCGGCCGCCAACATGAGGACAACAAAGATGAGCTCCGACGTCAGGAACATCTCGATAAACAAGCCCTGGGTAACGGAGACGTTCGTGGCGAGAGTGGTATTCGCTTCGCTGACATCCCATGGGAACATGCACTGCACGAGCCCGGCGGCTGATAAGGCAGCTAGCAGTTGGGCAGGGAACAGAAAGAGTGCTCGTTTCGGGGGTAGTTGTCCTGCGGCCACGAGGCCAAGCGTGATCTATGACCAAAGTTAGTTTCTGTCCCCCTTTCACACATACACAAAGATGTTTAACAAAAAAAACTCACAGCTGGGTTAAACACTCCTCCGCTGATACGGTAGAACGCCCAGATGTTGGCGAGCAAAGGCAGTGCATACGCCAGTGCCGCCGCCATGATTGTCGTGTGCAGCAATCCGCCCTCTGGAGCCTCTCCTGGCGCCTGATGCAGTGCCATTAGATGGCCGGCGTAACTCGTCCATAACCATAAAAAGGTTCCCACAAACTCGCCGCTGGCTGCCACCAAATGGGCCTCAATATGCGACAAGTGAGCATGGCATGTTTTCATGTCATGGCGTTCGGCCTTTGCTTGGCTTGTAGTGTCATCCGATGATTGGCTACGAGACGGAGCGTTCGAGTAAGAGGTCGAGTGAGAGTGCGGGTGGAAATGTGAATGAGGGTGCGAGTGTGACTGAGAATGCGAATGTTGTCGGTTGGACTGAGGCCCTGGTTGGGAGTTCGACTGAGATGGCGGGTGGAAGTGCGGGTGAGAGAAGGAAAGACCTTGCTCAAGGTCGTGTTCTGCCATTGTGTGTACCTTGATAAGAAACGCGCGTTTCGGAGAATTAAAACTGAAAGCGTACCCTTGAGGTCCTACTATGTACTGCCGTTGAAAGTCGGGCTGTTTGTCTTTTATCCTCCTTTTCACTTAACCAGAGCATTGTGACATCATGACGGTCTTCACAGTAATTTTATGTGGCCGGCCCACATCGGAGGAGATGGTGTTACAGGAACGGATAAGACCATGCGGTATGCAGTATGAGAACAGTGATCGCGATCTTTGATGGAGTTTTCCTCCAGCAAGGCAAAAAGTCTTCAGCTGGATCGCCTCAAGGCAAAAAACCTATCGAGTTAGGGCGAAGAGGCAACGCCGTCTCGGCGCCCTGAATAACACAAGGATTCATAGCCAGTCGGAGCTTTATCACCTAAAACGAGACAGTTTGACCTCACCCTCAGAGGATCGAAGCTAAGTAAACTGGAGCAAGCTGAACGGCGTCCCCATTGTGTGGAGATGAGACAGCGGAGCCTCAAGTCAATCATTGAAGAAAATAGTATGGAAATAAACAATGTTCCCGGAGAAGAATGTCCCTCAGCTTCTCATGGCGTGGGGGTTGAGGGCGGGCCGACTAAACATACCTCATAGTGGAGTAAGTAAAGCTTGACGTCTTTTCAGGCACGCCAGCAACCAAATTCTCACTTACGTCATTTTCCACCATCTGGCATAAACCAACTGTTTTTTTTCTGCCCATTGACCTATTCAGTGCGGCGATTATCAGTGTGAACTCCTAAAAATTGATATGGATGGGTGGTTTGCATGGCCCCGCCACCCCGGAGATTGTGGTCCGTTGGGCCGGCAGTGGTCCGCTTTCGGGGCAAAACGTCCGCCGTGATACAGTGTCCAAGCAGGACAACTATATGTTGATCTACAGTTATTGCGATTTTCATCAAGAGATAACAGAAACACAAGATATATCCAAATTCAATTCCTATAATATTGGTCTTATGGTTTTATAGATTTAGCTCTTTGATTAACATGGGATTTGTCGAAGAGGGTAGCCCCTTGAACTCTGAATCACTTTATCTTGACTTGGAGGTTTAGCTATCCCACTTCCCTGCACTAGCCCACATATCTTTATACGTGTGCATACTTAATATACTTCAAATGCTTTAATGGTTAATATGGCACACCATACTGGGCCCGGCAAGCATCAGTATTGGCGTCCCCCGGGTTTGAACGTCCGGCCAGCTTTTGCATGTCCATATTTTCAATGAATTGTCCTATCAATCGCCAATGAGGTAAATAATACACGACGAATCTGAGCCAGTCAGGAAATGCGGAGCAATTCTCTCACCGTTCCAGATCTTTCGGTCCAGCAAAGTCGGAGAAAAATCGGGCATCTTTGCAGATCTGACGCACCTACCATTCCCAGACGCAACTCACATGTTAGTGCCCCAGCTCGTGAAGCTTGCAATGGCAGATAGCTATTTGTTCAGAACATCCTTGAATACATCGTGCTTTTTACACAGTCCTGAATCGTAGACACCCTGCACTATTTTTGAGCACTGGACATGGACAAGAACTTCGCCATTGACATGGCTGGCCAATATACCGATAGCACAAAAGGCTTCTGTAAATATTGTTTCAACTCATGTTTTTCACGCAGTAGGTAGTAAAGCGTCACGAATTTCTTTCAGTAGTCTGTTCGCCAAAGTCAGCAACAACATCACAGTGATACGCAATCATATTGGGGTCACATGGTATCTCGTTGGCCCTAGTTTGACGCACTCAATGACAGCTGGTCACTCCGTTTTTTAAAGGCATTTTATGGAGAATCAAGAATGCATTATGTTAGCTATTGGTTAGTGGACCTTTGTCAACGGAAGTATATTCTTCTTTGGGTACGATTTTGGAGGTGGAAAACGCGGGGATCTTGTTCAATGCTTGTGTAAGGGTACGCGAAATCATTGCTGCGGTGCTATTAACAAATAAAAACAGCATCTCAGACATGGGTAGTGGCTGCTTGGAGTGATCCAAACCTGGAGTTCTCAAAGCTAAGTGTAAAGAGTTGCACATATTACCCTTCAGTTACTTAGAAGTAGCGAACTATTTCAATCAGCTTTCACTAAACCTGCATTCTAATAACATCAACGTTCCATACACCATTTCTTCCTTCGTTTTATGTTCTCCTCGTGTTACTATTTATTGTATCATCTTACTCTTAATCTATCTGATTACCACTTTGTTTTCCGCCGAGCATAACACATCTATGCTACCAACGCTACTCATGCAGGACAAGTAACCGCATCAGATGACCCAGGCCCATTCCCTGACACGCCTACCTTTCCTTCCTAGTGAAACTCCCATCCTTACAAAACAGCTTAACACAGCTCGCACTATCCTATCACACGCCCTCTGCAACGCATTTCCCAGCCTGAGCAATACTAGCACAGGATCAATATCCACCTCAACTTATCGCGAGAATTTTTGTTGTTGAGAGGTCAGTAGCCAAATCACAGCTGCAGTAGCCCCAAAGCCAAGGTGGCGAACAAAGAACTTTGTGATTTGCATCACTGTGGATATCTTTTCGCGTCACCGATTCGTCGACGAAAGGAAAAACGGGGATACTTGTTATCTCACCGTCGACCGAGAAAGTAAACTATCCAGACCGTCGGGGGGGGGGGGGGGGAGAAGGAATTGAAGAACGGGAAACAAAAACACCGTATCAAACTCGGTATATCCACCAAAATTGCACTTTCCATCTCAAGGCTCCCAGCTAAAGAAAGCTCGTCCCATGTTACATCGTCTGCCAAACTGAATACTTGGCAAGTTCGGAACCGTGCCGTAACATATCGCTTTTCATCGCTACCAGGCTGCATCCTAGTTTACATCAGGGTAGCAATGAGTGTTACTCGAAGACTGCATGAGACTGGGTGTTGCCGATTGGTTCGACGCTCGATCTGTGGTGTCAGGGTTCAACCTGGCTGCGCATACAGGAGGGTGGGAAAGGTGGGAACCATTAGACATTGTCATCTGCTAGTAGATGCCCAATGTAAACAAAATTAGACGCCAATGATGCGAATGGAAATGAGAAACAACAGCAGAGGAAGAACCTCTAGTTAGCAAACCAATGTTAGCACATTCGAGTCCGTCCAACGTCACAGTTGTGCGAAAGTCTATGAACGGTCAACATAGTCACGGACTCGGCTCAGCAAAATCACTTGGCACGTTCATTAATGGACATAATTGATTACACGGGATGTTATCCCAACATTGAAATCTATCTTAACACACTGCAGAATAATGTTCGTACATAGTCATAATCATCCCAACACATCTAATACCATTAACCATACACTCAACCTTACGCCGACCCATCTCCGCAAATTTAATCGCGCAGGTACTTGAGGAGCTGGTCACGCTCCTCAGGGGGCATGGTGCGAAGAACGTCGCGAACACCACGCATACCAGCGTTCTTGTTGGCTCGCAAGATTGAGCTCAGCTCAGAAGCCAGGTTATCAGCCTTGACGGCCTCAATTCTGTCCGTGATGGACTTGCGGTTGGCCTCGTACCACTCAGAAACCTCGCGGTCGTTGTTCTCAAAGTTGATGACACCAGACCAAGACTCGAGGAGCTGCATGTTGCGCTGGCGAGCCTCAGGCTTGGCGGTCTCAGAGCCGGCGTTGGAAGCCACGACGCTGGAGGACATGCGGCGGAGGAGGTACTCCTCGTTGAGACGTCGGCGCAGACGCCAGTAGAAGTAGCGACGAGAGTTGGTCCACTCAAGCTGGTCACGGATGACGCCCTTGGCCTTCATGCGGCCGGCACGGTCGTGAAGGTCAGCGAACTGGAGAGCGATCTGGGAGTAGACAGGCAGGAGCTGCTTCTCGCGGATGGTCATCTTCTTCTTGAGCTCGTCGGCCTGCTCCTTGGGCAGGTCGGCGGTCATCTGCTTCTTAAGAGAGGCATAGACGGGGTCCAAACGAGCCATGGTCTCGAGCTGCTTGTCCTTGCGGTACTTGATACCAACGATACCCTCAGGTTCGAGGACACCACCGCGGGCATCAACATCGGCATACATTTCCATAACGGTAGGGTTGATGGTGGGGTCGACGACGACCCAGGAACCACCACGGAGCTCACCGAAGGGAGGAATGTAGACAAAGATGGGCTGCTCGAACTTGACGAGGGCATCGACGATGTAAGAACCGTACTTGAGAACCTCATTGTACATGTCACGCTGACCACCAGAGAAACCTCTCCAGTTGGCGAGGATCATGAGAGGCAGCTGCTCACCATTGTTGAAGTCATTGATGGCCTGAGCAGTCTTGAAGGCGGAGTTGGGGTACCACACACCACCAGCCTCGTTGGTGACCTGCTCGATGGAGTCGGGGTTGGCGGGATCAGCAGGGGTAATGTTCTCAACGGAGCGGGTCTCGACCGCGATGACACCCATGGGGATACCACCAAGGCGAGCGCGACCAACAACGACGGTGCGGGCCCAGCCGCCGAGAGTCTCGACGAAGGAGTCCTTGTCAAACAGACCGGGCTCGAAGCCGCCGTCCTCGTCAGTGCGGCCACCAATCATCCAGCGCACGTCGTAAGCCTGCTTCTGAGGAGGTGTGTAGACGACATCACGGTCCCAAGCGTCAACGCTGGGGCTGACAGGGATGGGGCTGCCACGCTTCTCGGGGATGAAGGACATCCACTCAACGATCTTGGAGACACCATCGAAGTCGTCGGTACCAGTCATGTGGGACACACCGTTGCGGTACATGATCTGCGTGCCACCAAGTTGAAGGTTGGAAGTGTAGATCTCACGACCAAGAACGTTGTTCAACGCAGGGGCACCAGTGAGGATGATAGGCTGACCCTCAATCTGGACGGCACGCTGTCCGAGACGGACGAGATAGGCACCAATACCTGTTCCGTGTTAGTACATGTCTGAGAATATGGATTACACTTTTACTTACCAACAGAGCGGCAGGTGACCAAAGTGATGGTGAAGATGTCATTGTAGGCCTTGCTGGTGGCACCGGCAATAAGACCAGAGCCTCTCAAGCACTCGACACCGAGACCGTCCTCCGAACCGACAATGGTAACGATCTTGTGGCGCTTCTCGCCGTCCTCGGAGACCTCCTCGGTGATGACGTCCTTCTGGAAGCGCTTCTTGGCCTCGTCATCGAGGTACAGGTACTTGAAGCCGGCATCTTGCTTGTTGGCGTCGTTCCAGGCAACCTTGAAGTAGGGCATAAGCTCGTTGGCGACACCAAGGCGAGCACCAGAGTTGGCAGAGAGGTAGATGCGAGGAATGCCGAGCTTGCGGGCGAGCTCGGTGCACTTGTAGAAGAAGTTGTCTTCCTTGGGACCGAAGCTACCAATCATGTAGGTGATATCGTTGGCAACGACGATGAACTTGCGACCCTTAGGGTACTCAGGAGTCTTAGCATTGAAGATCCAGCCGACCATACCGCAGGTGTTGGTACCAGGCTCGCGGTTGACCTCTTGCAGGTTGTCCTTGTCATCCAGCACGAGCTCGGTGTAGGAGATGCAGTCGCCAGTCTTGGGCTGCTGACCTCCCAGGGCACCGTGCTTCTTGACGGACTGGGACCAGCTGTTCTGGATAGCCTGGCGGAAAAGCTCAGGGAAATCGTAAACATACTGGGTACCCATCAAGTGAGCCTTGTAACGCTTGGGCTGAAGAGGGTTCTTGGTGGCGTAAGGGGTCGAGACGGGCAGCAAGTGCATGGGGCCCTTCTCCTTGGTACCGCCGATGCTGTTGAAGACCCACTCGCCCTTCTCGGACTTACGCTCAGCGTAGATGTCGACATCAACAACGTAGCCAGAGGTGTTGGTGATGATGACACGCAGAGGGTAGGGGACACCAGTCTGGGGGTCGGTGCAAATAATGCGGATCTCAACCTGGGCAACACGAAGGCGCCAAGCACGAGCACCGAAGCGGTCCAAGAAACCCTGGAGGCTGCTCTCGACCTCCGAGGGGTGCAGCTGGAACACAGGAGTGAAGTTGATGAAGATCTGGTTCAAATCAGAGTTGTTGTTGCCAATGATCTCGAGGGCGTCGAAAATGTCGTTGATAACACGGTCAGCTTCGGAGATCAGGTACTCAGCAGTAGGGATCTCATCACGGAGACGGCCAGGTCGGATAACAGCACGAGTGAAGTAGCGCTTGTCACCGTCAACAGCCTTGCCAATACCCTCGTAAACGTGGATGTTCTTGTTCTCTGTGAAGACAGGCTTGATGTGGAACTTGGCAAGACGGCCGAGCTCAAGCTGGAAGGCAAGAGCAGGCTCGCTGTGACGAATGCTGTCATCCTCAACGTACTCAGGGCCACGGAAGGTGTAGTAGCCAGGGTAGGATCCGTCGTTGCGACCACAGATGAACGTGATGCGACGGACGTTGCGAGACAGAAGCTCCTCCTTGAACTGCTCGACAATGGGAACAATGCGAGACAGAATCTCCTGGTCACTCTTGCTCTCGGAGTCACGAACGGCGACGTTGATGACAGCAGAAAGCTCGTCGGTGTCAACCTTGGGGGCAGCAGGCTTGCGCTTGCCGCTCAGGTCCGGAATGAGACCGGGAGTGCTGCGCTTCCTGGCCTTGTCAGACACAGCGAGGGTCTCAAGGGCCTTGGCGAGGAGGTCCTCGGCGTCGTCAAGGTACTTGACAGGGACGATGACACCCTTGCGGTTAGGCTCGGAGTCCCACTTGTGGTTGAGATAGGACATGTCGCTGATGGAGTGGATGCGCTTGAAGTCGAAGGAACCGCCGCTGGGAGTAGCAGGGGAGGAAGGCGCGGCGGACTGCAGAGGCAGGCCGTACTCACTCTGGCCAATCTTGCGGAGAGCGAAATCCCAGGTGCAGAAGAGAGGAGTGTCAGTCTCGTCAGAGTGGTACTCAATCTGCTTAAGGATGTAAGCACGGTAGGCGCGACGAACATAGACCTCAAGAGCGGCGAGGGAGACCCAAGGATCCTCGTGGGCGAAGAAGAGAGTCAGGACGTCAAAGACGGTGTACTTGGAGTCGACAACCTCCTTAATAACGTCCAGGCTAGGCTCACGGTGGTCCCAAGCAGCCTCACCATACCGGGATTCAACAACAGAGGAGCGGAGAATGTGCTCCATCTGGGAGGTACGCTCCTCGAGGGATGGCAGAGAGCACTGGATCATAATCTCACGAGCCTTGAGAGACACCTTGGAGGTTGTGCGAGAAGACTGGAGCTCAGTCAACTGCTGCAGAGCAGGGCGGAGGTACTTGGCAATGTTTCCAACATTGGGCTTGTTAGGGCGGTACTCCTCAAGGATGGCCAAGATGAGGGAGCTCTTGGCGCCAACACGGCTGTGGGACAGAACGGTCTGGACAACCTTGCGAATGTCATCCTTGTTCTGGTCACGCAACTTCAGGATGACACTGTCTTCCTGAGCGCCTTGCCCGGTGAACAAACTCTCAATCTCAATGTAGGATGCAAGAAGGTCCTTGATGACAGTAAGCTCGTGAGCCTTCTGGCCCTCAGCATAGGCGTCGAGGACGGCGGTGAGAGGGTCCAAGGTAGCCTTGAGCTGGGCGGCATCTCCGTCGGCGACGTTGTCGTCGAGGAACTTCTGGAAGGCCTTGGACAGGGACTTGGCAGGGAAGTCTGCGTGACGGGTCTTGGCGCGGTCGACGATCTGCGAAAACTGGCTGTCGAGCTTTTGGGGCATGCGGCTGTGCAAAGCAGCGAACTGAGCGTTCCACTCGCTGAAAGGAAGCTCGGGGTTGCGCAGGACCTCGATCAGCTCCTTGAGGGTAGCAGCCATGATGACGGAGTTGTCGTAACCGTTCAAGATGTTCTTGAGGGTGTTGTGCAGGACAGCGAATCGCTGAGCGGGCTTGGTACCAACGGCAACCGGCTCACCGTAAGTAGGGAGCTGGCCGACGAAGGGCTGGGCCTGCTTGACGCGGCTGGGGTCATCAAGAGCAAGGATACCCAGAATGTCACCGGCCTCAAGGGTGGCTCCCGGCTGCTTGATGAGCTGCACGATACCATCTTCAGAAGCGATGAGAGGCATGTACATCTTCATGACCTCAACCTCAGCGAAGCTCTGGCCAGCTCTGACATGCTCGCCGTTCTCGACGAGGTACTTCACGAGCTTACCAGGGGAAGGGGTGCGCAGCTGAGTGGGGTCGTTCTCCTGCTCGAGCAAGCAGGTCTTACCGTCAACGGACAGACGGGTGGCACCGACCTCCTCCTTCCAGTAGACGCTGTGACTGCGACCATCCAACAGAATCAGGAGACCACCGTCACTGAGGACACGAACGCCGACGGAGCACTTGGAGCCGTTGATGAAGAGGTGGTAGCTGTCAGTGCTGGCACGAGTAGCAGTGAACTTGTAGCGGAAACCCTCGTAGATGAAGTCAATAGCGAAGACGGTCTTGAGGATGTCCTTGGAAGGGACCTGGCCCTTCTCCAAGCTGGTACGGTACTCGGTCATGCAGTCTTCACTGGCAAGATGGGCCTTGGTGACGGCACCGCAAACGACAGCCAGCATGGGGTCAGGACGCTCGGCGGTGAGCTTCTTGGTGATGAGCTCGTCGAGCCAGCCAGTGGTGATGGTGTTGTCCTCGAAGGCCTCAGTCTCCAAAAGCTTGATGAGGTACTCAACCGTCGTCCTGAAGTCACCACGAATGCTCAGTTCCTTCAGGGCAACAACCATGTGCTTCCTGGAGGCAGCACGGTTCTCGCCATAGGCGAAAATGTGACCGAACTGAGAGTCGGAGAAGCTGTGGATACTGGAGGCAGTACTGACGGAGAAGTAACCCCAGACGTTGGAACTACTCCTGAAGTTCAGGTCGTGCATGACACCGTTGGAGGGCTTGAAACCCTCACCAGGGTCCTCGGAGGTGATTCTGCAGGCGGTGGTGTGGCCCTTGGGTCTGGGACGACGCTGGGTCTTCTCGCTACCCTCGAGCTTGAACTCGAAGTCAATCTCGGTAGACGTCTTGGGGTCAACGCCGTACAAGAGACGGATATCACGGATCCTGTGCAGGGGAATACCCATGGCAATCTGGAGCTGAGCGGCGGGCAGGTTGACACCGCTGACCATTTCAGTTGTAGGGTGCTCGACCTGGAGACGGGGGTTCAGCTCGAGGAAGTAGAACTTGTCATCGGCGTGCGAGTAAAGGTACTCGACGGTACCAGCCGAGACGTAACCGACGAGTCTACCCAACCGAACGGCAGCCTCCTCCATGGCCTTGAAGGTGATGTCCTTGGCAATGGTAACGGGAGCCTCCTCGATAATCTTTTGGTGGCGACGCTGGACGGAACAATCTCTACCGAAGAGGGAGATGTTGTTGCCGTACTGATCAGCAAGCAGCTGAACCTCCAAATGTCTCGCGTTGCCAGCCAACTTCATGATGAAAATGGGCGAACCCGGAATTTCGCTAGCGGCAGCCTTGTAAAGTTGCTCGAAGCCGTCTTCGGACAGAGCCTTACGGATACCCTTGCCACCACCACCTTCAGAGGCCTTGATCATGACGGGGAAACCAATCTCCTTGGCCTTCTCGAGACCCTCCTGCCACGAGGTGACGCAGCCCTTGGCGTAGACATCGTCAGCGACGGTGACAATGCCCTTGTTGTCAACCTCGACCTCGGCGACGCCTGTTCCCGACCAGGGGATGCAAGGCACCTCAGCGTGCTGTGCAACGATTGTGGAGGAAATCTTGTCACCAAGAGATCGCATGGCAGATCCTGGGGGTCCAATGAAGACGATTTTCTTGGGGGAGGCGGCGAGGGACTCGGGGAGCTTGGGGTTCTCGGATGCGTGACCCCTGAGAGCAATCTTGTTAGCGACTATTCTTCCAGTTTCCGAGGGCGACGATGCTCACCATCCGGCCCAAACAGCGTGGACGTTCATGCGCTCAGCGATATCAACAATCAGATCTACGTTGGCGTAGTTGTGGTTGTTGGTGCCACCGGGGACTTCGACGTAGTGGTCAGCCATGCGAATGTAATCAGCGTTGGCTGCCAAATCTTCGGGAGTTGCCATGACAGTGAACTGAATGGCTCTCTCGTCACCGAAGGTCTCGTACGCCCATTTCCGGACGGAACGGATCTCCTTGACGGCGGCGATACCGTTGTTGGCAATAAGGACCTGTTTCAACGCTTGTCAGCGATTCCTGCCTACTCCACCACTTTGTTAGGAAAGCCAGGGCTCTACGCACGTTGGTGATGACAGTGTGGCCATCTTGCTGGGCGACAAAGTCCTTAACCTTGGAGGCCGGAGCGTTGGCCAGCTTGTTGCCTCCAATGAAATGGTCGGCGATTTTGTGCTTCTCGGCATATGTCGCCTTGCCGTTAGCTTGAGGCACGGTCCGGCCGGAGCCGTTGGCTGCTGTGATTTCGGTCATGATTGCGGTGTCTGGAGGAGAGGAAATTGCGGGTATCTTAGAAGGTGACCGTCATGAATCGAGGGAGCTCTAGGAGCTTAATTCGGCGATAAGCACGAGTTGGGAGAGTTGCTCGAAGGGGGAAGATTCGAGCGGAAGATTAATTCGTTGATTCTGGCTCTGCAGCAAAACAGAACAGGGTATATGCAGAGCAAATTGTTCGTCGGAGTTGTAGAACAGAGATTGTTCGGGTCTCTACAAAAAGCGAAAAATCGTCATATTAGCCACGAAAACTTTCTTGTTGGGGAAGCAGAGACCACCCGCCGCACTAGGAGGGGGGAATGGGGGGGAACGTCAGGGGTGGTGGAAACGGGTTGTCGCCGCCTGAGTAGCTCTCTTGTTAGGGAGAGCAGGCGGGAGTTGGAACAGGGCAGCTTTTTTTTTTGGAGGGGAGGAAGAAGGTAGTCTAGGCGCGTCCAACACGTACGTACCTGGTTGATTTGGGGAAGCGTTGTAAGACAATTGCTCCCTACTATATCTGTCTTGTGACTAGGACAGTATGTCTATAAAAACAAAGTGTCAGAAAGAGGAGAATGAAAGGGAGAGAGTGGGAAAGAGGAGCAAAAAGAGGAGGAAGTTGTCAAGACGGAGAGGGAGTTTCGTGGTGTTATTGTATTCGGGGAGAAATGGCTTTGGGTGAGGTGGACTGCTGGTGGACTGCTAAAATTATGGACTTTGACAAGGAGTAAACGGGAGTTCCGGGGGGTGTGAGAATGGCAGAAAGAAGGGGGGGCGAGCGAGTGACTTGGAGACCAGGCGGTTAGGAGCAGGGGGAGATGTCGCGATGTTAGGTACCTTTTTCTGGAGATGTAGGTATATCGGGACGGGACAAAAAAAATATGGAGACCAGGAAGAGAGTGAGTGAGTAAGATAAGCAGCGATTGGGGGCGGGTAATGTTGAGGGCGTAGTGCAGCAAAGGAGCTATAAGCAGTAAGATGCCGTACTGGAGTATGTAAACGGTAATTAAATATCCCTCGACACTGCCGCCAGCCGGGGAGGCCTTTTTTTTCGACTTCTTGCCTTCGAATAAACAGAGGAAGATGGTTCGGAGGGAGCACTGGAAATAAGTTACAGCGACGACAACGTCGGGCAGGGAAGACGAGAAAGAGAGGAAGAAGTTGCTGGGACGCGCCTGGTTGGAAGGAGCAACTGCGGCAAGGCTGGCTGTTATATTCAGTTCACGATGCTTCCGTAGAAGGGACGTGTGTTGTTGGTTTAGATGGCGCCTTCTTTTTTTTTTTTTTTTTTTTTTTTTCCTTCGTCCTTACCGTTCTTACCGTTCTTACTCCCCTCTGCCAATGCACCTGCCGCGGGACGGGCTTGAGACGGGGGGGAAGGGTACATCTGGCGCCCGATCGAAGTACTTGCATCGGGCCCTTTTGGTAGGTACCGACGGCAAGTACCTACTTCCACCGGGCGACGGACTCCTCCCACCGACACCCAAGATCACCGTCTTCAGCCAAAACTCCCACACGCATCGCCATTATTTGAGACCAGACCAGCCGAAAGAGTCCCGCCCCTGCTTATGCTATGCTTCCTCCTACCTCTGTGCGACTGCTCTGTTCTGGCACTACGGTCCCAAGTTATGTGTAAGAGCATCGAGTGCTCGGCAACAGGAGCTTGGCCCAGTCTGTGTGTACGGCAGCTCTGTACAAGCGTTTACTCAAGGGCCTCGAAGGCCTCAAAGGCCGACGCCCAAGCCAGGTCCTATCATCAGGTCCTCACACTCGCAGCTCTGGTAATGCATTGTTACGGTCCTTTCTCCAGCAGTAGCCTGTCTGTACATTCATTCATTCATCCATCCATCCATCCATCCATTATCCCCTCCCTCAACCAATGGCCGGGGTGTTGGGGAAGCTCCTATTTCCAAGGGTGGGCGTGGGCTTTGGGCGTGGGCGTGGCGGACCAGCGGGCTGCAACAGTCCTGGTCCATGTCTCACAAGTTCCCCCTCCACCCTCAACTCCAAAGCTTCTGGCTTTCCAGCTCTTTGCCTTGCATTGCCTTGCCTTACCATAAGGCCCTAAACCAATCTCGGTGCTGGGTTGGGGTTAAGTTGCCAATATTGTCATCTCCCCCCAAATGTCTCCTGCTACCGGGACATGCCAGCTCCGAATGGGAGCCACCAAGACAATCGACTCTGACAGAAAGAAAAAGAGGGAAAGAAAAAAAAGTTGAGAGGGAACAAACGTCAGCCTGCAGAACAGACCCCCCTCTTCCTCGACGCCCCCCTCTATCCCTTGGTCCACCAGGAAAGATACATCAGCCGGCGCCAGGGACTGGCCGGGATCTCAGGTACCGATCCCATAGGGTCGGGTACGTACCTCATTAAGTAGCACGCGGGCCTTGCCTTCCAGGGGGACTCTCTGCTGGAATTTTTTTCTGATTTGACCATCACTGACCACAAAGGTGCCAACCTTGCCAATCAAAGCTCGTTCTTTGCAGGTTCGGGAGATCCACCTGCAGTCTTCGGGACGTTATCGATAGCCAAAGCTCCCTCTCTGTTTCTTCTTTCCCATTCCCTTTTTTGATTTTCCTTGGGGGGAAGGAAGCTACCCGCCCCGCGCCTCAACTTTTCGTCACCGCCAACCAGAGCAAGCCAACAGCTAATTAGCTATGATGCCACCTCAACTTACTTTGGTCTTGTGCTTCATGTTTCCCTTTTCGCGTCGTTCTTCAATAATACTCTTCCAGATTGGGACACCGCTACTAAAGACTGTCTAATGACCCTCTTGACAAGATGTATCTGTCACAGCTACAGATAGGTACCTCTATCTGTTTTGGTGGATGACTTGGTGAGCCACACACACGCCTTGCCACCACCGAACCCCGACCGGCCCTTCACCCCAGCAATGTCCGACGCCGCCAGAGACAGGCGCACATTGTTCTCACTACCACACTGTTACACACTGACACCGCATCGCCGACCGTTAGACACCGATCGTCATCGTGGTGGAATTACACCCAGACCCGACATCCACAGGTCAGAACCCCCGACCCAGCGGCCAGGAGACCCGGAGAGAGGAGGCCATGCGCACATCGCAGTTTCCCTCCTTATTGGCATCCCATCTTCATCGGCCCCGAGATCTCTCCAATCCCGGCACTGGCCACTGGCTGGCACACCTGATCAAGGCCCCTTCAAGTTTCGTCACCTTTGCTCCATCGGTAGCCCCTCCAGACCAAACCCGATCGCGTAGGCGGTCAGCCAGGTGTCTCCAGGGGTGCAAGCCTCAACAACCTACTACGTAGTAACCATGGTCTCGCTTACGCACCTCTAAACCGCCTAGCCTCGCCGATTCTCCGTCCGGGGACAACCACCAGCTTCCGCTAGTCCCTCATCAGGCTCACCTTGGGATCCCGTCAAACGCAATTGCCCTGTCCCAAAGCCGGGGCGAGGAACGCTGAACAATGAACCATGAGCGTCGATCCCAAGCCAGAAAGCCAACAGCCAGCGTATCGACCAGGCCCAGTGCCCCATCCCATTGGCCCTGACCGGCGCTGGAACGAATACCTACCCAACTGCACTGTCTCAACCACTTGTGTCTCAGACAGGACACTCTGAGTGAACCACGCCAAAGTCTCTTTTTTTTTATTTTTTATCGCTACCACCTGCATTCCCCCAGAGTCCAATGTCTTGCGAGGGGTCGTCATTCGAACCGTTTCATTCCATGATTAAGAACCCAACTAGAAGGGACCAGCCTGATAAGGGGAGAGGGGGAAGGCCAAGCCCGGCGAGACCAGACCAGCGATTCGATCTTGGACGATGCTTGGCTGACAATGATGCCAGGCTGTTTATTTCCCTCGCACAAGATCCACGATGGCGACGGCTTGTCCATCTCCTTTCCCCCAACAATTGGGATTTTGGGTCATAATTTGGGGGTCCCCTTCGATGGGCCCCTTCCAGAAATGCCAGGGGCATCGGCTGAGCCAATAGGAGCCTAACCAAAATAAACAGCTCCCCCACTCAAAGAGAAAAAAACACAGCCGTAGCAGAAAAAAAATCGCCAACCAGCTCCCGACCCAGAAAAAATGAATCTCCACCCGCAGATCCCCAACATCTTGTCCGTCCATATGCGGAGCCCGTGCAACGGTGCAGCAGCAACAATAACAACACATTGGGCCTGCAGCCAACGACATGAACCACCGCAATAATGAGACTTCTGCTGCGGGCAAACGCCAACCGCTTTCTGAGTAGTAGTAACTGTTAGTGGTAGTACCCCTTTCTCTTCCCCCAACTTTGCCAATTTGGGGCCCTCAACCCTGTCTCTAAGCTCAACTACGGATACAGAGTTCTTCGCGCTAATTTGTTTTCTCTGCAGCCTGGACGTACTCGTGCTATTGCTGCTGCCACTACCGCCGCTCCGAGGCCGAAACATCCCTTCTCCCATCATGTCGATTACGCCGAGGTCACCAATCTTTGGTCAACTCCAAAGGACTGACCCACAACATATGTTCACGGCAATGCATCCACCAGCTTTGTTGACATTACGCAGACTTCCGTTCGTCCATTTCCCACCATTCTCAAAGTTCTGTCCCATCACATCCCCAACTTTACGTATGAAGATGCCCTGGAGCGAAGAAATCGATGAGCTTTGGCCCCCAGGTCGTCCCGTCCTCGGTATCTCCTATAGATAGCGGATGCTACGCTAGCTCCCTACAGATTTGCACTTACACGCACTAAAGACGGGGCGAGTAGATCCGATCCTGTCAAAGCTGGAGACCCTCTGCGTGTAATCTGATGCGCCCACTTCAATCCGTCATCCATCGTCCCGGACGACAGCTGATGGACGACGTATTTGACTAGGACGGTGCCCACCCCTGAATATAACTAGAGCTAGGGACTAAAGTGCGCTCAACTCGCCAGAGGGGTCCGACGGCCTTTTTGCCCCTAAGAATAGTCAGGCTCCCTCTTATCTTCCTGACCTGTGACACCGATTTACGGTGCTACCTCCGGTGAGCATAACTGTCTCCCACAGTTATTCGTGTCAACGGGCGGTTTATGGATCGTGATCCACTCCTGATGGATATATGACGGAAGGGAAACCTTCCTTGCCTACAAATACGACCTTCTTCCCGTGCCATGAAGTCTACAGGTCTTCTGCCCCCACTTCCATGTGAACGAGCCGCGTGGAGCCGTGCCTGCAGCAAGCAGGACGACTGTCGACCGCATCGTGTCTCGAGCGCCCCTAAACGCCGGTCTTAGCTTGTTCTTCCCATCCGAACTTCCCATGCGGGCGCGTGCGTTCGTGGAGTCGGCCTGTTTGAGACCGCAGCTGCACAACAGCTTTAGCCAGACCATTTGGGTCTTGCCAGATGATATGGCCTGTGGCAAGACGGAGCTCAGGACTTGGCCCGAGACTCGGACGGGTGCTCTTGTCCCCCACCCTCCGCTCCTCCCTGCCGTTTGATCAAAGATGTTTAGAGATAGAACATGGGATTGCCGCAAGCCGCCACTTGGTCTTGGAGTTGGCATCCTCTGACATACGGACACCGATGATGGGCTGATGGGCTCTCATGGAACGTCAGCCTCTACCTGAGAATTCGGATAAGAGGCGTATGAAACAATCAGTCAGGCCCGCTGACGTGGTCCCGGTTCCTGCATGTTGCCAAGATGGGGTACCACTAGCAGCGGTCTTGTCGGCCTGTTACAAGCAGATCCTATTCTTAGATTGTTCTACGGTTGGCGGTTCGGAGCCGATGAGTCCATCTCCGCGTCGAGTCGCAAGTGATGGGCGTGTTGGTCCAGCAACGTCGATTCCATGAGATTTCTTGTTGTGTAGTGAGACTCCACGTGGATCTAGGGAATTGTGAACTTTTGTGCCCATTAAGCTGCAACGTGTTTCGTTCTAGTTGGCCTTGTAAGCATGAAATAGTTCGTAGAGACTTATACCGTTGGCAGCTCGGCCGATAGGAATGCTTGCTTCAGCGTGATACTGTTTGCGTGATACTATTTATGTCAAACACCCTACCAAAATAACAAAGAAATCAGTTTCTGTATTCGTCAATCTCTCAAGGCCTTCAACGCACATGAGGCTTCCCGTCTAATACGGGTATAGTCAATGTCCCGGCAAGTTCCGCGTTAAATTTGACTTCTTGCTGTGCCTCCATCCCGACTCTGCATGATGCCAACCAACCTTGCAACGCCGAAACACCTCTGCTTCTCCAATTGCCTAGTAAATAAACTTCGTGGGGGGTATAATAATTTGGATGATGTTACATTTGGCATGTACTGCTTAGAGACTTTTCAGATCTCATCACCCCTGGATTTTGAAAGGTTGGTTTAGATCTTTGTTCTCTGTTATCGATTGGCATTCGACTCGTCTGTGGCTGCTTGATCTTGACACACCTGAGAGAACGAGATAGACAGATTTGATTCAAGGTAAGTGGATAGTTGTGTCTCTTGAATGTTACGACTTTCGAGTCAGCTACCAGGTTTGAGTCTCGTGTGGATGTGGTATTGGTGACTGTGGTTAAGTCCCGAGATGTTTACTCCTCTTCTATCTAGACCAAACTCTACTATTATTATTATTATTTTTCAATATCAGTTTAAGACAAGTGTGGCATTCATATTTCTTCAATTCTTGTGGTGAAGAGAGAGTGTGGTTGCTACCCATACTAATTGCTCAACTTCGCGATGTCGAACTTTACGAGACATATCGATGGAAAAGAGGTGTATTTCAAACTGTAGATGCGAGTAGAAAAAATTGAGTTTCTCGATTCGCGTAGGCGGAGTTTTTTTCAACTCGTCAGTCACGCATATCAACTCCATATTTCTGAATGATTCTGTCAAGAATCAGAAGATACGTGATGTTAAAACCCGACGGATCAGTTTTACCGTTTTTATCACACAAACATTTTCATATCAAAATTTCTGGAAACTCTGGGCTGTGAAAGCTTTCTTGCTCTCTGCTACTGTTGTCCTTTTGTATGCCAGGTGTCACATACTATGAAACTGATAGATTCAAATGATCTTATAAAGGCCATTAGTGTAGAAGCCCTGAAAGTTCAAGACACATTGAGACCGGAGATGAAGGCAGTCTCCTATCAAACTCTTTCCTCACCTCCTCCGTCAGTATCAGGGGAGAGGAATGAGACAACTCGACATACATCAGGATGTACGTTGGAGACCGGGGATGAAGGCAATCACAACTTAAACCCCTACCTGACCACTTAATTCGGTACCTACCAGAGACACCTCTGATATGACTCCCCGCGTAAGTGCGTTACGTCATCGGGCTACTTCATCTTAGGAGATTCAAGGTACTTAAAAGGCCTGAGACGACTCAACATACGTCAGGATGCACGTTGATTCATTCTCTTTCCTACAGTTGAATCTTGGGTTATCAAATGTGGATGATGTCAGGTAAAAGCCTCCAAAGAACCAGGTTGCTTGGGTAAATCTCTCCCTGTTGAAGTCAACGCGACGATTTCCCACAAGTCATCAGTACGGGAGCCACAGTACAAACGACATCACTCCGAAGTAGCCCAACAGCATTCTGGTAGTCATTCCTAGCAGAGGAGAGAGGTTGTTGGTTTCATATTCTCTTCACCCGAGGCTGGCGGTGATTTCTGACAACAAGTTACAGCATGAGCCCTGCCAATCGCCTTGAAATTTGTTTGACGCTACTTGGACTTACGCCTGCACGCTTTCACATCTTTGTTCCATCTCTGCTCTACTGACCCCCAACTGACCCTCGCAGTGCTTCAAGATATGATGACAAAAGCTTTCAACATCTCCTATTAGGCGTAGGCACATGTAAATGGAACATCCTGGCGGTTAGAACCTAACCGGACCATGGTCTCTTATGCTATGTACCTACTAGCTCATATCCGCAGGTTTATCGCCATCAGATCGATAGACGCCCAGTATCAAGTGACAAGAGACAAACACGTTTCAAAGACCCAACTAAGAATGAGACGACTCATCAAGTTCCAACCGTTGCAGATTCTACCGCCGCATTCCTGCCTACTGTCGTAACACTCACATGAGCCACCTAGCGTTTAAAAATCCCAGGCTCCCCACGACTGGACCTTTCCCGCCGCTCAATGCCGCCGCCACAAAACACAACTACTGGATACCCCGTTGGCCATCCCTTCATTCACAAATCACTCTCACACACCATCACATCATCAATCGTTGGGGCATTAAATCCAGTATATTCAGACCAGGTGTGCTAAAACGGAATGGGAGTGGGAATAAGTGTAAAGGCCCGCAAGCACAATAAACCCCGGCACCGCCATGCTCCCCGTCCAAATTCATAATCATACCAACGCCCTAATGCATATCCACGCCGGACCCCCGCCCCATAACCATCATAAACAAAAAAAAAAGTGACAAAGAAAAATGTAGAAGCAAGACTTTCAAGTCTCTTTCAAGGATTGTGTAATGGTAATGTTTTCGCCACGCTGTGCTCGCAGCATTCTTTGCCTCCGCCTTCCCGTTTGCCTGCCATGCTGTTTATGCACGGTTTCTAGGATGGTAGTAATCAAAAGAGAAAAAAAATCACGAGTGCCGCCTCCTGTGGTATCAATTCTGCTCACACCCCGCAAATATTGAAGCAATAATTTTAGTACGTCTCTTCTTCGACCAGGTCCTGGTGTCCTATTCTTGAACTCCTCAGGCCCATCGAGCTACGTCTGCCAGAGATGCTGCCTCCGCTCTGTCGTCGGCCGCTTGGCATCGGGATGGCACTGCTTGGCATGGGGATTCCGCTGACGGCGCTGTCTGTTTCGAGACGGGAATATGTTCCTCTCCTGCTCGGCGTACGGAACTCCAAGTCTTCGTCGGCTGTGTCCATCTCGATACGGTGACTGATACTAATTGACCGCCCGTGTCCGCGGATTGGGCCCCCCAAAGAGGTGCGAGGACGGCCTAGAGGTGTCCTGGCACCAGACATGCTTGTGCGACTGACAGGGCGGGGAGGGCCCATGTCAGCTCGACTGGCCGGCCGGGCATACGACGACATGCTAGCACGAGAACTCGGCCGGGAGATGGATGACTCAGTGTCAAGACCCGCGTTGGGGTTTCGGTTTGGTAGAGGCCCGAACGACAACCTGCTGACGCCTGACGTACTAAGGCGGGGCACATGCTTGGACGTTGTGCTGGCAGAGAAGTTTGGGTTGGAAGGTGTGGTGTCGTCGCCCCGCACTGAAGAGGCGGTGGAGCCAGTCGGGCGCTTGCGTGAGCGGATCGTAACCGTTGCAGGCACACTGTGGACTCCATTTACAGAGGATCTGGGCGACGCACGAGGTGGCGTGGTGACAGGGGCTGGAAGTTTTGATCGTGCGTTGTGAACACGAGCTTCCAGACGTTGCATCTGGGCAGTGAGAGAACGGATGTGGCTGAGAGAATTCGAAGTCGGCATGCGGTGAGAGGTTGAGCGGGGCGCCGTTCGAGGGCCAGGGGTACGAGTTGTGTTTGCGCCAGAAAGGCGACCTCCGGTCGTTCGGCTAGTAATAGATGCTGTGAATGATCGGGGCTTCGGCGTGATGCTATGGTCGGCGGAAGGAAGGCGGGATCTGCGCGTCGTGGATGCAGGTGTCCTTGAAACGGTCCTTCTCGGTACTGAGGCGGAAACGTCGGACATGGGTGGAGAGGGAGGTTCGTTGAGCGAGGTAGCCTTGGCGGGGGGAAGAGCTTCGGAATCTGGCGGGGTGGAAACCATAGGTGAGCTTGCGGTTGAGCCGGGCGAGCCGTCCATAGTCTTATCGAAAGTAGGTGACGAGGACATAATGGACAGGTCGGTAGAGATGGCAGACAAGTGGCGTGCCTCCTGCTTCTTGATCTTGTCCTGGAGCAGCTCGGCCTCGATCTTGAGGTCGGCAAGCTCTTCTCGCAAACGTTGCGCTTCGATGCGCAGCGTCTCTCGCTCTTGGTCGCCAATCTTGATCTCCTCCTCCATCATGACAGCGCGCTCGATGGCAACGTTATACTTGGATTCAAGGTCCTCAAGGGACGATGAGGTGTTTCGCGCTTGGCGTTCAAAGTCATCGTTGGCAACCTCGATGTCGCGGAGCTTCAGCTGCAGACTCCTGTTGGTGTCGCGTAATGTGGTGATTTCCTTCTCGAGTGTGTTTTGAGCCGTGTTTGCCTCCGTCTTGGCTTGCTTGTATTTTGTCTGCAGATCAGTGAGTCAGTATGGGGTGTCGCGAAACGAAGACTGTCTGGAGAGAAAGTCTGAAAAAAAAAAAAGGATGCGATCTCACCTTCCACTCCTCTACCTCGAACTTGAGGCTCTCGGCCTTTTCCTGCAGGCTGCGTTCCCTCTTCTCGGCCGCGTCAATGTCCTTCTCCAACTCTTGCTCCAGCTCCTTGCTAGACTCTCTGAATTCGGCCAGCTCACCCTCGAGCACCTCGTACTGGGCCTTGTACCAGGCCAAGGCATCCTCGGCGCTTGTCGCCTCGCTAGGCGGCGATGATGGTGGCTCCGCCATGGTTGTTGTCGTCTTCTTTGTTGTGGTTTTCTATGGTGACGTCGTCGCCGCGATGTTCAGATGGATAGCATGTGAAACACACTTGGCGGTTGTGGTGAGAGGGAAAAAAGCGGTGTTGTGGTCGCGACCGATGCGAAGCGTGGGGAGGGAAGAAAAAATGGCGGTCGCAAACAGAAGTAGCGGAAGATATACAAAGAAGAGTTGTGATATCGAATGATGGTAATCGTAAAAGTCGTAAAAGAATAGTAGCGTACTGTTGTGTTTTCGTTAGCCGTTTGTTGAGGACCAAAGAGTCCGACACGGTCGCAGTCGGAAGAGTGGCTAGAGGAGAGTGCGTACCGACTCAAATAACTGTTTGGGTGGTTCGATTTGGTCGTGATAACAAGGCGAAGAAAGAAGGGACCAAATCGGAAAGGAAGCGCGGAATAGAATAGAATATTGTGTGTGTCGGTGGTTGTCGGTGATTATTCGTGGGTGGCTGGTGTTTGGTATGCCGCGTGTGTGTGTTGTGATCCGCCCCAAGGCCCAGTGGATGGGCGAAGACTTACCTGACTTACCGGTGGATGTCGTCGCTGGTCGTGTGTCGTCGTGTGTCGTCGTCGTCGGTGTCGAGATGTCGGCGGGAAAAGTCGCACGCTCGATGTCGAGACACCTCAGGGACTGACTGGACTTGACTACTAGACGCTGGACCGACTAAGGATTGGGATTGGGCATGGCTGGGACAGGAAAGGAAAGGGTCAATGTTGATGTCGGTCAGGTGTGGTGGTGTTGCTATTGCGGGTTGCCCCCTGTCGCCCCTTGTCGTGGCAGTGCGCCATACCTGATTGGGACTAGCCTGCTACCACGGGCAACTGGTTCTTTGCCTTAGGTAATCAAGGAAGAGGAAGCGTCCAGCCAGTGAGGAGGTCGGAGACCCCGCTGGTAGTGGGGCAGGTGGCTTTTTTGGGGGGTTCGTCTTCAGTGAGGAAGCAGCGAGAGAGACACTGTGACTCTGCTAGTAGTTAAGAAAGGAAGTAGTGTAGCCGTAGGGTAGGGTACGTACTGTTCCACCTGATCCTTTCTTGTTTTTGCTTTGCTCTTACTCCCACTACCAAGTGGTCCTTCCTTTCCTACCCAAAGGGCGCCTTGTGCCTTCCCTTGCTACCAAAGAGAGCAATGACTTTAAGGAAGTAAAAGTAAGTGCAGATGCTAAGAATGCTTCCACAAGACAAATAGGACCTACTCAAGGTAGGTCCTATGTACAGTAGGTGCCTTCCTCATATCCTCATATCCTCATACGCTATGCAATTCAATGTCCCGGCATTTCTCGACCGCCCCTCCTTTTTTTCGTCATGTCCACCACGCCGCAGGGTCATCGCCTGAAAGCTTCGCCGTTCAACCACCTTAATTCCTCGCCCAAACACGTCAACATTTCTACACCATTCGTGTTCCGGAACAGAATTCTTCGGCTGGCGATCATGGATACTGTGTAGACGTATCGATGGAGCCCCAGGGGATCCAGCCTTGCCATGCACAATGCGCCTCAACCCTTCTCCGCGTCTCTGGCATTTACCATTTCCCGTTCTGCGTGGATAAAGAATTGCGACGCAGCCGAAAATGTACGAGAAATAGTGTCTCAGCCTGTCCTCTCTGGCCTTTATCAAATCAGCCCATCCCATGCAACAGGCGCGACTCTTTTTTTTTGTTTTCTTACCGGCTACAAACGCGCAGCGGAATCATCACCATGACTGAGCGCGGGCCACAGAGCTCAGGATGACGGCATCCTCACCAAATGTGCTCGACCTTCAATCCCAACCTCGGCCGAAGTCGCTTGTGAGCAGGCCGCTCCCCGGCGGAGTTGACTACCAATTCAGGGCCATCCCAACTTTGTCTTCATGCAATGCACAGATCTCTTGAGGTCCCTTTGCATATTTCTCCCTGCCATGCTACTCAAGGCACCCTGGCACATCTTTTTTTTTCTTCTTCTCTGTTGTTGTGTACTTTGCGGCGCAGCCATCCATCCATCAATCAGGGTCTTTCTGTTCCCCCAAGATGGAATAGAGGGGGAGAAAGAGAAGGTAAATGGAAGAAGAAAAGTTCAGATGCACTGACATTGTTTCACACCTCTGGGCGCTAAAGATGCAGAATCCCATCCGCATGATGCCCTTTTTCATGCCCATAATAGCGCCGCTCAACTTACTCATTCGAGGGTGTGGTCAAGGCGACCATTGGGGGGGGGGGATAACCTGACCAATTACCCACTTATTTTGTGATTTGTGGGGCTACCCTGAGATCAGCTGACCATGGTCAGCTAGTTAGCTATGGTCAGGTTGAAATTCCTTAGCGCGGTTTGAAACCTCACCCTTGACATACTTTTTGTAAGAACATACGACATTTAAACGCTTCCAAATCCGTTCCGAATCGATTTACAATGGCTCTTCAATCGATTGAAAATCTCTTCCCTCGCCTAGAGGGAATAAGTCCTCTATTAGAACCTACTAGTCTTGATGCAGAAGCTGAAGAAGACTTAAATCTTTACTATCAACTACCAGCCCAGGCCCAGTCTGGCTTACCAGTAAATGAGGAGGTAGGGATATATGAGAACGACTTTGGAATTAGTTCTAAATCGATTCAGGATCAACTCGAAACCGATTCAGAAATACCTCCAACACTTGTTTCATCAGAGGCAACCCGTTCTGGGCATAATAGCCTCAGGGATGTTCATGTACTTGCTCAAAAAGTAATCTTTCTACCTACATTTATAGAATATCCAGAAACAAGTGAGAATGGAGTCCTTTATGTTATTGATATAAGGACTTTAAATGAGGAGGATATTAAATCGCCTTGGAGAATGGTAAACGAACTACTTTTGAATCGATCCGGGATCGATCCCGAACTACTTTAGAACTAATTACATCACAGATTCAGTACAACCATGCCCGGCAATTCCCACCAAAACGGACGACTTCAGCATTCCTTCAAAATGCTGTTTGTTTACGTTCAACTTACACTTGTACAGGTGGAAAGGCATGCTCTTATTTCGATCAGAATCTTCCATGCTGGAAGCATCAGAAAGTTACCCCAGAAATCTTGCAAAGTATTGAAGCATTACGAACAGAGGTACTACAGTATGATCTCAAACGGAAAGCAGTTTCGTAAGCATTCAGAATCGATTCCGAACGGGTTCGGAACCCTTTTAGAAATAATATACTAATACTTATAAATAGATGGGCACAAGCACAGATAAAACGTTTCCAACAACATACCGCCTGCCGACCGTTTACAGAAAGATGTAGTCTTGAAGTAGTTAATACAGAGTATGGGGTAAGAAGCCTTTCTGAATGGATTGGGAATCAATTTGGAACTGATTCGGAATCACTTTAGTATATTCCAGGAACTTCCCAGATTACAGCCCGCTGCATCTGCTGGTCACAAAGTCTCCAAGGAGAAAACCATTATATTGGCTTTCCTCCAATCGAATTCCAGCTATATTTACCTCTAATCAAAACTATACTTCAAGGGGGAAGTATAGAAGAAAGCTCCCCTACTGATAGCTGTTATCTTTTTGCTAGCAATAAGAGGAGAATTACACGATGCGGTAAGTAAATTAGTATCGAATCGATTCCAAATGGGTTCCCAACTGATTCTGAATCAATCTAGACGCTAATCATATCGTTCCTGAAACAATTCTTCAAATTACGTGTTCAGTAAAATGGAACTTCTGGGTCCCGCTTGATCTAGAAGCTACCCCAGTTATTCTTCTAACTTCTCATGGGGTCCATTTACATCCACCACCACCACCAGTTAGAGCCCCAGCTGGTATTATATCTGGGCTGCAACAGGTAGTCCAGAAGATCAATCAACCTAGAACGGGGTTAAGTGAGAATCCTTTTAGAATCGTTTCCGAACCGATTCAGAACTAATCCAGTATTGATTCTAGATGCATTCCTACAATCTCGCGAACTTCAGGAATTCTGTGATACTTATAATAGCCAGACTATTACAAGCGTTCATCAAAGTCTAGCAAATACAGACTTCTTACGCTCAATTATCCGTAAACAAGAAGCAATTAGCTTTCCAGCAGGCTGTTCACGTCTAGCGATTTGGTATGAATACCAGTATGCTCAAACTAGGCGTCAAATTCGGGTATGAAGTGATTCTGAATCGGTTCTGAGCGGGTTCAATACTAATTTACTTATAGTATATTCAGTACTTTAATGATGACGGCAATACATACCTATGTATTGTATTTCATGCAGAGCAAGCTGAATTATGGAAGAAAGAGGCTTTTAATACTTTCCAGGTAGATACAAACTATAAACATCTAGCTGGAAAGGAGGAAGTTGAGGTTATTTGGGGATGGTATAATTCGATATCTTCGAAAGGTGCGTAATCGCTTCTAAATCGATTTAGAACGGATTCTTAACAGATTCCTAACTATTTTAGCAATTCCACTTATCCGAGTTTTTACCAATTCTGAAAGTACAGAAATGTATCAGCAGATGTATACAATTGTGTTTAAACTACTTTATAAGAAATTTGGATATAAAGTCAAGTGGAAACACCTTCATGGTAGGGGTCTACTAGGTATTACAGTTGATCAAGACCATAAAAACCTTATTGGTATGGGTTCTTAATAGTTTCTAAACCGATTCAGAACCGATTTATAACTAATTATCTAGGGTTTGGGAAATATCTATCTCTGGAATGTGACCCAGAGCATAGACCATGGGCATGGCAGGTTGAACGCTCTGTACGCTTCTGTTTAATTCATTTCCAACGAGGGATTGAGGCATACTGTACAGAAGACCGTAGCCCTGACTCTCTATGGAATCAAATGCGCAGCCTACTATTCTGCCGTTCCTCAGAAGACTACTTCGCTTTATGTCAGGCATTTGAGAGTAAGGATCAATTCTATATCGCTTCCGAATCGCTTCAGAATCACTTGGGAACTAATTTACTTAGCTGAACCTCAAATAAAAGCATGGGCTCAACATAAAGCCCGAAAAACAATTGCAGCT